CAGCCATCCTCACCCTGCCGGCCTGCATGTTGCTTCTTCACGCCTCTTTTAAAGGATCCCAGGTTGTAAGAGGGAGGGAACACGTGAGCGGGCAGAGCATTCCATTTACGGATAGTGCGACAAAGAAATGAGTCACCAAATTTCTTTGTACGCGTTGGAATTGTGGCCACAGTAAGACGGTGACAACGTAGGCCAGCGCGCGTGGTCCTCTGAAGGAAAGGGGAAGGTGGGATAAGAGAGAATAACTCCTCAGAACACTCGCCGTGGTACAGACGATAGAACGCGCTTAGTGACGCCACGTCACGGCGTAATTGAAGAGGCTCAAGGTGTTTAGTCACCTCCTCATCGCCTATGATGCGGATTGCGCGCCGCTGTAACCTATCCAAAGCATCGAGCAAGTACTTGGCGGAGCCATCCCAGAGGTGCGAGCAATATTCCACGCAGGACCGCACTTGCGTTTTGTACAACAAGCACAGTTGATCGGGCGTGAAAAAACGCCGCACCTTGTTCAGGACTCCGAGTTTGCGTGAAGCTGTTTTGATCACGGTTTCGATGTAGTCCTTTGGATTCAGGTCTGAGCGAACTTCCATACCGAGCATGGAAATGTTGCTCTGCAGCGGTAGTGTTGTGCCCTGAAGAGATGGAAGGGGAAGGAATGGCGATGTTTTTGCCGTGAAAGCGCAAGCCTGAGTTTTCTTGGCATTGAACCCAACCAAGTTCCTGGTACCCCATTCGGAAATGTGGTCCAAAGCCTGATTGAGTTCAATGACAAGATTTTCCCGTTTCTCCCTGGTTACTGCCTGCCCAGCCGCTGCTTGTCCGAGATACCCCGCATGCACTGTACTATCGTCTGCATAGCAATGAATATTCCCATGAGGAATCAAGTCATTGATATGCAGCAGAAAGAGAGTGGGGGATAGGACGGAGCCCTGGGGAACGCCGGCATTCACTGACATGAACCGCGAACTGCTACCATCCGTAAGGACACGAATTCTACGCTCATGCAGGAAGTCAGCTACCCAAGAACAGAACTGGGCTGGCAGACCGTATGCCGGAAGCTTGGAGAGAAGTCTTTTGTGCCAGACCCTGTCGAACGCCTTGGCAATGTCAAGGCCAACGACTCGCCACGCTTGTCGATAGCCTCACCCCAGATATGAGTTAAGTACGCTAGAAGATCACCCGTCGATCGTTTCGGTCTAAATCCATATTGACGATCATTAATCAGGGAGTGATCCTCCAGGTAGCGGGTCAGATGGTTATTAAGGACCTTTTCTAGAACTTTACATAAAACTGAGGTGACTGCTATTGGCCGATAGTTTGCCGGGTCTGAGCGATCCCCTTTTTTGGGCACCGGTTGCACGTTAGCATCTCTCCAAGTCTCCGGCACACGCTCCAAAGAATACGAGCATTGGTACAAGCGCGTGAGCACGGGAGACAACTCCGCTGCACATTTTTTAAGTACTACTGCTGGGATGCCATCAGGTCCACTAGCTTTCCGGACGTCGAGTGATTGCAATTCGGCACGAACCTCACGCTGCCTGATTTTAATATCAGGCATCGTTGTGCCACAGTGAGGTAATGATGGTGGCAGTGCATTGCAATCATCGATTCGGGAGTTAGCCGCAAAGAGTTTTGCCAGTAAATCGGCTTTCTCCTGCGGCTTATGAGCTAGTGTTCCGTCTGGGCATCTCAGAGGTGGCAGCGAGGGCTGGCAGAAGTTTTTTTGCACGGCCTTGGCCAAACGCCAGTAGCTACGGGAGCCCGCAGGATGCGTTATAAGTTCCTGGCCAACATGTGCAACACGCTGAGCATCCGCTCTGATGTAAGCCTTCTTACAGGCCTTGGAAGCAGAATTGTAGGCTGCTTTAAGTGAATCGATCCCGGGATCCTTGAGAGCGCGGCCTCTGATCCAAGCACGATATGCCGCTTGCTTACGCGAAGCAGCTTCAGCACAGTCGTGATTGAACCAGAGGTTACGTGTGCCCTTACTGATGAGATCAGAATGAGGAATATAGTATTCCATACCCATTATAATCTCCTCAGTAATGGCAACGGCACTGCCCGATAGGTCCCTGTCACTGAAGCAGCGCTGCTTCCAAGGGACGGACGCAAAGTAATCACGCATACCGTCCCAATCTGCCGACCCATAATGCCAGATACGGCGCTTGACCACTGCTGGACGCGGAGGCTTGGCCTGTGGTGCTTTGGCAGATATCAGGCAGTGGTCGGACGAGCCCAGGGGGGCTCTTACCACAACCTGATAGCCCTGTGGATGGGTCGTGAGCAGAAGGTCCAGTAAAGAAGGCGCTTGACTTGGAATATCTGGGATCCTGGTGGGCTGATCAACCAGTTGCTTCAAGTCATGCGTGAGAGCGAATGTGTGAGCAGAGATCCCTGCATGGTCAGTTTTGGAAGAACTTAACCACAAATTGTGGTGAGCATTAAAGTCCCCCAAAAACACCAATTCTGCATTGGGAAATCGCTCCTGCGCGTCATCTGCTGCCCGACTAAGGTGTTCAAAAAGTCGAGTTGTCTCAACATCGCCGGTGTGGGATCTGTAGAGGCACACGTCGACTCTGGCCCCCGGGCCAGAGTCTACGTGTACCCCCAGCATGGAAAAGGAGGGATCTTCCAAGCAGCGGAGACGGCGACAACAAACATCCGCCCGAACATACAGGCATACACCGGCTTTCACTTTGAAGGGCTCTTCAAGCACGTAGCCGGGATAATTAAGGTAGCCTGTGTCAGCAGGCGGAAGTATTTGTGTCTCCGTCAGGAACAACAATGCTGGCCGTGCTGTCTCGAGATGGTGGTGGACAGCGTTGAGGTTAGAGTGGAGTCCGCGTATGTTGCAGAACTCGACCTCAAACAGCGTTGAAGGCGTGGGGGTGTGCACCGCTGTACGTCCAAACTTTGTTATTGAGGCTGCCATGGTGGAAGTGAAAAAAAAAGAGACCCGAAAACGAGCGGACCCCGTCGCGAAGAGTCCGGGCAAATAAGGGGGGTTTGTTTTCCCGATTGACTGCCTGCAGTGGAGATGCGCCGACCCGCCGGACGGAAGGGCCCCCGCACCCCCCCGGGAGTGGCCGCCGGGACCCCACGCCCCGGTCACCAACCGGCACGACGGTCCACCCCGAGATTATGCGTGACATGATAGGGCAGCCTCGCGAACTGGTTAGGAACGCTCGGGCCCCTGTACTGTGCCACGGGCGGCCAGCGGGACAGCCGTTTCTACGGGTCTCCCTGGCCGACGGGTCGATGCAGTCCTCCCGGCATCGGTTCCACGGATGCCTCCCCTGGACCGAATCCTTCGCGACAACTTCCACTCGAGGTGGCAACAATTAGGGAGTTTACCCTATAGTGTAATGTTTTCTTGTCTTATAACTATTAATTTTATTCAAAATGATTAAATGAAATTGGAACGATATAGCCCACGGTTGTACTGATACAATCGTCATTGTTTAAGATTATTGTTGATTTATTTATTGTCTCTAGTACGATTTGACTTGGCGGGCTATCTGAAAAACGGTTTTTTTTTGTCTGACAGCTTCAAATTTGAGTTTTTTCAAATAATACTTTGGAACAATGTTAGGAACAACTAGAACAACTTGGAACAACTTTAAAAATAACGAATTTCCAAACATGGGGGGCTATCTCAAAAACGGTTTTTTTTGCCTGACAGCTTCAAATTTGAGTTTTTTCAAATAATACTTTGGAACAATGCTAGGAACAACTAGAACAACTTGGAACAACTTTAAAAATAACGAATTTCCAAACATGGGGGGCTATTTCAAAAACGGTTTTTTTTGCCTGACAGCTTCAAATTTGAGTTTTTTCAAATAATACTTTGGAACAATGTTAGGAACAACTAGAACAACTTGGAACAACTAAAAAAGTATTGAATTTCAAAACATGGGGGGCTACCATAAAAACATTTTTTTTGTCTGGCAGCTTCAAATTTGAATATTTTCAAATAATACTTTGGAACAATGTTCGGAACAACTAGAACAACTTGGAACAACTAAAAAAATATTGAATTTCCAAACATGGGGGGCTACCATAAAAACGTTTTTTTTGTCTGGCAGCTTCAAATTTGAATATTTTCAAATAATACTTTGGAACAATGTTAGGAACAACTAGAACAACTTGGAACAACTAAAAAAATATTGAATTTCCAAACATGGGGGGCTACCATAAAAACGTTTTTTTTTGTCTGGCAGCTTCAAATTTGAATATTTTCAAATAATACTTTGGAACAATGTTCGGAACAACTAGAACAACTTGGAACAACTAAAAAAATATTGAATTTCCAAACATGGGGGGCTACCATAGAAAAACGGTTTTTCTTGTCTGGCAGCTTCAAATTTTAGTTTTTTCAAATAATACTTTGGAACAATGTAGAACAAACATAGAACAACCCAGAACAACCTAGATAATAATAAAATTCAAAAAGTGGGGGGCTAACTTCACAGAGGTGTAAAAAGTGCGAACTTTCCTCACCGCCGCCGATCGCATCAGTATTTTCGTCCAGTGAATTCATTTTTCTTGGTCTTTTTCCCGCAGATCCCGAACCTGGATTGACCGGGGCCGGGGGGAGCATATCACCCCCGGCCTCGTTGTCTGCCATATTTAATTAACGACAGACAACTTTGTTATTTTGTAATTAAAATTATCTAAGTATAATAAATTAATTACAATAAAATATTTTTCGGAAAAAAATTTCGCACGTTTGCTTGAAATTCCCGCCAAAGAAATCCAACAAAATATCATTGTCAAAATTCTTTATTTTTGATTTATTTGTAAAATAAGGAAGGCAAAGGAAAAAGTTCAGTTGCACAAAACTAATAAAATGCAGTTAAATAAGATCTCACGACTCAAGTGAGACTTTATATTTACTAAGACGGATTTTACGCGCTGATCTGTTATCTATAGAATTGTTGATCGAAGACTCCAATTAATTTATCAAACATTTACAGATTAGTGAAGTGTCGGCATAGCATACCACCACTTGACGTTGACTTGACGTGCACTTGACATACTTTTTTAAACTTAGTTTTTTGATGGATTTCTTTTGTAACTCTCTCACTTTATTTATTTATTGAAAAGTTGTAAATTCTGAATTATATCAATCAAGTTAATGAAATAAAGAGTAGGTAACTAGGTAATAGAAGACTCGATTAAGTTTATGCTATTGTTGATTAAATAATCGTGGTTGGTTTCGTGGCTTGGTGCTGTTGAAAAGAAAGTTATATTTTTTTACCATTTTCGTTGCATACCGAACTGCTTTTATTATCAATGTAAAGAAATAATCAACCTTGTTTTATTGTAGGAATTGTAGGAAAACCTTTAACGATGCCATTATTCAGCGGTCGGTGCTTGAGTAGTGCCAAGTTGATTGGGAAAACTGCAGTTGTGACCGGCTGTAATGTAGGCATAGGAAAAGAAACTGTATTAGACTTTTATAAAAGAGGTTGGTACTTTAATAACACTCGCACTATCCCATGTTATAATTTTACATGTATCATTTTATGTCATTTGATCCTAATCACAGTAACAAATAGCCCTACCGGGATAAAACCTAAAAATAATGTAATATATATTTGTGCACTAGATTGGATTTTGTGGTTTAAGATTGAATTGTGTTATTACAAAAGATGAATTCTTCAAAATTTGTATTTTATGCTGGGAATGAGTTACATGAAGTGCTTATTTGTTGATTGATTTCATTTCCATTGCTTCTAGGTGCTCGGGTGATAATGGCATGTCGCAGCTTAGAAAAGGCAGAGCAAGCCAAGAGTGACATAGAGAAGGCATGCATTAATTTGCCTGAAAAGGGAGAATTGGTTGTTGTAAAATGTGACTTGCAATCCTTGAGTTCTGTCAGGGAGTGTGCTCAAAATATTTTGAACCAGGAATCTCATATAAACATACTCGTTAACAATGCTGGAGTCATGATGTGTCCTAAAAGTGAAACCGAAGATGGCTTTGAGATGCAAATGGGCACTAACCACTTGGCCCACTTTTTGTTTACATTGCTTTTACTCCCCCGCATCAGAAACAGTAAGCCAGCACGAATTGTAACGGTTTCTTCAAGGGCTCATATAAGTAAGTAAATTAATTTATTAACAAAATGTTAATAAAAGCATATGAAAGTGTAAGTAAATATTTACACTTTCATATATTTACCAGGGCCCTGGTGTGGTATGCTTGTCATTGGCACAGTAATCTTGGCAACAACAGTAACAGACTATATGTACCAGAAACTACTTTGAAGTACAAAACAGGGGTATGGTATCTATTTTGCCTGTTTATGTTTGAAGGAGTGTTATTATTAAAGATCTGATTATCACAATAGTTATGTAGCTTGTATTGGTGGGCACCAGTAATCATTAAGAGACCATCTAAATATCCTAATTTTGATTCTAGTCTTTTGCAATGTAGAAACATACAGAGAAGTAATTTAAATGCTTATATTGTATTAAATTAAATAAAAATAAAAAAACAGATTTTGCAAGTGGTTTGGGCATTGGTGGGACTAGGGCCACCACTAGGACCAGGGCTTTAATTCAGATTGGAATCAGGATAAAGGACAGGATCCCAACTGGACTGAGTGGATTCTTTTCTAGTAAAATTTTCTATAGATTGATACATGTAGTTGAAGATACTTAAAATAATATTATAATCAGGATAAAGTTTAAGTTGTCTAATATTTTTATTTAAAATATTTTCTACAATACTTTAAATTATAAATTGCATAACAGTTACTAGCTGAATTATTTTGTGGCTGATACATGCGTTTTATTTCAGGATATGGTATTAATTTGGATGATATAAATTATAAGACTCGCCCCTATAGTGCTGCTGAAGCATATTCGCAAAGCAAGCTTGCTAATATACTCTTTTCAAAGGAATTAGCATCAAAATTAAAGGTGATTATTTTCATACATAATTTAATATTATGAAATTTTTGATAATAATATTTTAGTATATTATATTTGCATATGGAGTTTTACCAGAAGACTAAATATATTAATGGATTATAATATGAGTAACTTCTGTGCCTGAAATAAGTTTATAAAACCCTGTACCAGGCTAGTATTCATCCCATCTGCATATTATAATAATTAATTAACAATATTAAATATTTCAAATTAAATAATAAAATCTTCACAATTTTTTTTTTCAGGAGCATAATATTGATGGTGTTAACACATATACCTTGCATCCTGGTGTAGTCAAGACAGAACTGGGACGTCATTTGAACGAATCTTTATTCTGGGGTGCCCGAAAAATCATTGGATTCATTTTGGCACCTTTTATGAAATCATCTGAGCTTGGTGCCCAAACAACCATATACTGCTCAGTTGATGAAAAATGTGCAGAAGAAACTGGCCTGTACTATAGGTAAATACAAAATAAATTAATATTGCGTAAATATGTACCAACATTCCATATGCCTTTCAGGTTAATTAGAGAATTAAAGGAGCAGCCTGAAAGTTAAAAGCTTTACTTTATAACCACATCTCAGGAAAGCCTCTGAAATAAAAGAAAAAGAAAATGCCAGAACTTTCTAAGTATATTAACAAAAACAAAAAAATGTAGTGACAGATGTTTTACAGAAACTACTGACGTGTTGTAACTATTGTCTCAAAACATCTTTAATTTATTACAGTACAATAAACTACTGTATTTTTCACTAGTGTTTAAGCTGCAATTCAAGAGATTTAATAGTACATCTATGTTTCAGTGATTGTGCAGCTGTCAAGCCTTCTAACTCCGCTTTAAGTGATGAGAAAGCCAAAAAATTATGGAACATTTCTGCAGAACTTGTAGGTCTAGGTGATTACAATCCTTTTACAGCTGATGATACAAGAATCCAAAAAGCGTAGAAATCGAAAATGCTTCTTTGAAATTCAGGAGAAAAATATGTAGTATATTTTTTTACATTCAAAGCACTGCTCAAAGTATGTTAAGTATATTATTGCAATGACATTATTAGATCTTAACATTCCCATTATGATACTTCTCCATTTTTTTAAGTAAGCATATAAGCAAAACTTCACAATTGCACAATTATAGTTATAATGCACTTCATCTGGAAATGATTCAATTAAACGGAAGTGACAAGAACTGGATGCTAAGTCCATTGGCAGCTTTGACACAACTTTGTTGATTGCACAAAACCTGCATTTAAACTGCAATATGGCAACTGAATACAACATGTCTTGCTGCAGTTTACAGGCAGTCCACTGTTCATTCTCAAATAGTTACTAATGAGAAATAAACTCCCTAGAATAGTCAATGAGCCAGGAATTTGCTAATAAATAGGAAATTGTGCTAATCTCGTATTAAATATAATGTTATTGGTTATTCTGAAGGTTATGGCATTAATAATTAAGTATTGGGCAAATATGTTATTAAATGAAATTGGTTAGCATAATAGTTAAAATATTTTATATGGTATGATGAGATGAGTATTATTTTTACATAATTAATTGACGTTATATAATAAAAGCATTATGAATGCAAAATTTATCATAATACAATAGTATTAAGAATCTATAAGTTTGTTTTTCATGTAAGTATAGTACGTAAGTAATTTAATATTAATAGGGTTTTTAGGGTTCCGTAGTCCTGACAAGGAACCCTTATAGTTTCGCCTTGTCCGTCTGTCTGTCCGTCCCCGGTTTTGCTTGGAGACTGCTGGCACTAGGGAGCTGTGATTTTGTGGAGATATGTATATCAATCATGCCGACAAATTGGTAGAATAAAATGTTTAGGGTAGCTCTGCTACATGTAGATGATTTATTATATACAACCTGGAGATGATTTTATTTTTTCATAGTCCACTTGTTCATCGTTGAATAGGTCCTTTAAAATTACTAAGCTGTTCCTAAGACTATATTTCGATTTAGGGTTCCGTTTTCAAAATATAGAACTTTGAAGTGCAAATTTTGTAGTCCCCCCCCCCCCTCTAAAAGCTAAACTATTGGCTTGAACACCCTTGAAACAACGTTCAAGACAATTTCTGACCTAATAAAATAGAGAAGAAAACATTAAAAGTGACTTAGACGAAGTAATTGCTTAAAATAGTATTCCAAAATATATTGTGGTGACGACAAACAACTATAGAACCCTACACTGCCCGTGGCACGACACGCACTTAGCCGGTTTTTTATGAAATGTAATCTTTATAAACCGAACCAAAATGCTGTTAACTGTGTATAAAAATATTTGTAATAGGGCAGTATAGTTTTTTTTTTAAATAATAGTTTTATATTTATATTTTAGATTGTAAGCGACTTTTTATGAAAATAAAAAATATATTTTAAAGTATCGTATTTTATTACCTCTTGGTAATACTTAAATAAAAACATATATTACGAGGGAAAAGTGTTTGGGATTTAGTGAACATTCTAAAATAAAACTTGTACTTTTAAAGTGTTCAACTAAAGTAACAGCAAAGTTATTACAGTACAAATATAAAGTGTCACACAGTACTAACAAAAAAATCTTTATGACAATTTTACCAATTAATTTTTATCTAACGCTATTACAACATAGGCGCAGAATATAAGTACTTGCTTAATGTATATTTACACATTTGTAGTCATTTAATAAATAAAGTACTTACTCGAGGAGCTCGATGGCGCAAGTGGTTAGCGCGTTCCGCAGCGATCGTTGAATTTAAGCAACTTTCGCAGTGGTCGGTCATTGGATGGGTGACCATAATTTACTATCTTGAGCTCCTCCGTGCTTCCGAAGGCACGTTAAGCCGTTGGTCTCGGCTGCATCTGCAGTCGTTAGCACCCACCAACCCGCACTGGGCCCGCGTGGTGGGTCATGGCCCAATCTCCCTATTCCATCCATAGGGAAGCCTGTGGCCCAGCAGTGGGGACATTAATAGGCTGATGATGATGAAATAAAGTACTTATATGAACTAAAACTATGGTGATGATGCGACAGTAGAAAGTGGTCTATCTATATGGCGCGCTTTTCGAGGTCACGGTAAAGTATCTAGTTATATGGACATACAATCCGATCCGACAGTTCAGTTCAGTAACTTTCACTGTGCAAGTCAGTTGTCGGTGATACGTTCAAAGTAAGACCGTATAAATTACAATAATATTTGAATAAACGTATATCCGAGTGCGACTAGTGAAAATGATTACCCATGCTGAGTATTGTGTGGTTGTGGTTAAAACGCCAGAATACTTAGCCGTTTATTTCATTAATTAAGAACTAGTTTGGTTTAGTGGCTCGTAAAACTAATTTCTCAGTTTGTGGTCAATAGTAACTATTAAGTAACATGTGGCTTAGTGTGTTGCGTACTTTAGCAGTATTTATTAAATTTATCATTCGGTGTCGGGACGATTTGCAAATTTAGTTTGGAAGTAAAGGAAAACGTAAGTAGAGTAGAACAATAAATTCTAAACAGTTTTCGCCTGTGGTTCTCGCCTACAAAAGGTACAATTATTATAAAAGATCATAGTACACAACCATATTCCGGTTCCGTCACAAGGTCACAAAACATAAATTGTGTAATAAATACTTGATCACACTCTGTAGTCTATACGTTGTTATAATTATAGTTAGACTCATGGAGATGGTTAGACCGCTGCAATGTCCTATCCGCAGCGAGAGATAGCTTCTTATATTTTGGTCACTCAATCGGCAACTTGTTACTTATAGATAATAAATTTTATTTAATAATATGTATTTTAAATGCGAATGCGAGGTTGTTTTTCTTACGTTTTCACACCTAAATCATTGAATCGATTATGCTGAATTCTGGTATAGAGATAGACGGTTACAGGATACTTTCCGTCGTGAAAAAAAAGCGGTGAAGTGGGAGATGAAGTTTTGTATGAGTTGATAAACCAGTTAAACCACGCAGACAAAGTCACGGGAAGCTCCTAATTACATTAAATTTATGACGGTGGATTAGGAGCGAAAAATATAATTGTGCCAGCTTTTAATTTGCCCGTGTACATTTTAACAAAACTCTGATGAGCTCATCCCTTTTAACAACCTCTCTAGCATCAGGATCGTGATATTGAACGCGTTTTTGTCACGTTCAATTCTTATCTACAATAAATTAAATCGTATTTTGAAAACTGAGTCCCGGGCCACATAACATTTACATCTGTACAAGGTATTGTAGATTTTTATTTATATGTGTGACCATTTGACATTAGGAATTATGCATTGGTTTTGCGTAGTTTAGAAAGTAATTTGAGTGGTTACATAGAACATAAACAAACATACAACACTCTACTTGTAAGATTTCCGTCGGAGGTCATGCAGATAATCCGAAGGAAATCTTGTTACGAAGTTTTTGGTAATCACATTGAATGCACACCTATTACTCCTAAATCAATTTTGACTTGATATTTTTCTTAAGTACCTTACAAGTAGAATCAACTTTTCTTCCCTAATACCACAATTTAAACTGAGTCGTAGGGTGATTTTAATTCTCTTAACACCACTCTGTCCTACTATGCAGTTAGGTGCTAATTCTGCTATCCCTCGCCTATCCTGAATTCTGAATGTATATTAAACTTTTCACGATGCCAATCCAAACAGCAAACGCGCACTACTGTAAATCCTAAGTGACAAAAAATCCAAGTGCGTGTACTACGGCTACGGCCACGGGGAATGTAGTGTTCCGTAGTTGCCCGTCACAAATATAGAAGTATTTTGGGGTACGTCTGAATAGAATCTGGCTCTCTTCTCTCATGATCGTATCGACCCGGTCTTAGTAGATAGGTACTGCTACACACTGCTACTGAGAGTGTACTGCCAAGAACAGCCCACTTCAATCGTAGATCGAGAATGAACTCCTCCAATGCAATGTACGTAAACATTATTATATGATCAAATTGATCACACTAGAGATACCGTGCGATTTCAGCCGCTTTCATTTGAAAAAAAATGGTTACAGTAAGTCAAACATAAGAAATGGACATAAGTATGCCGTCGCGGAGTTTTTGTACACACATACCTAAGTAAGTCCATCAATGCCTGGTTGTGGTCAAAGCTTGTGTTGTCTTTTCTCAAATAATGCACGGAATTTAAAACTAAGTAGTACCAAGGCAGAGCTTTCTAAAGTTTGGAAAATCCATGACAAACAACGTATCTACTACAACAATTTTTCTCGTTATAATTTTTATTATTTTTAAAGCATGTAACTGCTTGATGTTTAAATCTAAAGAAAATATAACTAGAAAAAATTCCAGCGGACCAGGCAGCAGACGGGACTCGAACCCGCACCCTTCGCAATCCGGGCGAATGCACTGACCAATTATGCTACCGCGGCCCTCACGGACCGCGTCGAAATTCTTCTAACCATTCCTAATTTTTCCCGTGTTAAAGTGTGTGTTTGTTTTTGAAGTGAAAACTTAATTAGCACCGTTTTGATTTGAAACTCTATGAAACAAAAAAAAGCGACAGTGTTTGACACAAGGTATCCGTGATTTTGTAAATCTCTGCCAGAGACAGTAGGTACATAGCCGAACGGTAACGGTCTTGGGGTCGACACCAAATGATCAGTAGTAGTTCGATCCTGAGCTAGGTATTTTTTTTTCTTTTTCTTTTATTTAGCTATTATTTCTTTTTCGAAACAATTTAAGTATAAAATATTTAATTTTGACCGAGAGAGTTTAATTTTAACACAGGTGTTGTCTTAAGACGTACCTAGTCATGAGGACTTTTACGTGTTCACATTTTTGTAGGTTTTACTTCTATCACATATGAACAGCACATGTCCGTTTTTTTTTTCATAAACAGCTTTGTATTTCGAAATCAAGTTCGAATTTTAAATAAAACCTTTGATAAGTTATCTCATTGGTTGCAATTTTTCGCAGTAAAAGGTCGTTCCAAGGACCTAGCAAATATCGTAATTTGGCAAATAATAATAAATATTTCCAACACTCGCACCAATTAGCCTAGCCCCAAAGTAAGCACTGTAAGGCTTGTATTATGGGATGCTAGGGTAACGGTTAAAATACATATACTGTACATTTATATAGAAATATATATTAAACATACATGACTGGAGTACAAATAAAGTGATTATCAATATTATCCATTTTTAAATTTCACGACAGATATGAGTTTACTATGTCATTTATTAGGCGCTTAACACGACATATATGAATTATACAACTTTTGCCGGCCGCTGCTCGTATGTATGTAGCCAGTACAGGAATTTCTATTTAACTCAAAGAAGGTTGTCAAAATAATACATTTCCAAGTATGATGGTAGTTCCTGTGATTAGCGCGTGCAACTAAACAAAAGAACTCTTCAGCTTTATAATAGTAATATAGTAGATTTAATATCAAAATTCTGGGTACATAAATTAAAAGTAAGTAGAACAAAATAAAATTTTGAACTTTTCACGCAAATGTATGCCGTTGTCTTCGGTACAATTATCCGTGCTTTAGTAGTGTACTTTAGTACTGGAGTACCTTAACCACCCCCGCCAGATTTGGTAACTGAGATTATTTAGGGAGTTGGGTTATTAAAAAAACTAAGAAAACTCGTTAATACTTAATACAATACTTACCTGAAGCCGTATTATAATCTCTTGGAGCAACATAAGTTCATTTTTTAGAGTGAGACAGGTAGGTTAGGCAGTGCACCATTCCGCTTCAGCCCTTGGTTTTGCCTCGCGTTATGAGGTCGTATTCCGGATTCTGGACCAGTCATGCTTAATACTTTTGTTTTTTTTTAGTTTTCATCCTTGAGGATGGACTATTTAAGCGGTTGGTGTAAAAGCAAGCGTCGTTTGGAGGGGATCACTGCTATCGTTACCGGTTCCAATACTGGTATAGGCAAAGAAACTGCGGCAGACTTCTTTACTCGAGGTTTGTACTACCAACAGTTGTATAAGGAATAAGATAGTTATTTAAACTTAATTTTTAATAATTTAAGAATAATTGAAGTATCGTTCATTCAAAAAGAGTTTCTTGCTGGTTCTTAATAGTACCTACAGTCCAGTTTCCCGAGGCGCTGGGGTCCTCTCTCTAACGTAACAACTTTTCAATCTTTAGAAGAGCTTGTAACAGACTAGACTGAATAAAGGATTACATGATTTAGCATGCCTACATAGTTAAATCAAAAGGAATCTTACTTCTTCCAGGTGCCCGAGTAATAATAGCATGCAGAGACGTAAAAAAAGGCGATGCCGCTAAAAAAGTAATTGAAAATTCGATTACCGATTCCAGAAAAGGGGAGATCGTGGTTGAAAAGTTAGACTTATCTAGTCTGAGCTCTATTCGAGAATTCGTTAAGAGAATATTAGAAAACGAGAAACATATCAATATTTTGGTGAACAACGCTGGTGTGATGATGTGCCTCGAAGGCAAGACTGAGGACGGGTTCGAGACACACATGGGGACAAATCATTTGGGACACGCGCTACTAACACTATTGTTATTGCCTATTCTCATGCGTAGCGACGCTTCAAGGATAGTCTGCGTGTCATCGTATTTACATCTCAAGGGTAATTATTTTTTTCTTGTCTTAGGTATAGGTGGTAGAAGGTAATGAATTTGCTTGACTTTTTTTAACAGGCAAAAAATAATTATAATTTAATTTGAAAAATATCAATACGATAGGTACGGCTTAAATACAGTCAAATAATATAATAATATGCTTACTTACCAAAGTTTCTCAATTCGATCGTATTTAAATGAAATGAATAATTTTTGATTGAAACCGAGTATGGAATGCGCTAGGTACGTTTTCTATCCGATTAACCTCAAATGCTGTAAGTATAATTAGTTTTACCTTCTGTATTTTTAACGTTAAATTGGTATTAGATTTATAAATCTTAGGATAGTTTTACCCCCTATAAAATTAATCCACTGGGTTTAGATGTCAGAATGGTTTCGAACCAGCGTGCAGCGACTTTCGTTCTTCGGGTAAAGGCTCTTGTTGATGAATCGAAGCACTAATTAACTACCTTGTTAATTATTTGAAATGTCACACTTACTTAAATGTACTTTTAAGGTCAGCTGGATTTAGAAGACATGAATTTCGAAAAGACTCCCTATGATGCTTACAAGGGCTACTGTAAAAGCAAGGCCGCAAATGTTTTGTTTGCAAGGGCACTTGCGAACGAATTAAAGGTATTAATCGTTTCCTTATAAAAACAAGTCTTCGGACATAATTTACCCTTTTAAGGTAAAGTCGATGATCATGGTCAATCCACGTAGACAATAAAAGACTTAAATTAGGTGCTTACTCTTCGTAACTGTTAGCAGAGCATCATATTAAGTGTTTTGTATTAAAAAGATTATATTCAATGACCTTCTATACATAATTCAAAAATTTTGTTTGTAATATTGCTTAAATTCCACGGACGCGTTAACCACTTGCGCAATCTTGACTTTATAAAAAAGATTGCTCAGCTTCCATACATGTTTGGCCTAAAGACCAATAATCATGAAAAATTGTTTCCTAGATTCGAAATTATATATAAATTACTGTAGAAACAAATAGTATTGACGGACACCCCTGAGAACTTCTATAAACCATATACACTGAACATATTAAAATAATAAAAAACAAATAAGTTATATAGTAAACTAGGGAAATCAAGCCAAGTACCGAAATTATGGATTAGATTCATATACCTGAATCTAAGCATGTAGATTAACAGATAGTTGCCTGTTTTTAAAGTTAATGCATAAGAGTAACTTTTAGAATCAGGTGTCATTTCCGGTTATAATAAGGTACTCTGTGACAGAAACTGTGATGATTGTGAATGAGCCACATATTAGAGAGAATTTTTAAACTCTCGTTAACCAAAGAAAGCTAAGAGATTTAGGTTCTATAGCCATATATTCAGTAGCTTCATTATTTTTGTTAAGTTTTTAAGATAATCATATTTTAGATTTTTAGTGTATCACACCTTATAATTTTATTTATTTATTAATTTATAGTCAGGGAACTCAGGCCCATAGATAGATACCTTAAAGTCTAACATATATACAGATTATAATGTGGTTATTATGGAGGTGTTTGGCGAAAAATGTATGGCAATAGACTTTATGATGTCGCCTACCATCTATAATCTGAGCACATTTGCATCTAGTGAAAATTATAATATAGTAGTGGATATTAATACCACAGTGTAATAAAAAAAAATTTTTTTTTCGATCTTTACATAAATAGATTTGTTTTTATGGTATATAAACAACTTCGATAAGTCTTTGGCTGAATGTTACTACACCCATAGCCATTAAAAATGATTCGTATGTTTTCCAAACCGGTAAAATTAAAAGTCCTTTTTAAAGTAAATATATTATACAAAGGTGTCCGTTGAAATCTAATGACTGTAAATTAAATTATAAGTTACGCTAAGAATTACCGTGTATGTCAATATTTTTTGTGCATTTAGGCAATCTCCTTTTAGTTAACCTTGCCGCATTTAGCGCATCATGCATACAGAATAACTCGATTATACCCACTGTTACTCGGTAGTTGTGTTGTTGGCTTAAGGTTAAGCACTAAAAGTGTATTATGTACTTAAAGTAATATTAACACTACCAACAGTCCCCACGTAGCTTTGCATGAACAAAGTTAATTGCACTCCCTACGTAGACTTGCAACTGTTGGCGTCAAAGAGACGATCAGATGATCGAGCACGTATTTTGATCGTATCCACATCGTCAATTTTTTGTGGAAGGAGCCAATTTGTTCTTATGTCCGGTAGGAGCGTTGCTTAGTTTTTCTTTTTTTATATAGCCAGGTAGGCAAATGAGTCTACCCCACTTGATGTTAAGTGGTGATCTTTATTACTTAGACTTTTCCAAACGCGAAGATTACTGCTACAGCAGTTATAAACTGTCACACCAACCATCCGCACCTTGCCGGCCTATAAAAATGCTTATGCACGCCTCTCTTAAAGGACCCCAGATTGTAGGAAGGAGGGAGCACGTGCGCGGGCAAAGAATTTCACTTACGAATAGTACGACAAAGACATAAGTCACCAAATTTCTTTGATCGTGTAGGAATAGTGGCCACCGTAAGTCGGTAGCACCGTAGGCCAGCGCGCGTGGTCCTCTGAAGAAAAGGTGATGGAGGGATAAGGAAGAATAACTCCTCAGAACACTCGCCGTGGTATAGTCGGTAGAATGATGCCACATCGCGACGTAATTGTAGACTCGAGTTTGTTAGTTACCTCTATAAAGAAAATAAGTTAATACATAAATAAAGAAACTTTGATGATGCGTTTACGGAGCTGTCAAAATTCGTATTTGGGCTTTAGAAGAGCTTCTAACAACCAAGACTGACTGTTTGAATGTACCTATGTTTGTACCATTGCTTTTCAGAAACGGGGTATTAAAAACGTTACCACATACAGTTTGCATCCAGGCGTGGTTAGCACAGAGATCGGGAGGCACTTCAGCGAATCCGTGATATGGGGTGCTTCATGGATCTTCAACAACATTATCACTTACTTTTCCAAATCACCGAAATGTGGCGCACAAACGAGCATTTATTGCGCCATTGACGAGGGTTGCTCCCACGAATCGGGGTTGTACTACGCGTGAGTTTTTTTTTGGCGGACTAAGGATATTTTTTTTAACCTAAGTCTATTTAAATGGTATGACGGAATCAGTTTCACTTTTTATGAACTTTGACTTTATAACGATTCTTGGATTTATAATTCAGGCTATATTTACCCAAGGGCGGAAGAAGGAAGGTAATTTTATTAATTTATTAAACCAGAAAACATTGTTTCCATCCAGTCTTTTGATAGTAGATATTGATATTATATTTACAAACATTGATTTCGCTTTCATTCAGATGTTATCTTCTTTATAAATAGGACTACCCTAAAAATATATTTTTTACAGTGACTGTGCCGTATTGAAGCCATCGACGCAGTGTCAAGATGACGAGTTCGCTGCAAAATTTTGGGACTGGACCATACAAAGTTTAAAATTGCAAGATTACGACGCATTTCAAACTCTAAATTAATAAGTACCTAAACTGCGCTTCATTGAATACTATGAATTATCATTAAAACATTTGGTCCCTTGAATCAATTTTACTGTATGAGTGACAATGAGTAATCTTACCTGTAGACTGCGAATATTGTGCATTAAAAAAAATTAAAAAGCCCATTTTTATTCAAAATTGCGAAAGAATGTTAAGTGCGTACAAATCCAAATTGCGTAATGAAAAGTATCGGAAGGGGGTTTCAAATATATAAAAAAATATCAATAACATCATCTTTTATAGGAAGAGTTGACACGACATTCCGGTGAGGGCAGAACTTCTTAGATGTCGATTCTGCACGAATCTCTATCTAAACTTAAATTTGACAACAGTGTATCCTTGTCATTCTCCTCTATACAGAATGAAAACGAGAGACTGATGTTAAATTTAGTTTTAAGTTTAGAGAATCACGCCAGGGTCGACGTTTTAACACAAGTGATCAGTTTTTGTACTATAAAATGTTTAGCATTTGGAAAATTAAATAAGTTGTTTACACTTCTAGCTAAATATTATATTGTAATTTTGTTAAATAAAAGAAAAAAATGATTCCTAATTGTTATCAGTAGTATCACTGGTGAATATGATAAGACAAGAATGATCACTAATATTGATATTATTGTAAAAATCTGAAATGGAACTGTACTTAAAAAAATGTAAACAGCTGAATATGTAACTATGTATTTAGTTTATTGCTGGTTATTTTATAATCATTGTAACAGAACTTTTTTGTTAAATATTTCACAATATATTTACAATTTATATAATCTTGTGTATTTTGTGTTTTCTTTGAATATTAGCAATTATTTGAATTGTTTTAAGTATCTCTTACTGATGAAATAACAATCATTTACCTAGTTTATACTCAAAAAAGTTTTATTTTGATGTAAGGATTCACCATTCTGCCTTACATCTCCAACTGCTGAGGCCCCCTTCATAACACATGCCATTAATGTTGTTTTATATAATACATAAACATTTGTACATCCAACAATGAAAACTTTTTATTACACTTTTGCTGTAGTAAAATGGTATAAATATAAATTATAAAATCATAACAGTTTATACTAATCACAGGGCTGAAAATATATTTTAAACATAGTTTTCATACATACATCCTTTGTAGTGATCACATCACTTAATCGTAAAAATAAATAACAAACTGTCTCAACAAATGAAACAAAAATTAACTAGAAATATGACTAACTGCTTATATTAATTCATGGATATAATGCTTTTCTAAAAATTTCATAGGACGCATTTATTATACCCCAACTTATAAATGCTCTTGATATATTAAGTAATGCTCCATGATAGAAGTTAGCAAACTTTGAACCTCTTTTGTGTAAAATATATCTAAATTCATACAAAATTGTTCTATGGCCTCCACCCAGTTCACATTGCATTGCTATCTTTATGACATTGAGGGGGTAAAACAGGGTACTCAAAAACGCTCCAATTGATGCTCCTGCTAAGAAATTTTGTAAGCTTGCATAAAAAATTAATTTCTGCTGGGGTAGTTTATCTTTGATTTCATCTCTAATAATAAAAAACATGGCATTGGAAGGGCCATTTCTGTACAATATAGGTATGAGACCTCTATAAAATTCTTTGATACCATAATGCTTTGAAATATATCTAGCAGCGTGTCCTGTGTTTTTGAATTCTTGATGAAACTTTGGATGAATGAGTAAAGTTTGTAATCTCTCGAAAGGCATTAGAGTTGCTTCGAAACAACCTGCCACTACACCAGCCACAGTTTTAGCAACATATGGATTAACTTTATGATCTAACAGTGGCCTTAAACACTCATCATATACACCAAACATAAGAGACATTGACAATGTTCTTTGCAACAAAGGTGGTAACATACCACGGTATAAGTAAGCCAAGCCCTCTTTCTGAAGTTGATTCAGTGCAAATGTAGCTTCAACACCATGCATCATCTGAAACAGAGATATCATCATTATTATACTATATTTGAATAATCTTAGAAACATATTTTTACCAAAAACATTAACACAAGTTGCAAATTCATTTACCTGTCTAAATATGAGTTTATTTAGAGGATAACTGATAATAATATTACAGAAGGCTGACCCTCCTCCACAAACAAACTCTTTCCAGTGAATGAGTGGTTGTGGTGATGACATTGCGACTTCTATGCCTGCATCCTTTAGACGACGTGTCTCTAGAAGCTGCTGTTCACTAATATCCATTTTTCTTTTACAATCACATGACAACATTATTTCAGCTCCATTATCTAAATAAACAAAAGTTGACATCTAGTATTAGACGGAAACAGCAGCAAGCAAGAATGCAGACCAGATGGATAGAACTTATATTACATGGGCACTACAAACATAGCGATAAGTGTCTTGAGTACATATTAATCGAAACTTCAATGAGCATTACATTTCCATGTCAATTTATTACGTAAAATAGTTTAAAAAATAAAGTACTTTAAAGATATGAAAAGTAGCAAGTGATGTTTAAAGTCAGATCAATATACAAACCTACATTGCGTATTTTATTTGGTAATAAAAAAAATAAACATCTATTAGCTGTTAGTTAACATCACTAAGCATTTCTTCAATATTTTCTAAAACTACCTAACCAAATTGTACACAAAAAATGACAGGGAAATGTCAAAAATGTGTCATTGGCCTGTGCCTGTGCCGCGTTCCAACCTCCGTACAACTAAAGTCTGTCTGTCTGACTTCGTATCATACATTTTATGTCAAAATTGAAACGCATTCCCCCATTAAAATAAACGAAGAATAAGCTTGGATTAGTTTAACTCCATGTTTTGTCTTTGTTCATTGAATGACAAAGACAAATAGCATTTGAGTGATATGAACAAAACACAGCGTAACAATTTATTATTTGAAATGTTGCACTGAGAGCGTAGGTTTTGAACGCAGCCCAGTGTCACAAACTTTTCTGTGCTGGTGGCAAGAATTTACAATACAATTTTTCCATATACTTTTGACATTTTTGTTGGCTGCTAGCGACATCTCCACGGCACAGATAAATTTGTGGCACTGTAGCTATAGTAACGTTGACAAAAACTAGAAGGCATCGGCATATTATCCAATAACGGTATCCAGTCGCATCGGTATTCTAAAAACGCCCACCCCTACTCAACAACAGTCTGTCCTTATCATGCTTAATAAGCAATGAAAAGGACAGACTGATGTCAAGTTTACTTAAGAGTCAAAGGAAATTGTAAAGTGAATTGCCGGCATAAGATTTATCATTGTTGTGTTGGATTGGAATTTTGTTTACTTTCAATTGGTGAACTTGTCATTACAATAATTTCTGCATTTCTTTCGGGCAAAATAAATGCAACATTAAATAAACATAACATTTCCATTTAATTCACACATTATGACTGCTGTGTTAAAAAAGAGAGCTTTAGCAGAGTATAGTAAATCTTTTCAGGTTAGTTTATTTTATTTGGGATGGTTTATAATTTTGTGATATGCAGAGCCTTTCATTGATATAATATTTATATTTTTAAGGATGGACCACCTACGAAAAAACTCCACTTAGTTAAGAAACCGCTGATTGGTAGTTCAGCAGCAGCATTTGTTGGGCTTTTGGAGAAGTGTAAATCTAGTGATGAAGCACTTCAGTTGCTGCTCCGTATATCGGACTGCTTACAGTTCCAGGAGTCTGATGTGGAAGAAGCTATCAAAAAACTTTCTGAGCACTTCCAGTCTGAAGAAGATTCAGTTGTTCGAGTGAAAATACTTTGGTTGTTTTGCGACATCGGGTTGGAATGTCCTGGGGCAAACCTTAATAATTTAATCGATGAAACTATACATTTAATAAAGAATGAAACATCTCATAAGGTTAAGTTTTACTGATTTTAACTCAATAAAATTAGGTATATATACTTGCAAGTTATTTGCTAAGTACTAAATACAATTCATTTTTCTCAGGTCATAGCACAAGGTATAGCAACACTAATAAAACTTGGCAATAAGTTGACTGATGATAAAATTCTCATGATGCGATTGGTTAGTGTGGCCAAGGATAATCTGAAAGATACAAGTCACCAGGTGAAGTGTCGGTGTTTACAGCTCATTAGCGAACTGTACCCTATATATCCAGAGTCAGAAAGAACAACAGACATGACAGCAGAGGCTAATGCTATTGTCAAGTTGCTTGCAGACTATTCCAATGCTGAGGTATTTGAAAACATATTGTTTATCTTCTATAGTGTCCTGCCAATGCAAAACAAATTACACTTTAACAGATTAGAGGACCAATTAATCTGTTATAATGTTATTTGTTTTATTTGATGGAAAAGGGTAGTTTCTGATTACATAATGTGTTTGCTTTTTATCTTGAAAATTATCAAAGGGTTAATTTTCATTCCCCTGAGAAAACTTGTACTTGCAATTAAATTCAAATAATTTTATCTCAACCATTGTAGGCTATGCAACCTCATCATAATTAGATAACTGGACTGTTTGGTTGTCACTCTTTTTACTTTTGTACTTCAAATTTCTAGTATCTGTTATTCTCACAATTCTCATTTCAGGATGCAAGGGTACGCTGTGAATCTTTTCAATCACTATTAACACTTGATGAAAGAGGGCAAACACTGAGTGCAGAACTCTATGAAAATGTGTGCCCTGCTCTCTCTGATGACTATGAGATTGTAAGAGAAGTGGCCCTAAAACTAGTATGGTTATTGGGCAACAAATATCCTGAAAAGTGAGTGTTTATATTAATCATTAACTAAGTACCATTGCTTTTAATTATAAATGGCTAAAAAAGCAAGATGTTTTGTTCCTCATTATCATTATCATCATCAGCCTATTAATGTCACCACTGCTGGGGCACAGGCCTTCCCAATGGATGGAATGGTGAGATTGGGCCATGATCAACCAACCAGTTCAGTTTGGTGGGTGCTATCAACTACAGATTTTTTGTTAACTTAAGTCTAAAACTAAACCAAATGACAATAAGTCATAGTAACTCATGATTCTTCAGGTGAATAGATTACACAATAAATTGGCAAAATATTGTTTCGGGAGTAAAACCTAACTAACTCCAACAATATTGATAATCTTCAAGTTTTCTAAATTCCATAGTTATATTTGGACACTAAACTAATTGATTCCATGTATAATTATTTGAATTTTTAATAGTTTCAAAATTAGGTTTGCCATTATTTACGCTGTATTATTTACATGATTATATTATTTACCAGTTTTGCATTTCTAAAAATACAGTTTCTGAAGTAATGACGGACCAGGCATATAACTTAGTGTCATGTAAAGACGAGAATAATTATTATTATTAAAGTATATGGAACTGATAAATATACTCTGCAATAATACCATTTATTATCAGATCAATTAGGTGAAATAAAATGCTCTCGAAGTTTAAATATTTCCTTTTACACACTCTATACACTTCTATTGCCCTATAAAATTAGCACTATAATAATATGACTATTTGGTATATTTGAATAAAAAAAAACTATATTTGTAATAATATGATTTGTGTGTTTGTTGTAACCGGAAAGCACATGTAATAGTGAAATAAAAAAGAAATCTCATTTTTGCATATACGCCCCTGTTGCATGAGACCCGCGAAATATATCGCCCTTGACAATCCAAGCTTTTGATCAGATAGGGCGAGATTATTTTAGATATTTCAGTCGCCCATTGCTACCTGGCGGTTGGTTGGCCTAGCATAATGGATCAGATACATAATATTGAAAATGCGGCACCGCCCTATTCGCGGCGTCGTCGCTGGTTGCATAGGTGCAATATTGATTTGATAGTCTTTGCTTAGGAATGGATTGTAGGTTGGGTTCAAACAACAAAACAGTAATATGAACTGTCTATTTAGTGTAACAACATTACAAGACGGCGAGACAACCATGCGCCTGGTGGACGACGCGTTTATCCGCATCTGTTCAGCTGTGAACGACCTCTGCATGCAGGTGCGCGCGCTGGCCTGCACTCTACTCGGGACCACTCGCGGAGTCTCCGATCGCTTCCTGTTGCAAACACTGGATAAGCAACTCATGAGCAACATGAAGGTATGTAACCAATGTAAATTATAATCAGATCTGGGGCCCAATTCTCGCGGCGTAGATATTATATCGGCTTCGAGATAATATCGAAAGGAGGGATATCTATTGAAAATATCTACTGATGGTAAAAAATGCTATTCTCGTGGATTTTCGATATTCCAATGATATTATATCTATCGTAGATATTCTGTCACTGCCGAATGCGTTCCGTTTTTCTCGATTAAGTTAACATCATAGTCTATATAAAATAATAATAAATTAGAGCAGAATTTTACAAGCAACAAAATGATATTTTATGAATTCCATTCATATTAAATATGAGTATACATTTTTTGAGTATAAGAAATCTCAACTTTACCTAAATTGTATGCGTGTATAATTTCAACGTTATGTATAATGAAACGTCAATATTATTTAAGATTCTCCCTTTTTAGGGAAGGCAAAGGGAACAATGCCCATACAGCCTAGTCTTTAGTTATATTAATCTTCTTTTTTTACATTAGAATGTCGGTGTGACGCATTCTAATGTTTCTTGGAGTGTTTGGCACGAAATTTATGGAGTTGGCTTTTTCTCTAAGCTTCTGTGAGGTAGTCAACACTACAATAAAATTCTCGCGCCCACTTGACCGGAATAGCGTATATATTAAAGATTCCACTAATTCTTCAGTTGCGCAGACGGTTGTAACACCAAATCACACCAATTTTATTTCACAATAGCCACTATGAACGAATTTTAGAATAATTAAAATAAGACGCCAACCGCACTCGCAGAAATCCCGCCAAAAACTCCGTATCGTCAATAAGAAAATGGTGTCGATTCTGGCATGATTCTCTAAACCTAAACGTAGACAACAGTGTATCCTTGTCATTCTCCATACAGAATGAAAAGGAGAGACTGATGTTAAATTTAGTTTTAAGTTTAGAGAATCATGTCAGAATCGATACCAATGTCATTCATAACTTTATAGATTTATAACCAAATTTTTGTTTAAACGTAATTTTTTTATGAAGTCGGCGCCCCTCATTTCAAATGGGCCCTCTTGCTCTCACAACGGCGGCGCCTTAGCACAGCAGCAGCAATCACTAAATCATTGATGAAAACATGAATCAACTCATCCATCGTTAATATAAACTGGTGTCGATTCTGGCACGATTCTCTAAATCTAAACTTAAGCTTGAAAACAGTGTTTCCTTGTCATTCTCTATACAGAATGAAAAAGAGAGACTGATGTTAAATTTAGGATTAAGTTTAGAGAAGCTGAACGCACAAACTGTGCATGCCATAAAAAAAAGAAAAAGAAGAAGTTTAGAGAATCACGCCAGAATCGACACCATTGTTTACCTACTTCTTTATTTCCTAATTATTTATGAAGGCAGTTAACAACATCTGGAGGTAACAATAATTGGCAATGACACACGACAACACAACAAATAATAGGTAAAAAAAGTGGAAATAACAAGATTGACATGCCAAGATCCATAGATATTTATATATCGAAGGCTCTTTACCAGTCGATGTATGTCTACTGATCATCCGTAGATAAATATCTATTGCGACATGGTGAGAATAGGGCAAAAAGGTTTTCCTTCGATAAAAGGCAGATCATTCGATATATATCGAAGGTGATATAATATCTATGCCGCGAGAATTGGGCCCCTGTAATTACTTTTTAGCGTTTGCGATTTTGCTTATTATTCCAGATGTTTACATATGACATGCTTACATAATCTGAAATAACAAACATCTGGCATCTACTGTTTCGATGTAAAAGATTCACTGACACTTGCTTATGCAATTAAAGTAGTATTTATTTTGAACCTTATTCTCCCTTGCTATGGGTAACAGAAAAAGCGCACTGCTCACGAACGCGGGGCAGAACTGGTGCGGTCTGGGGCTTGGGCGAGCGGGCGACGCTGGGCGGACGACGCGCCCGGCCAGCTGGTGGAGCAGGACGACGTGCAGCTGCTGCCAGGCGGCGCCGCCGGAGCGTTCGTACACGGGCTGGAGGACGAGCTCATGGGTGAGGGCAGTATGTACCGGCCACGAGCGGGCGACGCTGGGCGGACCTAGCGCCCGGCCAGCTGGTGGAGCAGGATGACGTGCAGCTGCTGCCAGGCGGCGCCGTCGGGGCGTTCGTGCACGGGCTGGAGGACGAGCTCATGGGTGAGGGCAGTATGTACCGGCCACGAGCGGGCGACGCTGGACGGACCTAGCTCCCAGCCAGCTGGTGGAGCAAGATGACGTGCAGCTGCTGCCAGGCGGCGCCGCCGGGGCGTTCGTACACGGGCTGGAGGACGAGCTCATGGGTGAGGGCAGTATGTACCGGCCACGAGCGGGCGACGCTGGGCGGACCTAGCGCCCGGCCAGCTGGTGGAGCAGGATGACGTGCAGCTGCTGCCAGGCGGCGCCGTTTGGGCGTTCGTGCACGGGCTTCAGGACGAGCTCATGGGTGAGGGCAGTATGTACCGGCCACGAGCGGGCGACGCTGGACGGACCTAGCTCCCGGCCAGCTGGTGGAGCAGGATGACGTGCAGCTGCTGCCAGGCGGCGCCGTCGGGGCGTTCGTGCACGGGCTGGAGGACGAGCTCATGGGTGAGGGCAGTATGTACCGGCCACGAGCGGGCGACGCTGGGCGGACGACGCGCCCGGCCAGCTGGTGGAGCAGGACGACGTGCAGCTGCTGCCAGGCGGCGCCGCCGGAGCGTTCGTACACGGGCTGGAGGACGAGCTCATGGGTGAGGGCAGTATGTACCGGCCACGAGCGGGCGACGCTGGGCGGACCTAGCGCCCGGCCAGCTGGTGGAGCAGGATGACGTGCAGCTGCTGCCAGGCGGCGCCGTCGGGGCGTTCGTGCACGGGCTGGAGGACGAGCTCATGGGTGAGGGCAGTATGTACCGGCCACGAGCGGGCGACGCTGGACGGACCTAGCTCCCAGCCAGCTGGTGGAGCAAGATGACGTGCAGCTGCTGCCAGGCGGCGCCGCCGGGGCGTTCGTACACGGGCTGGAGGACGAGCTCATGGGTGAGGGCAGTATGTACCGGCCACGAGCGGGCGACGCTGGGCGGACCTAGCGCCCGGCCAGCTGGTGGAGCAGGATGACGTGCAGCTGCTGCCAGGCGGCGCCGTTTGGGCGTTCGTGCACGGGCTTCAGGACGAGCTCATGGGTGAGGGCAGTATGTACCGGCCACGAGCGGGCGACGCTGGACGGACCTAGCTCCCGGCCAGCTGGTGGAGCAGGATGACGTGCAGCTGCTGCCAGGCGGCGCCATCGGGGCGTTCGTGCACGGGCTGGAGGACGAGCTCATGGGTGAGGGCAGTATGTACCGGCCACGAGCGGGCGACGCTGGACGGACCTAGCTCCCGGCCAGCTGGTGGAGCAGGATGACGTGCAGCTGCTGCCAGGCGGCGCCGCCGGGGCGTTCGTGCACGGGCTGGAGGACGGACTCATGGGTGAGGGCAGTATGTACCGGCCACGAGCGGGTGGCGCTGGGCGGCTACCTGGCACTAACTATGTTGGTTGTGAAATTAGCGCAAGTCGTGGCTTCACTGAATTAAAACCGGTCATAGCTGCGCTGCGCTTGCTGCTTACATTTACATTTTATCATTCTGTAATACGAGCCTATTTTCACAGCCATATAGTTTAAATTGCTCTATACGATTAGTGTAGCGGTCAAACTGTCGCGCGAATTGCCGTTTAGCGATAAAACTTTCGATCTACGACGAACGTACTAGTCACATAAAAAGAAAACAACGTCAGGACGACTCCATTAGCCATTTTGATCTCTCTTTTGAATTGGTTGGTCAGACGTGTCACAACAAAGCAAATAATGCGTTATTATGTATGGTCTTAGTATAACACTACCGTTTGCTTTCTTTTTTCTGTTCTAAGACACGAAGAATCATATTGCTACACACAAAGACCACCTTCCCACAAAGTAACATGTACTTTAATACCTATTCTGGATTTTCAACAATAGATTATTACATTTTTTTTACACTGTCGACAACTCTTTTCATTTAATCAAACAGTAAATGGACGTAGCACATCATATCGACACTACAATATTATATTTCGTTCTTTATAAATTACTGGCATTCATTACATCTTCTCTAAATCTGTATACAGAGGTCCGTACGGCAGCCGTTGATGCCGTCTGTCAGTTGTCTATGGAGAACCCCGTGTTCGCAACCACTTCACTAGACTTCTTAGTGGACATGTTCAACGACGAGATAGAGGACGTGCGCCTGCGCGCCATAGACAGTCTCACGCGCATCTCGCACCATATCGTGTTGAGAGAAGACCAGTTGGAGACTATACTAAGCGCATTGGAGGTAAGCATTATAATAATACTTTTTATACAAATGGTCTAAAAAATTATAGGTGGTTTTCTAATAATTACAAATATGTATTTGGTGTTGAGTTGAGTGAAGTTTAACCCCAAAACTGATTATTGGGGCTTTATACAGAAGATATTGCTTACCATTTTGATGTTTGGGCAAAACTCTCATTGAAATTTAGATGTTCTACGATATAACTGATTTAAAGAGAATAAATAAATAAATAAAGAGGTTTCGGCGACTCATTTCTCTACCCCATCTGAATAAATATTTCACTCAACTCCACTTTCACTTAACATCAAGTGAAGTAGATCTAGAGAGTATGACCCGCTCTGTTCTTTTGTGGCCAGTCCACATAAGAACTGATGTAACTGAAATCTGCGCAGACATTTTAATGAGTAAAAATAATACATTATAAATACTAAAGTAATAATATACAACGAAGATATAATGTTATCTTCTGTTTTTTTAACAGGACTACTCTATGGATGTGAGAGAAGGTCTGCACAAAATGCTGGGATCGTGTACAGTTGCATCTAAAACTTGCCTCGAAATGTGCATCGACAAAATTCTAGAAAATCTCAAGAGGTATCCACAGGTAAGTGCAGTTAAACCTATACTAGACTATTTTGGTTGTGAAAATGTTTATATTCCTATCAAAGCAAATCTACGGCGGGAGAATTTGTACTGCACCTCAAGCACGAACAGCTAGCGAGAAAGTATTCGTATCGCCGACGTCAGAGTTTCTATAGAAGGAGCTAGTTTGTTCTTACATCCGGTAAGGGGACTGTGCTTATTTTCCATTCACAAAGGAGAATGGTCATTTTACTTTGGGAGTTGGGCTAAGTTTTTTTCATTGCGTCTTATTTTAAATAAGTGTACAACAATAGGGAATCAGGTGTATATTGCGTAGGAAAAATATCATTAGAAACTTAAGTAGTGGTTTAAAGAAAATATTAAATTACGTAAGCATTTTAAGGTTATGTCATATTTAGATTCGATTAAATTCGATATTTATACCATACTTAATTATTACTAGGTATACTACTTTAAACTGTATTTAATTAGGTTGTGACCTTTTGTCTTCTATTTTGGACTGGGAGTGAAACAAAAATTGAATGCACTTCGTAAAATCTTATCAACGGGCAGCGTATATTTATAACTGTTGCGTTGGTGAGCTGCTATCTATCTCTATTTATTCCAAACATCTCCTCCTGTATAAAGGGACGAAACTTATTTAACAGAGCACATGCAATTTTTAAATCATCTTTTAATCATTTAAAAGATGATTTAAAAATTGCATGTGCAACTCATGTTGCAGCTCTGTTATTAATTACATGCCTGAACAATCTAAAATCTCGTTTTATACGTCCATTTACTATTTCAACCACCCAGCGACACATTGTTACAAATCTAGATTTGTTAGCCTGAAGGGTAGTGAGTTGATGTTCACCATCTAATAATGATTCAGGCATGTAAGCTTTAAAACCAAGATCCTCCATAAATTCAATTACGTCCCGAAACCCCCTATCCAGAATAAAAACATCATCCTGCCGGAAAAATGAACGCAGTTTTCCTTCTTCATTATTTAAATCATGCCTTGTTATTGAAGCAACATTAGTGGTTGCTTTATAGGGACCCATACAATCTATAATATATCCATCACAACACACAACCATAAAAGGTTTAACTAAATTATCAGATTTTTGTAAACTATATGATTCTTTTTGAAAACGATAATTTCTGCTGCTCTGGACAAATATACAGGGTGTGACAAAAGTCCGAAATAAAACTTTAGGGTTTGGTTGTGTTCCTTGTATAGAATTACCTACGAAAGTTTGACGCCTTTCAGACCACTTTTATTTTCTAATTAAATTAATTAAAATATCGTTTTACACCTGCCTATGACAACCCTATAAATGCGTACGATTACTACTACCTAAACAGACCCCCCTCTCTCCCCCAGGCGCCCCTGCGCCCCGCTCAGGTACCTACAAATTTTTATTTCGGAATACATACCTACAAATTTTATTTCGGAATTCTGTAACACCCTGTATAAGTTGCGTCACACATAACAATAGCGGGTTTAATATCATTTGGTAAGATTGGATTACCAAACAATCCCTCCGGGATTATTTTATTTCTGCTGGCCACTTGCTCCACATTTACATGACCAAAGCCCAAATGTCTTGACACAAAATCTTCAACTAAACAACTTCTAGCTATATTCATTTTTCTCTCCAAGGTCCTACGAGACATTTGAAAGAGGGAACTTAATCGTTCATTGCTGTGCCCAGTTCTTAACTTGACTATGTAAATACAGAGTGCTAAACGGGGATTTTTGACACTCTGTAATAAGCTTGGTACACATGCCAAGAGTTCATCAAACTGTTCAGCATTCATTCCCAGCCAATAATGGCATAAGAAAGGAGCCATTGCAGAAATATTTTCAAAGTCGAAACAATGGGAAACTGCTCTCTGCATTATATTCAAAATGGCATCAAACTGTACACCAGTAAAATCTTGCAGATTTGATGTTAAATCACTCCAACGCCCATTATTCAAGTGATGTTGACATATTCTACAACATGTGGGAACATAGAATTTATTATAATAAATAAATAAATAAATATTTCCAACACTCACACCAATTAGCCTAGCCCCAAAGTAAGCACTGTAAGGCTTGTGTTATGGGATGCTAGGGTAACGGATAGAATACATATAACTATACATATATAAGTATATTTATATAGAAATACATATTAAACATCCATGACTGGAGTACAAATACTCGTATTCATCACACAAACATCTGCCCCCACCGGGATTCGAACCCGGGACCTCTCGAGTCGGCGACACCATGAAACCCGGCGTACAAACCACTCGGCCACGGAGGTCGTCTAATAATTATGTATTAATAACATTTCTCTTATTACTCTGGGTACTAATAAACATTGTTGTTCCCGGCATCCTGAAAACAGACAACTCCATGAAGTGGCTACAGCACGCTTATATACTGATGACTGTATCTTAGGTATAACAGGTCTTGAAGGCTGAACAGGTAATAGACCAGCAGGAAATGGTGGTGGTACTGGGATCACTGGTACAGACTGTTGGTTCTACATCAATTTGTTCAATTGATGACCGATTCGCATCATGTAACTGTTGCCTTTGCACTTCCCTATTAGCTGCTCGCCAACAGGCAGCACAAACTCTTGAAATTCTTGACACCTATAAAAAAAAGATAAGTGAACTTGAATTTAATGAAAAACCATCTACAACTATTTTATGCAATAGAAATATATTTCTTATAATAATAATAATAAATCATTTATCTGACAAGATATAGTAAATTATACAGATCTCAAAAATATAACCAACATGACCTGTCGCTTTTATCGACGTCCAAATATTTATAGGTAGTTGCAGTATTATCCAGAACTCAATCTTTAAAAACTATATATATTATTTATATACCATAGTCATGATTGAGTTAGTTATTAATAAATTTCATTAATATACTACATGACAATTGTGCAATGTAAAAAAAAATGTCAGTCATGTTTCAGTTAGTATTGAAATCAATTTAAATAAATTATTATTAATATAACATTTCAATCATGCAATGCAAAAATAATAATAATGTCACAGTCATGTTTTAATTAGCATTGAAATCAATTTTAATAATTTATTATTGATAATAATATCTTATACCATACCTGATGTGCTGGAGTCCATCTAAGAATAATATTTCTTTCTGGACAGTGTAGTGAAACCCTGTACAATCGACTTCTTAATATGGATTTTCCACAACCAAAACAGACTTGTTGATGGCCATATTGTGGTGCAGGTACTTCTTCGGTGGTGTCACTAGCTTGTAGTAGCATAAAGCATTCGTTGCACATTATGCCCCTATTCAATATCTATAACAAGTCAAAAATATTTATATTTATTTGAACATGTGAATGAAATTAAAACATTATCTCACGGTTGCGATTGTATAACGATATATTTTTAGTAATATAAGTAAATAATTACTTACAGAATCAGGTGCGATCCATGAGCTTAAAACATTAAGCATTGAATTGGATAGCATGTACAAAGAATGTACTGGCTGTCGTCGTGGCACTGATATACAACAGTTAATACAACGTCGTTGCATACTGCCTGCGTTTTCTTGTGTAACACCAGATGCCATTGTAAACAAAAATAATTACAATAAACTAAGAGTCCAAATATCTCTGTCAGAATCACTAAAGGTAACTTAACACTAAATCAACGAGTCCAATGCTCTCTTTCCCAAAAAAAAGTTATTAACGGAGGATTACTCAACTCAACATTAAAACTATTCTGCCACAATAGACCACTGAAAACACAAATTCAATTCAAAACTGTACTTATGTAGTTAGTCACTCGGAACAAACAACAAATAAGTTGACCAGTGTTGCCAACTCGGATTTTGAAAAAGGCGTAGGCCCGATTAGAAAATTACGTAGATTTAGTAATTTTTGCATATGAAAAGTACGTAGATCTACGTACTTTTTTTCTGAGTGAAATGAAGAAGTTAGGTGAAACCTAATGAAAAGAGTATTTTGTTATACAATTTCTTTAAAAACGGGAGATAGAACAAAGAGTTATTGGAGAAATCGCTGCATTGGAAGCATTTACCATGCTGTGGTAGACCATGACCATGTGGTATTATAAAACCATGGTTTCTAATAGATCACATGAAAAATAGAGTTGGTTATCATAATACACTTGGTAAAAGACAGACTCTAAAAAGTTGTGGTAAAAATTGCCAAGAGAAATACACAAAATAAATACATACACTTACACATGAACACATGTTTAAAACTTACTAATTCCTGTAACTTTATCGACTGAAAGTCATTTCTTTTTGCAAACATCAATTCGATATAAGTACTCATTGAATAATATGTAAAGCTTAAAAATTCATTTTTTAAGGTTAGGAATGTACCTACTAAGTCAAAGAGTTTTGTCTTTTCTCCTTTCACAAATCCTGCGTCCAGCATTAATTTAGTCAACAAAACCAATGACGGGAACCTTTTCTACAAGATACAAGAGTTTTTAGATACATCATAATAAGAAATAAACATTTTTATAGTTTTTAAGTAAAGTAACGGAAAATATTCTTCTTTATTCTAGTGAATAAAGTTATTTTACAAATTTGAAAAAAAATAAGAAAATACGTAGATTCTGGGACTATAGTTAGTAGGTATGCAGAAAAGGCCTAAAATACGTAGATCTACGTAAAAAGACGTAGAGTTGGCAACACTGAAGTTGACAGCTACCTGCTTCACTCACTTGCCTATGGTATATATTTCGATTTGATTCTATAGGAATCGATTCCTACACAATCGATTACTAAATGTTTTATTTTTCAATGCAAATGCTTAAAATGTTCAAACCATGAATTAATTTATATATGATTAAGTAATTATATATAACATAACTGATAATTTAAACAAAAATATATTCCCTTTTTTAATTTAAGATGTGAATATGTAGTACACATATAAAAGTTTTTGTATGCGATCTACTGTTTGATGAACAAAATAGTCCGCAGACAAAAAATCCTCTTTTGCGCAGCCCATTAAGTTCCTTTTAGTTTTTAGATGCAATGAAAGAGAGCAATCCCTGGTAGGTACAGTGAGATAGTCACAACACAGGTCTTACAAATGATAACTTTATGAATTTAATGTTATTTATCATGATATAATATTGGTAAAAATACTCGTATCCATCATACAAACATTTGCCTCACCGGAATTCGAAACCAGGCCCTCTGAATAGGCGATTTGGGGAAAATAATCTATCCATCGATCCATACAAAAATCAAACAACTCGCATCGAAGACCTCAAAATAAAAAATGACTACGAATTAACGAATGATCATTATTTCGTAGTCATTTACGGTGTTTGGTAAAAATGTTTCAGGCTATTTACAATTGTTCTATGCTTTCAATTATAATAAACGTTTTATTTTTTCTTTTTGAAGTGAAACTTCTTTACGCACTCTTGACTTGGGGAGTAAGCTAGCGAACGTAAGCGTTAAGAAAAGTGTGATCGGGCGAGGCGAACGGGAGTTGAGTGGGGGATGTAAGCATGAGAAAGCAGTGCGCGTGCACATTTTCTTTCTCTCTTCCTCTCATAGCCAAATACGTTCCGTATATCTAAGCACAGTGCAAGCCTATTGTCTGTATCACAGTGTAGGAGCAGGAGCGCGCGCACGCATTTTCTTTCTCCTTTTTTCTTACAGCTAGTAAATGAAAGAAGTTTCACTTCAGTCGTGTGGTCATAAGCACACTCGTTTTTTTATGTTAAGAATATTTAAATAAAGAAATATAATCGATTTTTTTTCCTACGATAGTATCGACCAGGTGATACAACTTTTATCTATGGTTATTGGTTATTTACTCAGTTTAATAGCCATTTATTTATTATTTTAAATATCCGCATAATATTTACATAATAAACACACATATGAAATGATAATTCAGAAGAAGATTTTTGATACATAAATGCGTCAAGCGCAATCTAGGCGGATTTGCCCATTCTCCTTTGACGATGACGAAACGCATACGGATCTATCCTGATCCCCAACTTGATGTGTATCTATATTTCGCTAACGTATCGTGGTCTCCATGATCAGGACAAGCGGTCTTCGTTCCGTTGCGTACAGCTCCTGGGCAGTTCTCACGCGACTGGTGCTGCCTCTAACAGCAGCAACCCTTCTTCATGTCTAAACACTATATATTTCGCTTACGTAACAGGTTCTCCATGGTTAGGACAAGCGGTCTACGTTCTATTGCGCTTGGGCAGTTCTCACGCGATTCTGGTGCAGCCTCTAACAGCAGCACATCTTCTTAATGCCTAAACTCCTGATATTTCGCTAACGTAACCTGGTCTCCATGGTCAGGACAAGTGCTCTACGTTCCGTTGCGTGCAGCGCTTGGGTAGTTCTCACGCGAATCTGGTGCTGCCTCTAACAGCAGCAACCCTTCTACATGCCTAAACACTATATTTCGCTAACGTAACGTGGTCTCCATGGTCAGGACAAGCGGTCTACGTTCCGTTGCGTGCAGCGCTTGGGCAGCTCTCACGCGACGCTGGTGCTGCCGCTGACAGCACGCCTGCTTGCCGTGCATCCATTCTTCGACATGCCCGAGCCGGACGTCGACGACCCTGCCTGTATCCTTTACACAAAATTGAAAGAGGCCAGAAATACTTTATCATGCAATAAAAAAAAAAGAGGAAAGGAAATCAAATTTAAAATTTTCCAAGGGTTCCGTATTTCCAATGGTCAGAGCTATTCGTCTTCCTTGCAAAGATATGCCCAACCAAAAAATACAAAGTAGCCAGGACAGGTCCCGCTATCCCCGAAAAGAAATGTCTATTGATTTTGAAAACACGTGCTGTGAATAAATTCTGTTTGAATGAAACTTTGTTAGAAACCCTACAAACTAAACAGGAGGAATGGCGCTTTGTTGAGATGAGTTTCCTTACTTTGTGCTTAAACTATAAGAAACTTTGAGTAAACCGCGGTTCCGCAGTTTTAATATGAATGAAAGTAAACGAAATTCTATTTAATCCTTCAGTTAGACTATCAAAATATAATGGACACGTATTTTTTTTATTATCAATCAACCAATGACACGGATAAAGCACGTCAAAGTCCCAAACTTTGACGCGCTTTATATTGGAGCTCGTGACGTCACTTCTACGTAAAAATGTATCAAGACGCGACGTAGACTAGACAAGAACGTTAAATGGTTGAAAAATAGTTGGTGTGTATGTGCACCGCACGGTATCAAAATGGATGGATTCGCAGTATATATAGTGTGGTTTTGTCGCTGCGCACTCGCAAGGCGTTAACGTCTAGCATTATTTAAAATCAACATATCTCTGTAATGTTTTGCTGATGTGGATAAAGAAAGTAAACGTGTCGAATACTTTTTGATAATATACCTGATGGATTAAGAAAAAAAACGAGCTAACCTTACAGTAGTCGCGTATGATGTGTAACATTTGAAACCTCACCTTATTATTAGACAAAACAGAATTAAAACCTACTACAAACGGAATAAGCCCTTTTTTTTTCATTCATTGAACATTATGTTCTAAAATCAAATCAAATAACGCGCTTTCTCGACTTCCTGTTACACACTTCCGTCCCACTTCACGTAATCACTCCCACAAATTGCACAAAAGTGAGAGGAAAGATGTTACACATCAAAAAAATGGTCATCACCCTATTAATTGTAATAGTTTCGATTTCCGTCTCATTACACCATTCGGCGCATAGACATGTGCGTGTTGATCCTAGTGCTGAACGCCGCCCAACATTGCACGACCATGCTGCCGCTATTCGAGGAGCACACGGTCAAGCACTACACCTATCTACGGGACACGATGCCACACCTTGTCCCGTATCTGCCGATTGGTAAGTACTCGATATTTAAAAAACAATTACTTAATAATATTAGAAACAACAGTGGATAGGGCGTTGTAAATAACTTTAATTGTATATTTCTAATATAAGATGACTAATCGCAAGATGCTTATTTATGTTAGTAACCTAGGGAACGAAAGACATTAGACTTTCTTGTAATTTGAAATACCTACTACTAGCAGCATGTTAAAGAGGTTTTATCAACACATTTTACTATAAAAAAATCCACACGATCTGTTTCTTCTTTAATATGTTTAATACTTATAAAGGTAATTGACATTGTGGGTTAATGCGAAGAATGGCATTGCCTTGCAAGCGAGAAGAAATTCGACACGGCCATTAAGGCCGCTTTAGCATAATTGGTCACTGCATCCGCTCGGATAGCGGAGGGTGCGGGTTTGAACCCCGTCTGCTGTCTGGACCGTGTGGTATTTTTTCAAGTAAAATTATCTTTAGATTTAAACATCTAGCAGTTAAATGTTATAAATAAAATTATAATAAACTCGATATTTAGTACACCTGTCTATTTGCTTTCCGATTTTGAATCTTATGTAGGTCCCAAATTAAAGCGCGTGATTCTATTTCTATTTAAAAATATCTATATTAAATACAATCTCCTTTTTTTCTGAAACTATTTTGAATTGAAGGCTTATTTTAATACAAATCTCCTTGGTAAATATCATTGGCCACCTATGTGTACTTCTTTTTATTAAATATTTATGATTATTTGTCACTGCTCTTTTGGTTAGCAACAATGGACCTCTCGCGGCTAGCTTTTCGTGTTAAAATTCTGATTATAAACAAGTTAAGCTTCAAGGAATCTCACTAAATTTACAAGATGCTTTGGGGAGTGTGCTCCTGCGTTAGCCAAAGTAACTTATTGGTTTCGTGAATTTGAACGTGGTAGAAAGAACCTAAACGATGACACGGTCGACAAACAACTGCATTAACTCATGAAAATGTTATCAGGGTAGAGAGGCTATTGCGGGAGAATAGTCACAATATATCGGGAAATGAAGCTGAACTGGAGGTTGGACCACAGAGAGTTTCCGCCATCCTGCATGAACACCTTAAAGTAAGGAAGCTTGCTTCGTGATGGATACCTCATTCTCTCACCGAATAGCAAAAATCCCGTCCTGTTAATTGGTGCAAATTTATGTTGGAAAAGTTCGAAGGAGGCACTTCGCAAAACGTATTGCCAACGAAAAAAACGATTTGTGAAGATACCTAATGTTCAATAAAATCACATTAATATTATAAAGGCGAAAGATTGTGAGTGTGTGAGTGGGTATGTATGTTTGTTACTTCTTCACGTCTAAACGGCTGGAGCGATTTTAATAAAATTTGGTATGAAGTAAGCTGACACCCTGGATTAACACATAGGCTACGTTTTACTGCGATAAAATATCCCTAATAAACCGCGGGTAACACCACGGGGCGCAGCTTGTAATTAATAAATAATAGAACCGACTTCAAAAAAATTCAAATGAAATAATTAGATTTACCGACTGATATATTTAAAGTCGACCTTTATTTGCATGTTACTACCAATCTTGCTACCAGTAGTAACACCGTTAATTTTTATTACCCTTACTACTCCAGGTCGAGTGGTAAGAAGGGATAAATTGTAAAAATACGGAAAAAGTATTAGGAGACCATACATAACTAAAAATTTCTGGTTATGAAACAGTGAAAAAAATCTCATTCCTAACCAGATACTAAATAAAACTTCTTTTCTCCATTTTGATAACGAGAACCTCTTAGGCTTGTATGATCGCCTGTACTTTTTCCGGAATAATGTTTTTTTTATATGGAAAGCTAAAATGAAATCATATTTGTTATAGTATTCATGTTTTATTTAGGTATATATACAAAACAAAAACTACTAATGTAGCATATCTCTGTGGTGCATATTACACTGTCGAAACCGCTAGTTCGTTTTCACTACTCAATGGTGCAGATGATACTATCTATAATGCAGTTTCGTTTGCACCATAAATCTTGCAGATGGAACCAATCAATTTCATTTGCACCATTAATGGTGCAAGTCAATGGTGCGTTCGGTTTAAATAGTGGCAACAACGGGCAATTAGTGTGTGGGCAACACATGAAGACATTTTTCATAAAAAAAAGGATTTTTTTTGTAGAAATATAATCTAAATCTTTGTCTGAATAAACTGGTAAAGTTTCTCAGGTAACTTAAAATTCACGGTGTATAGATAATACATAGCTGTGAAATAGTTGCTGATAAATCACAATCGATGTGCAAAGTCGGTCAAAAGTCACGTACCTACACTATACATGACTTTTGACACCTTGCCAATCCACTGATAAATGCAGAACAGAAACATATGTGTCGCACATGAAATAAGTTTATTCTATTTTCGCACTTGTCTGATGTGGGTAGCGTGGCCGAGCGGTCTAAGGCGCTGGTTTAAGGCACCAGTCTCTTCGGAGGCGTGGGTTCGAATCCCACCGCTGCCATCTTTTTTTTATATTACAGTTTTATGGTAGCTAGATTTTTGTGTACTGTTTTACTATTATATAATTTGTATTCAATAAATACTTATAAAGGTATTAAAACTTTATATACTACTAAACTAAGTAACTGATTAAATATTTTTTTAACTTGAATTTTGTTTATTATTATTATAGTTATTTATATGTAAATATGGTAATTATTATTATAATGTAAATTTAGATTATTGTGATGAGCGTTTTCGCTACACGGTCTGAATGAAATTTTCAGTAAAAAAATATATGTATGTATATATATTTTTTACTATCAGCGAATTTCATTCCTGACCCACCATAATCTTATTTTCGTACAACCATTTTAAAACAATAAGGTAGATCTTAAATGTACGTATCCCTGGAAACAAACTTGTTTTTATTTTCTGAACAATCATATTTGACGTGACAGATTTGGCGACCTTCCTGTGACATAATTTTGACATTTAACTATTTGGAGGGTTGTTCATAGACTAAGGGTTTCCCTATTAGTTTACCAAAGTTTTTTATAATGTCAAGTTACCGACGATTTTTTGTTATATTTACGACTAAGTGGTTTCGATATTCCACCTACTATTTCTATTTTATTTATAAGATGATCTATTGCATTGAAAATAAAGGTCAAATAACAAAGATCTTTGGTCCACATCAACACAGTTTCTTTGTTATGAGAATATCCTAAGTGCAATAACGCATTCTCTGCAAAGGAAAACTTGTCTGTTTTGACATTTTTAAACGAATTATCAGGCAAGTGAGCCAGGAATCAATTTGTTCGATCGTACTTAAATTGGATTTCGATAATTTTTATCCCATCACAAGTTTCTGTCACAAGAACGTCTGTTTTTCCATCGACGCGATTTTTTTATTTACTTCATAAACTCACATGTTTTTGTAATATTTCCATTATTAACGAGTGTGTTTATATGACGGAAATTCATCAATTTGTTTCAATATTTAAGAGAGGTTGGACATAGCGGATTTCCCGCTCGAATTGGAGCGTCCATCTTATTGAAGACCACAGTAACAACATTTTGGTTGTGTTGTTTTTCTGTTGATGAGTAAGGTTCCAGGGCTCCACGGGGTAGGGGATTATGTCAGAGTAGGCATATTTTTTGTATAACAAACGTCTATAGGCTATGATGGCCGCTTACCATATATATGCCATATGCTTGTTTGCCACCTTTTTATATAAAAAAAATATTTATAACGTAGGTGATGCGCAACAGTCAAACGGCGAGAGAATAGAGCCTACGGACGACAGCGCAGTACGCCGCTTCTTCGACTCTGTGCTGCAGCACATCGATAACACCACCCTATCTATCAACGTGCGACTCAAGATGCTGCAGTCGGCTGAAGAGCAACTCAATAAGTATGTTTCATCATCATCAGCCTGTTAATGTCCCCACTGCTGGGGCACAGGTCTTCCCTATGAACGGAATAACGAGATTGGACCAGGACGCACCACGCGGGCCCATTGCGGATTGGTGGGTGCTAATGACTGCAGATGCAGCCGAGACCAATAACTTATCGTGTCTTCCAAAGCACGGAGGAGCTCGAGTTAGTAAATTTTTGGTTACCCATCCAATGACCGACCTTTGTGAAGTTGCCACTTCCGCTATAGAGCTCCTCAATATGTATGTATATTTTTTTTTTTTTTTTTTTTTTTTTTTTTTTTTTTTTTTTTATAGATAGGTCCGACAAATGACTCCACCCCACCTGATGTTAAGTGAAGGTGAAGTCCAGACGTGACGATAGCTGATACAGCAGTTTTACCTGCCACACCAGCCATCCTCACCCTGCCGGCCTGCATGTTGCTTCTTCACGCCTCTTTTAAAGGATCCCAGGTTGTAAGAGGGAGGGAACACGTGAGCGGGCAGAGCATTCCATTTACGGATAGTGCGACAAAGAAATGAGTCACCAAATTTCTTTGTACGCGTTGGAATTGTGGCCACAGTTAGACGATGACAACGTAGGCCAGCGCGCGTGGTCCTCTGAAGGAAAGGAGAAGGTGGGATAAGAGAGAATAACTCCTCAGAACACTCGCCGTGGTACAGACGATAGAACGCGCTTAGTGACGCCACGTCACGGCGTAATTGAAGAGGCTCAAGGTGTTTAGTCACCTCCTCATCGCCTATGATGCGGATCGCGCGTCGCTGTAACCTATCCAAAGCATCGAGCAAGTACTTGGCGGAGCCATCCCAGAGGTGCGAGCAATATTCCACGCAGGACCGCACTTGCGTTTTGTACAACAAGCACAGTTGATCGGGCGTGAAAAAACGCCGCACCTTGTTCAGGACTCCGAGTTTGCGTGAAGCTGTTTTGATCACGGTTTCGATGTAGTTCTTTGGATTCAGGTCTGAGCGAACTTCCATACCGAGCATGGAAATGTTGCTCTGCAGCGGTAGTGTTGTGCCCTGAAGAGATGGAAGGGGAAGGAATGACGATGTTTTTGCCGTAAAGGCGCAAGCCTGAGTTTTTTTGGCATTGAACTCAACCAAGTTCCTGGTACCCCATTCGGAAATGTGGTCCAAAGCCTGATTGAGTTCAATGACAAGATTCTCGCGTTTCTCCTTGGTTACCGCCAGCCCAGCCGCTGCTTGTCCGAGATACCCCGCATGCACTGTACTATCGTCTGCATAGCAATGAATATTCCCAAGAGGAATTAAGTCATTGATATGCAGCAGAAAGAGAGTGGGGGATAGGACGGAGCCCTGGGGAACGCCGGCATTCACTGACATGAACCGCGAACTGCTACCATCCGTAAGGACACGAATTCTACGCTCATGCAGGAAGTCAGCTACCCAAGAACAGAACTGGGCTGGCAGACCGTATGCCGGAAGCTTGGAGAGAAGGCTTTTGTGCCAGACCCTGTCAAAAGCCTTGGCAATGTCAAGGCTGATAGCCAACGACTCGCCACGCTTGTCGATAGCCTCACCCCAGATATGAGTTAAGTACGCTAGAAGATCACCCGTCGATCGTTTCGGTCTAAAACCATATTGACGATCATTAATCAAGGAGTGATCCTCTAGGTAGCGGGTCAGATGGTTATTAAGGACCTTTTCTAAAACTTTACATAAAACTGAGGTGACTGCTATTGGCCGGTAGTTTGCCGGGTCTGAGCGATCCCCTTTTTTGGGCACCGGTTGCACATTGGCATCTCTCCAAGTCTCCGGCACACGCCCCAAAGAATACGAGCATTGGTACAAGCGCGTGAGCACGGGAGACAACTCCGCTGCACATTTTTTGAGTACTACTGCTGGGATGCCATCAGGTCCACTAGCTTTCCGGACGTCGAGTGATTGCAATTCGGCACGAACCTCGCGCTGCCTGATTTTAATATCAGGCATCGTTGTGCCACAGTGAGGTAATGATGGTGGCAGTGCATTGCAATCATCGATTCGGGAGTTAGCCGCAAAGAGTTTTGCCAGTAAATCGGCTTTCTCCTGCGGCTTATGGGCTAGTGTTCCGTCTGGGCATCTCAGAGGTGGCAGCGAGGGCTCGCAGAAGTTTTTTTGCACGGCCTTGGCCAGACGCCAGTAGCTACGGGAACCCGTAGGATGCGTCATAAGTTCCTGGCCAACACGTGCAACGCGCTGGGCATCCGCTCTAATGTAAGCCTTCTTACAGGCCTTGGAAGCAAAATTGTAGGCTGCTTTGAGTGAATCGACCTCGGGATCCTTGAGAGCGCGACCTCTGATCCAAGCACGATATGCCGCTTGCTTACGCGAAGCAGCTTCAGCACAGTCGTGATTGAACCAGAGGTTACGCGTGCCCTTACTGATGAGATCAGAATGAGGAATATAGTATTCCATACCCATTATAATCTCCTCAGTAATGGCAACGGCACTGGCCGATAGGTCCCTGTCACTGAAGCAGCGCTGCTTCCAAGGGACGGACGCAAAGTAGTCACGTATACCGTCCCAATCTGCCGACCCATAATGCCAGATACGGCGCTTGACCACTGCTGGACGCGGAGGCTTGGCCTGTGGTGCTTTGGCAGATATCAGGCAGTGGTCTGACGAGCCCAGGGGGGCTCTTACCACAACCTGATAGCCCTGTGGATGGGTCGTGAGCAGAAGGTCCAGTAAAGAAGGCGCTTGACTTGGAATATCTGGGATCCTGGTGGGCTGATCAACCAGTTGCTTCAAGTCATGCGTGAGAGCGAATGCGTGAGCAGAGATCCCTGCATGGTCAGTTTTGGAGGAACTTAACCACAAATTGTGGTGAGCATTAAAGTCCCCCAAAAACACCAATTCTGCATTGGGAAATTGTTCCTGCGCGTCATCTGCTGCCCGACTAAGGTGTTCAAAAAGTCGAGTTGTCTCAACATCGCCGGTGTGGGATCTGTAGAGACACACGTAAACTCTGGCCAGGGGGCCAGAGTCGACGTGTACCCCCAGCATGGAGAAGGAGGGATCTTCCAAGCAGCGGAGACGGCGACAACAAACATCCGCCCGAACATACAGGCATACACCGGCTTTCGCTTTGAAGGACTCTTCAAGCACGTAGCCGGGATAATTAAGGTAGCCTGTGTCAGCAGGCGGAAGTATTTGTGTCTCCGTCAGGAACAACAATGCTGGCCGTGCTGTCTCAAGATGGTGGTGGACAGCGTTGAGGTTAGAGTGGAGTCCGCGTATGTTGCAGAACTCGACCTCAAACAGCGTTGAAGGCGTGGGGGTGTGCACCGCTGAACGTCCAAACTTTGTTTTAGGAGCTGCCATTATGGAAGTGAAAAAGAGACGTGAAACGAGTGGACGTTGTCGCGACAAGACCGGGCAAATTAGGGAGGCATGTTTCCCCGAATGATTGCCTGCAGAGGATATACGCCGACCCGCCGGACGGAAGGGCCCCCGCACCCCCCCGGAAGTGGCCGCCGGGACCCCACGCCCCGGTCACCAACCGGCACGACGGTCCACCCCGAGATTATGCGTGACATGATGGGGCAGCCTCGCGAACTGGTTAGGAACGCTCGGGCCCCTGTACTGTGCCACGGGCGGCCAGCGGGACAGCCGTTTCTACGGGTCTCCCTGGCCGGCGGGTCGATGCAGTCCTCCCGGCATCGGTTCCACGGATGCCTAGCCCTGGACCGAATCCGTCGCGACAACCTCCACTCGAGCCCTGGTTGTACGCTGGCTGACCCCGAAACGCGCGACAAGCACTTCACGGGTTTTTCACCATGCGCACGGTGGTAACAAACCAGGCGGGTGTTAGGCACCCTACCACCAGCAGAGCGGATGGAAGCTCCGATATCCCTTAGTCGCCTCTTACGACACCCACGGGAAGAGAAGGGGCGGTGAGTTGTATTCTTTCTCCGTCACCGCACGGACGCACGGACCGCACGGACGATATGCAGTCGAAAAAAGGGACGGACCGTTTTAAGGACTTTCAGAGACTTACTTTCATCAAGGAAAAGTTAACAGTTGTAAGGATGCTAAAATATGGTGAATTACAAGTCAATATACGCGGATACACATACACGCGGCTCGATGACCTGTTCCGAACCAAGTATGCAAAGAGGTCTGGGCCTTATTTCACCAAGTGGACATATGGCACTGACATTGTAAGCCGACAGTTTGGTGTGGGGTGATCTATTTTTCTATTTACTGCACCCATTTTATTATTGAAATGTTCGACATGGTTTTGCTTATACGGAATTTTTCTTCATTCTCCTGTATAAACTCATATTTTCAAGCTTTCACGGAGAGCCATTTTGTAACTAACAACGAAAACATTACAAATTTTATTACAAATCTGACACAGCCCTGACCTCATGTTAAGAATTACCGACAATTTGTCAAATATGTCGACTAAAAAAAATACCCTTGTTTCACAACATACATAATATGGTATTTGACAGTATTAAAAATAAAGTGCAAATTGTTAGCATCTGTGTTTAGAATGAATATTGGCAGGGATTTTCACTATTTCTATTGAAAAAATATTCATAATTTTACTAAAAACCCACGAAAAAGATAATAGTTTTCTTATCTTTTGTCACGTGACCCAAAACGATTGGGATTGGCGGAGCCTAAAATGACGTCACACGCAAGTAAACTTCCGGTAAAAGTGACATTACATTGTATCGTTTGATGTTTAAATAACAATCGTGTGACATCACACACCAGTAAGACGCCATATTGTCCAGAGAAACGATTTCGCGGCAACTTGTAAATGGAGTTTTGATTTGGTTATTTTTACTGAAATACACAACAGGATGATGAATATCCACTTTTTACGGACTCCATAAACATGAGTAACGTGAGATCGTTTTCTAAATCTTGTCAAATACCCTATTGTCGTTGAAGTAGGGCAATTTTAACAAAATTCCTGTTATTTTTATGACATATCTCAGTGACATATGTCGACTTGGTGAAATTAGGGCCCTGAGCTCCACATTGTGATGGCACGGTTTTTTAAGAACACGCCATCTTTATTTACTCTGTTTTAACGAGCAAATTACTGTTAAAGGTTGTCAGAGATGGAGCCGAGCGTGTCCGGCGCGGCCAACTTCACGGCGTTGTTCGCTCGCAGCGCGCGCACTCTGCACGAGGCGCTCAACTCCAGCACCGGCCCGCCCGTGCACGCGCTGCAGCAGCTTACCGCCGACTGTCTCAGGTGACCGGTGTAGGGCGATCGAAGATGGATTAATCGAAGAATCGATTTTTGGAGCCAAAAAGATCGAATTTATTAATCGATATGTAGTACTCAATCCATTCAGTGAATCGATATTTCACCCTTGAAAATCGACATTCGATTTTATTTTATTTTTGGTATAAACCAACAAAGGGTTTTCAAATAATTGAATGTACTCGTATTGTAAGAGTGCTGCCGGTTAAAGGGTTAATTATTGTATAACTCGTGAGATGGCTGTATGTTTGGATTCCTTCGCCCGACTTTAAAAAAAAAATATGGGTGCGTGTACTTATGTAGGCGCGTGAGAAGTTATCCTTCTTTGGCATCGTTTAAAATTAGTTTTTAATTGCATGCAAATAATTAATTACAATAAATTAATAAAAAGTCTGGAAAAGTACACAGTCAATAAAGTTCAGTTTTAATTTGAAAAAATAAATAAATAATCAAAATATTCAATTAAAATCGCTACTGAATATAATTTATTAGAACATATGTGATTTGCACTTGTATGAAACTCAAACACGTATTCCGAATATACAAACTAGAAACATGTGGATAAATATTATAAATATGAATACCTTTAACTGTTACTTTATTACAAAAAATAAAGATGTGGTTTTTGGTTCTACTACACCAATGGTCAAGAGATGGCGCTGTAGTCTCCTGAATCGCGCTTTGGTTCCGTTGTTCCAGATTAATAAATACTTTTGATATTATAAATATGAATACCTATAACTGTTACTTTATTACAAAAAATAAAGACATGGTTTTTGGTTCTACTACACCAATGGTCAAGAGATGGCGCTGTAGTCTCCTGAATCGCGCTTTGGTTCCGTTGTTCCAGATTAATAAATACTTTTGATAGGCCTTCACAATGCAGTCGTTAGCACCCACTAAATAGAGATTCTATTTCTATTTTGTTGGTAGATTTTCTTAATGTGCGGTAAACACGGTAATGTGCGGTAATTTTTGTACAGTGATGCGCGCGCATCTTAAAATTTCACTCTCATCATTTTTTCATAACGCGCCTAAAGAAGTATAACTTCAAAAATTTTACGTTTGTTTGTAATTTTTGAATAAAAATATTTTTTATCATCGAATTACCCGACTTTACAGATAAGAGATCGTTAAATACTAATATGTAATCTTGTTTTTAATAAAATAGATTTATGTAACATTTTAAACAAAACACTTGAAATAAAGATCGATTTTTCAGAAATCGATCTTATTGGCCTCGTTTTTTTCTGGATCGATTCATTAGTCACGATTCGAACCGATTTAAAAATCGATCTTTTTCGGAAAGAATCGCCATCCCTAGACCGGTGTCGTGTGTGAAGGTAGCCGCAGACGGGGCCGAGCCTGTCTGGCGTGGCTAACTTCACGGCGTTATTGTTCTCTCGCTGCAAAGTATGCAGTCAAACTCCACTACGCTATTCGTTCGACGCCCCCAAACGTCGACGAAGGACGAAACATCGTTTCACCAAGATTGTCATCTGACCGTGACATCACGCTGGTCTGATCGAATGAAAACGCGGCGGTATAGGTGTTTGTTTAGGGGACAATGACCGGTCAGGGTTCCTAAAATCTTGCGAAGTTTGCCCTATTTCAATAATTATACTAGGTATTTAGGTATAATTATACTTTAAATATTGTAGGTTACAACATCAGTTCAGCGGTGTGACCGAACAGGAGAACGCTTGCGTGTGGCAGTTAGCGTTGAGGGTATGTGCGGCGCGTTTGTACGGCGCTGCGACAAATGCTGCCATAACCAACAATAACAACAATACTACCCACAACGCTACCTGTACTGCTGCGTTGTCTGCCGCTGCAGCTCTTACTCATCACGCTGAACTACTCGACAGAATGCTAGCAGCCGCAGGTATTTCAGAAAACAATGATAATAAATAAATAAATATTTCCAACATTCACACCAGTTACCCTAGCCCCAAAGGAAGCACTATAAGGCTTGTGTTATGGGATACTAAGGTAACGGATAGAATACATATACTGGACATATATAAGTATATTTTTATAGAAATACATATCAAACATCCATGACTAGAGTACAAAATATGCACTTATTCATCACACAAGCATCTGCCCCCACTGGGATTTGAACCCGGGACCTTTCGAGTCGGCGACACCATGAAACCCAGCGTACAAATCACTCGGCCACGGAGGTCGTCATCACAATAATAATATTTTTTATTTTTTAACCATGACGAGTAAACAATATAACAATTTAGAGTGTACAACCCTAGTAGTATAATACTGTGTTACAGTTAAAAGAACGGCATTAGATATTTTTATTATGATTAGAAATATCTACAAGATTGTTATGTGGTGTGTGTGGGTTTGTGTTCTTTTAATTCATATTTATACACCACTTTCTTTACGATAAGAAAATAACTAGACAACTTGATCTTAATGAAGAACTGTTCGGAAACTTCTTCCAAGTAAACTGTTAATATAACTACTCATTTGTTTATTGTACACCCGATAGGAAACGCACGATGCAAAAATAGGGCGGTACCTCTCGATCTCAATACGCGTCAAATGTCAAGAAGTTATGTATGGAAAGTTGAACAACGAACGTAACGAGAACTAAAAATCTTTCATACAAAACGTGACTTGACATTTGCCGCGTATCGAGATCCAATTCAACTATTCGAATTCGATATTGGTTCGTGCTAAGGGTACAGGTACCGCCCTATTTATGCATCCTTCGTTTCCTATCGGGCGCGAAAAAAAGTTTAATAATTATAATTTTTATTTTTTAAGCATATAACTGCTTGATGTTTAAATCTATATTAAATATAACTAGAAAAAAAGCTTAAGAATGGCTAGAAGAATTTCGACGCGGCCGTCAGGGCCGCGGTAGCATAATTGGTCATTTGCCCGGATAGCGAAGGGCGCGGGTTCGAGTCCCGTCTGCTGCCTGGTCCGCGTGGAAGTTTTTCTAGTTATGTTTTCTTTAAAGTTAATATTGTTTCGTGCTTTTTAGCAAACTTGTATTCTGTATGTATCTTAAACTTTGTTCCAGGTGTAGAGCCGGACCCGTTCACGATAGCGGTGTTCCAGCAGCTGTCGATGAACGCGGACCACAAGCCGGCGTCGTTGGCGCGCGCCGTCATGCCGCTGCTGCAGGCGGCGCCGCTGCCCGTCATACCCAAACCTAACCTCGGCGTGAGTACAGTATGTTATATATAGGAGTGGAGCCAGACCCATCCACAATAGCGGTGTGCCAGCAGCTGTCGATGAACGCGGACCACAAGCCGGCGTCGTTAGCGCGCGCCGTCATGCCGCTGCTGCAGGCGGCGCCGCTGCCCGTCATACCCAAACCTAACTTCGGCGTGAGTACAGTATGTTATATATAGGAGTGGAGCTAGACCCATCCACGATAGCGGTGTGCCAGCAGCTGTCGATGAACGCGGACCACAAGCCGTCGTCGTTAGCGCGCGCCGTCATGCCGCTGCTCGAGCGATTAACACTTTATGTAGGTTGTGTAGTTAGTGTAAATCGTGGTACAGTAAACAAAATGTAAGATGTTTAAATAATGTAAATTTTAGATGGGTGGGATTTCATTGAACTGAACCTGTGCATTTTGGCGCTTGCTGCTAACTTCGTAATGGCCATAAAGTTTACATCGAACTATACTGTATAGTGAGTGCGATTCTAGCAAAAGATTCCAGTTAGATTTGAAGGCGCTAAACTATTTTAAATTTTTATTTCACTTTCATAAATGATTTAATTCTTTTGGATAACAAGTATATAAGCTCACTTTTCCATTTCCACGTTTTAAAGTATTTTTATTTCTTCTTTAGATTCGCATGTGCACGGCCAGCATAATCGAGCCGGCGAGCGACAACGACACCGTTCTACGCTTCTGCGCCGGCCTCGTGACCAGCGTCGCGTTGGAAGCTGAAGTGTGCCGCGTGCGCGAGCCGAACGCGATCCGAGTGCGCGTCGCCTACCCGGACCGACGCGTGCACGCGCTGCGACCACCGCGCGACCACTTGCGGCCGCTAGACCACCATCACATCAGTGAGTGTGACACGTCACCGTGCCCACTGTAGGACCGAGCCCGACGCGATCCGAGTGCGCGTCGCCTACCCGGACCGACGCGTGCACGCGCTGCGACCACCGCGCGACCACTTGCGGCCGCTAGACCACCACCACATCAGTGAGTGTGACACGTCACCGTGCCCACTGTAGGACCGAGCCCGACGCGATCCGAGTGCGCGTCGCCTACCCGGACCAACGCGTGCACGCGCTGCGACCACCGCGCGACCACTTGCGGCCGCTAGACCACCACCACATCAGTGAGTGTGACACGTCACCGTGGCCACTGTAGGACCGAGCCCGACGCGATCCGAGTGCGCGTCGCCTACCCGGACCGACGCGTGCACGCGCTGCGACCACCGCGCGACCACTTGCGGCCGCTAGACCACCACCACATCAGTGAGTGTGACACGTCACCGTGCCCACTGTAGGACCGAGCCCGACGCGATCCGAGTGCGCGTCGCCTACCCGGACCGACGCGTGCACGCGCTGCGACCACCGCGCGACCACTTGCGGCCGCTAGACCACCACCACATCAGTGAGTGTGACACGTCACCGTGCCCACTGTAGGACCGAGCCCGACGCGATCCGAGTGCGCGTCGCCTACCCGGACCGATGCGTGCACGCGCTGCGACCACCGCGCGACCAATTGCGGCCGCTAGACCACCACGCGACCACTTGCGGCCGCTAGACCACCACCACATCAGTGAGTGTGACACGTCACCGTGCCCACTGTAGGATCGAGCCCGACGCGACCCGAGTGCGCGTCGCCTACCCGGACCGACGCGTGCACGCGCTGCGACCACCGCGCGACCACTTGCGGCCGCTAGACCACCACCACATCAGTGAGTGTGACACATCACCGTGCCCACTGTAGGAGCGAGCCCGACGCGATCCGAGTTCGCGTCGCCTACCCGGATTGACCACTTGAGGCTGCTAGACGTGTCCGTGATGCTAGCGTACCCACGATCAATATACGGTTTTTCGTTATGCCATTAAATACTGCGTAAATAGTGCCAAATTAGTGTAAAAATAAAAAAAATAGTGCCTCTTTAATTTAAGAAATAAAGACCATTTTTACTGTGTACGCTACCATGACGTCAAGCTAGCGTACCCATGGCCGACCCCGAGTACGGCATATATTTAAGCAACGAAATTGACACACAAAAATAGCTCGCAAATAGTGCCCTGGCTTTACAAAATTTCATAATCAATACTCTTAAAGTACCAAAGATATTGAACTAAACATTCTTAGCTGGCGTCAACCTGGCGTACCCATAATAGTTCTCATAAAATATGAACTTTTATCGTTATCAATTCTATATGTATAAATAGTATGTCAAATAGTGCCTCTAACAGTAAAAGTATTTTAAGTGAATCCGCATCACAACAATACATAAAGAGAATCTTAAATTCTAGGAACAAATGTATTGTAGCACAGTTGCACACAAAATTAATTTATGCACTAAGAGATTATCTATATATGTATTTTTACTAAAATAAATAGGTACTTTTTATAAAAAGATATTTTATTTCAATTCGAATTCACCAATCATAAATTCATATAAGAATTTCAACCTACCTACTAAGTACCTTACTTACCTACTATACTACGAAAATATTATCACTTCTGTACATGACTGTACTTTATATATAAAAATATTTTTTAATTGCTTTTTTATATTGTTTTACAGTGAATTCACATAAAATACTTTTACTGTTAGAGGCACTATTTGACACACTATTTATACATATAGAATTAATAACGAGAAAAGTTCATTTTCTATGAGAACTAATATGGGTACGCCAGGTTGACGCCAGCTAAGAATGTTTAGTTTAATATCTTTGGTCCTTTAAGAGTATTGATTATGAAATTTTGTAAAGCCAGGGCACTATTTGCGAACTATTTTTGTGTGTCAATTTCGTTGCTTAAATATATGCCGTTCTCGGGGTCCGCCATGGGTACGCTAGCTTGACGTCATGGTAGCGTACACAGTAAAAATGGTCTTTATTTCTTAAATTAAAGAGGCACATTTTTTTCATTTTTACACTAATTTGGCACTATTTACGCAGTATTTAATGGCATAACGAAAAACCGTATATTGATTGTGGGTACGCTAGCATCACGGACACTGCTAGAACACCACCACATCAGTGAGTGCGACACATCACCGTGCCCACTGTAGGAGCGAGCCCGACGCGATCCGAGTGCGCGTCGCCTACCCGGATTGACCACATGAGGCTGCTAGACCATCACCACATCAGTTAGTGCGACAAATCACCGTGCCCACTGTAGGAGCGAGCCCGACGCGATCCGAGTGCGCGTCGCCTACCCGGATTGACCACTTGAGACTGCTAGACCACCACCACATCAGTTAGTGCGACACATCACCGTGCCCACTGTAGGAGCGAGCCCGACGCGGAAACCGATTTACAACCCTTTTACGTTAGATGTACCATTGATGGTACTACTTTACGTAGTAGTAGTACCCGCTAGTAGGCTCTATTTAATCATGTTTCTAAATTTCCCGTTCAATAATTCCGATGGCAAAATTTAAATACAATTTCTTCACAGACGAGGACGGCACACAGAACGTGCGCCTGCTGACCAAGGTGCTTATATCGCACGGCGTGTGGACGGAGCCGTGCGGCGTGGATATGTCCGTGTGTCTCGCCGTAGAGGAGGGCGCCGGCAGGGAGCCCGCGCAACTTGTCGAGCTGTGCCGCCCTGTGCGAGTCACCGTCGCCCCTAAGCCTATCAAGCGTGGAATTTAAATCAAATAGTCTATGAGCGAAGACTTTGTTTTGTGACGCACTTATAAAGATGTACCATCGTCAACCCTTTTATTGTGTGGTAAAGTGGAGTGATGAGAGTCAACACAGCTTATAAATTTTTTTTCAACAGAAGTTGTTACACTGTTCCAGCCTGTTCGAGTCACTGTCACCCCAAAGCCTATCAAGCATGTTATATTCGTACCTAGATCAAATACTGGTAATTTACAAGCGACATGTGTTTTTTTGTAACCATCATACTATTTAATCTGTTCAAAAATGACTCTCATATGTTCTTTACTTTTATTATCCTCTTTAGAGTGGAAATTTATAGTATTGCATAGGCAAATAAACTTTATTTTAAACTAGTGGCCGCCCTCACTTTGCTTCGGTGTAGAGCTGTAGTGTAGGTAGACTATAGTTTTATACTATTTTTTTTTTCCTTTTAAACCTTCCCTAGGCCACCATGAACATTTCAAGACCAAAATCAGATAAATCCATTCGACCATTCTCGAGTTTTAGCAAGACTAACGAACAGCAATTGATTTTTATATATATACTAGCTGACCCAGCGAACTTCGTACCGCCCTGAAAAAAATAGGGGTTGTCCAGCGGACAAAATTGTGAATCTAAACCATTCTCAGATCCCCTTGAATACACACAAAAAATTTCATCAAAATCGGTCCAGTCGTTTAAGAGAAGTTCAGTGACATACACACTCACAGAAGAATTATATATATAAAGATAGATAAACAACATTGTACTTGTCTAGTGTGTCGATAGTTTCCAAAATTATTTTCAGCACCCATTAATCCATATTCGTCAACTTTGACCATTTATAGACAATACAGTATTTATAAGTTATAAATTAAGAATGTTTGTAAACCTCTGTAAATAAGTAATTTCTTTAAAATATATAGTAAACATCTGTATGGATGTCAAATTTGTATTTATTTACAACTTTAATAACACAGTCAGTTTATGATCTTATGGCAAACTTAAATGAAATAAAGCAATAAAAACACAAAGTAAAAAGTTACATCATCACAATCTTGTAAATAGCATCACCATCTCTTTTCTCTTACTCATTAATTAATACTAAGTATACACATCAATCATAATATTTGTCTCTTGTGTTTAATTTATGTAAGCTAATAGAATTATTCCTTATCTATTGATAACAGTTCTGCTCGAGCTATACAATGGTGCACAAGTTGCTTGACCCCTGGCATCCACAAACCAACTGCATTTACATGGTCTACCATGAGTACTCGATGAATATCATCTGCTCTGCTGGGTTGATCATCTCGGAGAGCTGCAAAAATAATTTTGATTGTTTTAATTAGTACATACCTACTTAATAATTAATTCAAATATTTAATTTAAAAATGATGTTACCATATGCTAAGTCTCTCATAAGTATATATATTTTTTGGTTGAGTTTTCCGTTTGTCCACATTTCTTCCATAAGTTTTATTCGCCTTTTTATATCATTAGTTTTAGGTCCTAACTCGCTGCTGTTATCTAAGAATGTAAGTAAAATGCCTTTCACTTCCTGCAGAGTACTCTCACTATCAATGTTTATATCATCTTCTTGCTTCATAATTTTGGGATTAGTGTGCATGGGTGGAAGAACTGGGACAGTAGTGGGCAACGGAGGTAAATTTGAGGGTGGCGAGGCCGCAGATTCGCCTCCATTCCCAGTTAAAGGAAATGCCACCCTTTTATTCAAGAAGTTTCTCGGCTTATTTGGCGCTGTTTGTTGTGCATTGAAGGAAAAAGTTGGTGGATCATTCCAACCAGGATCAAAAGCCACTGAAAGTTGTATATTTTATGAATATAAATAAATAAAATTTAATATGAATATTAAAATTCTATTGAATTCATAAATTACCTTTTTCGTTCGTATTGGCTGTTGCAGTGTGATTACAGTTCTCCATTATGTGGTTCGAAAGAGCAAGAGCTCACGTGTATTTCTATTATAGGAGTTTGTTGTAAGAAACTAAATTCAAAAAAATATTAAATACGGCCGACCCTAGCACTGCAAAATGTATTTTTTTTATTTTTTGTGGAAGACTGATTGTTTTTGTCATTTATGACATTTAAACGTAGGTGAGAGCTGTCAATGTCTTTTATTTTTTAATATATTCTCATAGAACGCAAAGAAAGAATTTAGTAACAAGCATAGACTATGGTGTCGATTCTGGCATGATCCTCTAAACTAAACTTTTTGACAAGAGTGTATCTTGGTCATTGCCTACACAAAAAGAAAAGGACATATTGATGAGTATTAAGTTTAGAGAATTACGTCAGAACCGACACTAGTTTTTGGTAGCAACGTAGAATAACGCCAACCGCACTTGATGAAATAGCGCCTTAAATGCCCTTTTTTATTGATTTCTCCATTTTTAAACTAAAGTTATACATCCTAAACTGCTTAAATTTATTTCTTCTTGTATTTTTTCAAGGCCCCTGATTCTGTAAACTTCAAACTGAATGTAACAGCAGTTTTTCTTTACCTTAAGATGATTACTTTTCTTTATTAAGATGAATTAATTACCCTGCTGTCAAAAGAGATAAAAAGACAGCTTGTTATGTATACAGCAATTTAGAGCGTAGATGAAGGATCAAGCTAGAATCAGTGTCGATTCTGGCATGATTCTCTAATCCTTAATTTAAAATTGACAACAGTTTACTCTTGTCATTCTCTATAGAATGTAAAGGAGATATTGGTGTCGAGTCTGGCAGGATTCTCTAAACTTAAAACTAAATTTAACATCAGTCTGTCCTTTTCGTTCTGTATAGAGAATGACAAAGATACACTGTTGTCAAATTTAAGTTTAGCTTTATTGAATCATGCCAGAATCAAGATCATTGATGTTAAATTTAGTTTTAAGAATCACGCCAGAATCTACACCACTAAGTAAAAATCAAAACATAATAAGGGCTGTGTGTCAGGGCTGTATGCCTTCCCAAATTTTCAGAAAAAAATAAAGATGAGGCTGTTTGGGCATTGATCCTTTTGCCTTCCCTGAAAAGGGAGAACTACAAAAAAAAAGCAAATCATGTCAATGTCAGTAGTCAGCTTTGTTTCTGTGTCGGTTTAGGTTTTTATTCTCAGTTTCGGTCACGATATTAATTTGCGAAAGAAATGCAGTTTCAAAAGTTTTTCAGAATAACATCTTTGCTGCCCATAGCATTTTATTTCGTACTTTTAATAAAATCGTCGAAAGGTATTTATTTTATTTAGATTTTCATACATTAATGCTGTAGTTGCGGTTGCAATTACGTGGCCCTATGTTATGGGAGGATACTTGAGATAACTTAATCCTAGGATTTATTTTTTTCAACAGGATCTAAGGCAGAGTTTGTCACGTGCGGCACTATTTTAAAACTTATCAATACGGATCTCCGCCTCCGACTACACTCGCATGATGTGAAGTACGGTTCAGGATCCGGTCAACAGTCTGTAACAGGAGTCGACATATCTGATGATCATAATAGCCACTGGTTGATACGAGCGCCCACTGGCGAGGTATGCAAGCGAGGGTAAGTCCAAAACAAAGATAATCAATTTCTGGTGGTGTGGGTTCCAGGATTCCATGGGGTAAGGGCAGGGGTTAAGGTTGGCATGATGAGGATGGCTGGACTGGTACACTTTTTTATGACTGAACTCTTCCTTTTGATACTTGATTTCAGGGGGGCGGGGTAGTTTGCTGTGACTTATATTATTAGATAGTTAATACTAATTTTACAAAACTATCTGCTTGCTTATTTTCAAGGCATATGCCTCTAGAGCCACATTTAAAGTTTTTGGGTATATTATTACAGGTTTGTAGTTAAGCAATTTAACCAAATACACCCAATTTTTTCCCCCCATCAACCCCTTTTATATGGAAATGCAACCATTTTGTTCAGACAGTACTTCAGTCTAATTCAATTCAGTTTAGCAGTATACCAAGGGTTGCTTTCCAAGTCATTCTTAGCATCCATTCAATAGCATCAACTTATTCTTCCAGTGAACCAATCAAGTGTAATACTGTTGTGAGACTCCAACATGTAGCTACTAAGAAAAATCTACATTCCCACTATTTCTCATCACCACTATCTTCCAATCAAGAGGTATCTTGCTATGGTGATGAGGATGGTGAAGGGGATACTGGAGATAACTGGACTGTAGTCTGCAACAATGACTATTGGAGAAGAGACACACCAGTGAAGCTCAGGCATGTGGACACAGCATCGTAAGTAAAATGAAAAGTAACGAATTCCCATTGTGATGGTATTGTTTGGTATGTACACCTTAAATGTCTATACTTTATTTTATTTCCAGGTTCTTAGCTGGTTCAGGAAGGACTTTTGGTCGCCCCATCAGTGGCCAAGGAGAAATTGTGGGTATTAATTCACAGTATGGAGCTTACACAGACTGGCAAGCCAAAGAAGGCTTATTTGTACACCCAAGTGATCCCCTGCCCCACCAGCAGCATGCAATACATTCAGAATTATAATATTGTGCATTATTATAGTCAATAGTATGATAACACATTCTTTTTAATTTAATGCTAAGCTGATTGATTGTTTTTACAAAGTTTTCTTGTATATGTAAAATGTAGATCTGTTTTTTTCTATGGAATTGGAAATAATTACACCTGTACCCCTACCACATAACCTTATTGTTATTAACTTAATATTTATTTTAAAATATGATTTTTTGTATGTCTGTTTAGCATTTACATTAGGATTTTAATATGCATAGAAAAACAATAGATGGGTCTCAAATATCAATGTTAAGTTTATATGAATATAGTTATGTGGTAGAGGTTCATCTAGTGTCTTCAAAGTGTGTTCAAAATCAAAAGACAATGGAAAGGAAAAATTCAGAAAATAAAACAGTTTAGACCTACCATTACTAGTACTAATGCTACTTAAATGCAATTTAATATATTTTAATTATTTGTAAAATAACACATGACATTTATTAAAAACTTAATTTTATTTCAACTAAAGTAAGAGAAGCAATGATATTAAAAACAACCATACAAGCGCTCAAAATGTGTCCCAATCGAAAAGTACTGGAACATCACTCGAGCTCTTCTAGGTTTACAGTCAGTACCTACTCAGTGTCGTTTTTTCGACAGGTACCTATTCAATGTTTGTTAATTTAACGCATTTGAAGAAAATTTCGTTCTTATACTTACTAGAAACTGATTTAATAGAAAATATTTGTGATATTCAAATGCATGCACCAGCGCTTGTCGGCGTTGGTCCTTGCCGGTAACCGGCGCAAGCATTTCTATGGACCAGCGCCGATAAGCGCCGACACGCGTTGGTCGGCTTCCAGCTTTCTTTCTGTATACGGCCTTATATAGCAGTCTCTTTACCTCGCGCGCCGTACCTACTATATTGTTAACAGCGCATTCAGAATTACGCATAGTCAATGAAATGGTCTATATTCTTCCGCCTCCGCCTATGGCAACAAGTAAAATTTTACGAGCTTGCATTTCGAACTGTCGTACGTGTTTGACGCATGCGTTTAAATTAAGACCTTGTATGCTTTGCATTAAAGATGACTCCAAACGGAGCTCCGTGGATTGTCCAAATGTACCTTTTTGATCTAGGGTATTTAATATCGTGGGAGAAGATATCATCCTTATAAAAACTGTCAGTCAACTCTATTTATTAATTTAGCATTCTTTTAAGAAGTACTGTTCCTTTTGTAAATAGTGATGACATTAAAGGTTATGTTTTAAAATAAAATGGTTTTATTTTTGTAATAATTTTATTGTCAATGTTCATTATCTCATAGGAGGTAACATACCCCTTGAGAAATTTCCAAGTAAGTAGGCAATAGAAAGTGCTTCAACACCATCGAATATTTATAATACTGACACAACAGAATATACTATAATATATGTTTCTAAAACCATTTAGCAAATTATGCGCATTTTTAATACAATTTGTGTTGAGGGAATAAATTCTTTTATAAAGTTGAAAAAACTATTTACCTATTTCAAGGAAAATTAACTTGTCAACAAATTAATCTAAGTCCGATGTTACTGAAGCACTGAAACAGTTTTTATAAAAATATAGTTAAAAAACTAAATAAACAACTCCAAACGATTGTGAACTATTTGCACCCCTTTCAGCCTTTCAGTCATGGTGCACTCATTACTAATTTAAACTAAAGTGAAGAAACAAAGAACACAACTAAAATTTATCTTATACTCTAATGTAAGAATGGCCAAGGCACTACTAATCAAATACCATTTAATTTTATATTCTCTATGAATGATTATTAGAATTACTTAAATTAATCATGTATAATTTGTAGGGTTGATGGTATTTTAGCTGTTTAACAATTTCGCTGTAAATAATGATAAAAACTTCCATTTGAACAACTTAGGGGGAAAATATTCCAAAGAAATGACAGCGACCGCGCCACATTTTTTTACTAAGTCTACGCCTATTAAAATCATTTTCGTGGCAGTTTTTTCCTAATATTTACCAGACTGGTAATACGGATTTCCTGCTCGAGTTGGCGAATCATCATCCACTTTACATACCATATTAATTAACACTCTAAATCGCATTTATTTTGGAAGTACACAAACTAGTCACAAAAACCAATATTTTTCCCATTTAATTGAATATAATAAAATCTATTATGAATAAAATTTAGATCATGTTTTTTGTATAGATAGGTCCGACATATGAATCAGCCCCATCTGATGTTAGATAATTTCGTTTGTATAGTAACAACAGGATGCAATTTAAGCCTTTATTGGAAAAAAATATGTCAAAGGCCATTAATATATTTTAAGTATTAAACTGCTAGATTATTATATATATCTACAGAAAATTTTAATAAAAAAAATGTCGAAGGTCTTGTTTGTTATCATTTAGAATAAACGCGAGCCAGTGGCGTAGCTACCGCCGTATCAATTATACAGGGCCCCAACGGGCGTAAGCAAAAATTCATATAAACTTCCCATTTTTTTTTTCAGAAATGACTTAAGTCAAAAAAGCGTTTTCCTACGTAAAGCCTGCGTTGGCAACACCCTACATCGGTAACCGCGGGCTGCGGGATTTCCCCGTTACTTGAACAGGGGAATCCCACAATAATCGATGTACATGCGATACGATGATAAACCACGGATTCACTATTATCCGTAGAGGCAGAAACTTTAGAAAAACTAAACTCATCATCTCTATCTGCTATAAATGATTTAATAAATCAGTTTCCCGAAAAAAAGCAAGGAGAGTGTATATTTAATTTGAATTAATTGTAAAAATTTTGGAAATATGAATAAATATTTCTTTTTTTATTTTATGCAAACATTTTTTTTCTTTTATGAGTGTGAATCTTAAACCTTCCTAAGGCCCCCCCAAACATTTTTTTATACGGGGCCCCACCAAGGCACGCTACGCCACTGATGCAAGCTGAACATATTATAGTGTGGCAGTGGACATTTGCACTATTTGGGCATTAATACGGCCACAAACAGCCTTTTGTAACTTCTAAGTATAATTACAGAATAGAGATTGTTTTTGTATTTTGAGAAATAAATTATTATTGCTTACGTGTAAAAATGGCCCAAAGTTCAAACAAACGGTAGAAAAGCGCGGTCGAGTCGTTGCCGTTAGTAGAATTCGTCTTAGTAAATTTTACACCAAGCAAACGATGAGAATAAATATACCTATCGGTGAATAATAAATCTAAAACCTATGGGAGTACAGTTCAAATATAATGATACCTATCGAAATTGATTTTAATGACAATATTAAACTTCTAACAAAAATCATAAATGTTTGTAATAAACCAAGGGTCCAGAGTGTAAGCAATATTGCCAACTCTAAAGGTTACAAGTACTAAGCTAGAACACTAGTTTTTAACTCTCCTGAGTTTGCCCTTCTTGGCACGGGCAGTACGAATTCATTTATATAAATAACGGTGATGTTAGGCTAACAAAGCTTACTGGCTAATATACTATTGAGTTTTTCTAATGCATATGTGAGATTTGTGTATAGTTTTTTATCACAGCCGTGTTCTTCGATCGTGCTGAAACGGAATGTTCTGAAGTTCTTCTCGACATCAATGTACGTCACGGCTTGCATGAGCGGACAGAGGATTATTTTCGTATGATCTTGGAAGTTTATCTGTGGAAAAAATTGCCGACATATTAAATAAATAAATATTTCCAACACTCACACCAATTAACCTAGCCTCAAAGTAAGCACTATAAAGCTCGTGTTATGGGATACCAGGGTAACAGATAGACGAACGGATATACTGTACATATATAAGTATATTTTTATAAAAATATATAATAAACATCTATGACTGGAGTACAAATGCTCGTATTAATCACACAAAAATCTACCCCCACCGGGATTTGAACCCGGGACCTCTTGAGTCGGCGATATCATGAAAGCCGTCGTATAAACCACTCGGTCACGGAGGTCGTCATATTAAAGAAGGAAATAGAAAATGACCCGCGCCATCTGAATTCTCTATTTCAAGTTTTCTATAGTTACATTTAAAATATATTATCCTATTTATAATGATATATTATGATGTGTTTAGATATTTGTTTTTCGAACACGCAACTATGGACTACGGGTCAACGGATTTGGTTTTAATTTCGTACACAGTTTATTATATGTCCACGTAATGTTCTCAATGGTTCAAATTATCATCAGTCTAGACAACGAAGTTGGAGACACTGGTTTTTCCGTAGTGTAACCTGCATAGGTCTGTCGACACCTCCAGCAGTCTGGAATTATTTGGAATCTGTGTAGTTGTGTTCCGCAGTTAATTTTGCCAGAATTGACTATGTATGAGAATCAGGTTATTATAGTTAATGGATTAGGCTATTTGCTTGTTTGGCCAGTATCAAATCAACCTAAAATCTATAGTCAGACGACCCCCGTGGCCGAGTGGTTAGTACGCCGGGTTTCATGGTGTCGCCGACTCGAGAGGTCCTAGGTTCACAACCTGGGGGGCAGATGTTTGTGTGATGAATACGTGCATTTGTACTCCAGTCATGAATGTTTAATATTTATTTCTATATAAGTATAATTATAAATGTACTGTGAATGTATACTATCAGTTACCCTAATATCAACACAAGCCTTACAGTACTTTGGGGCTAAACTAATTGGTGTGAATATCTGAAAATATTTATTATTTATTTATAATGTTTCAGTTGTATGTCTTTATTACCTGTAAAGTTCCGTTTGTTAAGTACATTATGACCGCGAGTGTGGTCCTAAACCATTGGTGTAAATGCGGCAACCGAGACAATCCGTCACTTTCTCTAACGGGCACGGAAGCACCTGTAGAATTAAAAAATTCAATGGGTAACTGGTCAATTTAAAATATAATTATTTTTGATGAATTTATTATTATATATCTTTACCAGCTTTCATGAGATGTTCAGTCATGTATCTCCTGAAATATGTGAGCAGTTTCATTTTCTTGTCAAGGTCAGGCGGGTAGTCTCGCATAGTCATATACTGCTCTTGTCCTTGCCTGTTTATGTAGTGCACATTTCTGGAATTGAGAGAAATTTTTATGACTCTTTTAATATCGCATAAATGGTTTGTGTTTTAATGATGTTACACATACAAAATATATAAATAGAAATCTGCAATAATATATAGGCTCTTACTATCGAGTAAATACTATTCATTAGTTCTACAGTAGAATTACTAGCTGCAAAACAAATTGTTATTTTGTTTTGCTTTTTGTTTACTTTAATATAGCTTATCTTCATTATAATGTTTATACAGTGGTTTAATATGGCAAGGGACACTCGTAAAGTTTAGTTTGACAGAGCCACATTCTTCATTGATACTCCCAGTTCTACCTGACTTCATTTATCAAGATCAGTTTCAGTTTTAGGCATCAATGAACTCTCGCAAACACACACAATACGTTCGCGAGCATAGTAAGGTTGGTGGTGTCGTGAACACGACGAACACATATATGTGTGTGTACAATATATAAACATGTATGTACATATACATATTTCATTTACTAGCTATAAGAGAGAGAGAAAGAAAATGCATGCGCAATGCTTTCTCTTGCTTATAACCCCCACTCTACTTCCGTTCGCCTCTTCGGGGCACGGGTACGGACACGAAAAAAGTATGGATACTTTGTAGTATCGAGTACTTTTCCTTTCGATACAGATACTTTTGTACTCGATACTTTCACTAAATGAATACTTTTTAGCAAGTATTGATACCTTTAAAAATGTGGATAAGCGCCTCATATTGATGGCAACGCTATCTTGTTAAATCATAGCAAACCTTCCATTCTGTTGTTATAAAGTCAGTAACTGACATATTCAAATTCTTTCCAATCTGTGACTGTATTTATTTTGCGCTTTGGTTTGTTTCATAGTTATTTATTTAGCGACAATATTATTAGGAACTGTGTTTGATTCACGGTTTATTGTGCTTTTCGATTGACTGTATTTGATTTATTCAAGTGTAACACTATTATTCTGTCTGTGTTCAAAAAAAATAAATTTAATTTGTAACAAATTTGAAAAGTTTCATACTTTTAAATTGTTTAAGATTTCGATCTTTTTAATGAACATTTTAATTATAATGTAATATTAATGAACCCTTTTTTAGTGTCAGAAATCACAGCTGTTTTTTGAAGTTATACTTCTTTAGGCGCGTTATGAAAAAATGATGAGAGTGAAATTTTTAGATGCGCGCGCATCACTGTAACCCAAAAGTAACAGCATGAAGTTGGCCGCGGGTGCGTTATGAAAAAATCATGTGAGTGAAATTTCGAGATGCGCGCGCATCACTGTAACACAATAGTAACACCATGAAGTTGGCCGCGGGCGCGTTATGAATGTTAGTGTCTAATAATGGTGGATTATTAACCACTAAGTAATCTGTTCGAAAGGTACTTTGAACGATCCACGGAGCTCCATAAGATGATCGCGTTGTCAAAAACAATGTTGGCACGCTCGTCGCCTCTGATCACTGTTTTCATATTTATAATATTTATCCACATGTTTCTAGTTTCTATATAGACACAACGTGTTTTAGTTACTTCCAAGTGCTAATTCTAAATCGCACAGCTGGTACCCGAAGCCGTGTTTGTCACTGTAATCCACCCACTTACCAAATCACCTCCATTCTCCCAGATCTATCTTCATTTTAAAACAATAGTATTAGCAGGATACGAGGGCTGCGAAAAGCGTAGATAGCGCCAAATGATCGCTTTTAAAAGAAATTAAAATAGCGGCTAATTTTAAAGGGGACGGGGGTGCCTAATTAGTAAAACAATTTCAACGGGTTATATGTACTGAATTTATTCATTAATTGACGCCTCACATCAGTTGCAGGAATGCGTCTAAAAAAATACCTAAAAAAAAATTTTTTTTTTTATATAAAAATCATTATTCTGACCACGCATTCCTGCAAGGTATGCGAGGCGTCAATAAATGAATAGATTCAGTGCGTACAATCCTGTTAAAATATTTAATTTAATGAGTCATGTGTATGAAAACCTAAGAAACATATAGTACTTTTAAGTATGAATCAAAGACACTCACAATGCGTTCGCGAGCATGATCAGCTTGGTGGTATCGTTGAACATGACTCCGACGCTCTCGTCACACAGCTGGTACCCGAAGCCGTATTTGTCGCTGTAATCCACCCACTTGCCGACCCAAACGAGGGGCTGGGCCGCCGGGTCGGTCAGTTCATCCGTCAGGCATTCGGGACGGCATTTCAACTGTACGAAATAAACAAATCATTAGCCACATCACATCACAGAAGACACATCGACCCATCACTATCATAATTTTTATGAGTGTCCTTGTCTGTATTACTAAATGTGGTGCGCACAAGAAAGTACTATCTATCTAACAATATCAGAAGAAAGAAAGAAAAACTACAACTAATATACACATCTTTTCATAAGGCCGGGCAGGCTTTCCGTTTGGTTGGAATAGGGAGATTAGGCCCTGGGTTGAAATCAATTTATCCTGTCGTAACAGGATAGTCAACTGTCTCGGATATTTATAGGTCATTGTTGTACTTAGAACCAACCTGCAAAACAGGTTGATTGCCCATTTACTTTGCTAATCTCTTATGAAAAACTAGCGGCGGCCTGCGACTTCGTCCGCGTTACCTTTTAGTTTTTTTTTCTAAAATAAATGTAGCCTAACTTACTCCTTATTACATCAGCTACTTGCCAATAAAAGTCCCGTCAAAATCGGTCCAGCCGTTTCAGAGATTAGCCGGAACAAACAGATTATTTTGGTGTATTTACCGTATATATATATATATATATATATATTCATATGCGTGTAGTAAAAAGCGTTTATTTAAATATTACAATCAGACACTCCAATTTTATTTATATGTATAGATAGTAAAAAATGAAAATTCCTTAAGGCATGTTATGTCAGAAACCTATTTGTTGTGTCAACGTTGTTTATAGTATTTCTCACCTTGCCGGCCAGTAACGCAGCCAATTGATCCCTTAGCGCCACCAGGTTCTGACGGTGGGACGTGGGCTCCACGGCACGCGGCTCCGCACCAATGGGGTCGCGTTTCACTGGCGAATCCACTGCCATTGCGTGCTCTATTGCAAGAGAAATAAAGTTTATTTTCTCTATACTGAGATGGGCATTTCACAAAATTACAGTTACTATTATATTTTATTTTTTAAGCATTTAAATTTGCAATATTTACCTACAATGCAAAGAGCGCTGCTTTGCAGATTAAGAAATACGAGAGGAAATTTGACACGGCCATTGGGGCCGCCGTAGCATAATCAGTCCATCCGCCCGGACAGCGGAATTAAACTTAAAGCTAGCGTACCGTTGGTATTGACTTCTTTGAGCGGACGGCGATGTAGAGGCACTCCCTCTAAGTGATCAGTTTGTGGCGTAGTTGTTAAACAGGAAACTGGTAGGAAGGTCGGCATGATCCCATCATAAGTTAAACCAATTTCATACTTTGTAAAAGATTAACTATTACCGTACCGTACCGTACTTTATAGAAGTTTAACCACTACCGCACCGTTGGTATTGACTTTGTTAAGCGGGCGGCGCTGTAAACAGTAGACTCGCAGCGTCACCAGAGATCATACACTAACCACGTTATCATAGTTTAATGGAACTTTGAAGTAGTTTAACGTACCGTTGGTATTGACTTCGTTGAGCGGACGGCGGTGTAGAGGCACTCCCTCCAACTGATCAGTACGCGGGGCCGTCGTTAAACAGGAAACGGGCAGAGCGGCCGGCATGATGCCCGACGAGAAGAACTCGTGCTGCAGCAACTTATCGACCGACGGCCGCCGCGCCGGGTTAGCCTGCAGCTGCAGCACTATCATCGACGCCGCCGGTTTGCGCAGCGACGACGGTATCCTGAGCAGTTACAACTAAATGTGAACTGCTTTCGTTTACTGACCGGTGAAAGCATGAAGTTTTAGTTTTGGAGTTACTTGCGAGTTTTAGAAAAGGTAGATTCTATTGATCTTTTGTAAACTAAGCTGCTAAGTTTTGATGAGGAGAAACAAATGATCGCCAGGTTAGATTGCAGCTGCAGCAATATCATCGACGCCGCCGGTTTGCGCAGCGAAGACGGTATTCTGAGCAGTTACAACCAAATGTGAACTGCTTTCGTTTACTGACCGGTGAAAGCATGAAGTTTTAGTTTTGGAGTTACTCGCGAGTTTTAGAATTTTAGAAAAGGTATATTCTATTGATCTTTTGTAAACTAAGCTGCTAAGTTTTGATGAGGAGAAACAAATGAGCGCCAGGTTAGACTGCAGCTACAGCAATATCATCGACGCCGCCGCCGTAAGTTTTAGTTTTGCAGTTACTCGCGAGCTTTAGAAGCCTAGAAAAAGTAGATTATGTATTTTATGATCTTTTGTAATTAAGCTGCTAAGTTTTGATGAGGATAAACAAATGAGCGCGGGTATAATGCACGTCAAGATCTCGTGTTGTTGCAGCACTATTATAGACACTGGTAGTTTGGGCACTGACGACGGAATCTTGAGCAGTTATTACGGAATGTTAGATAAACATAATCCTGGCTTGTTTAATTTGGTTTGGTTTGTTATCTGGGTGGTTTTATGTGTTACAAATACTTGTTTTTGAACAGTTATTCTTTTTTAAGCAAATATTGTGAATATGAATTAGAAATGGTTACACAATTTGACAGACTCACAATGATTATCATTTTCAATTATAAGCACATTAACAGAGGAGACACAATGAGTGTTAACTTTCACATATTACAGAACAATATGATGCTTAGAGGGGAATACATAAAAGCATTTTGTTACATTTATCAATAACCAACACCATAACACGAGGTTGTCAAGTTAACCTGTATAGTTGGTTGACCGTATTATAGTTGGTTAAAGCCTGCGCAAACCGAGTGCCGAGTTTATGCCAAGGGCCAGTGGAACATGCTAGCAGCGCTACTTCCACACCTTCGCTATTTGGGGACAATGAGAAACAATCAGTAAAGATTAAAAGTATTATTTTAAGAAATAATTTAAAGAAGTTGCAATATATGACTATATGAAAAAAACAGGCTCTGAATTTTGTACATACAGATAATTTTGAATTGAATGAGTACTTGTTGCTTTTTAGTGATATAGATTTGAATAATGTTATTATTTGTGTGATGATATATCTTTATATGAGTTGTACTCTCTTAAAATTATACAGAAGACAAACATTTCTATTTCTAAGAGATTAAAATTAAGAAAAAAATAATTTATAAAATAGTACTTATATTTTTTTTCCATGATGTTAACATATATTTAATGAGGAGGAATAAGTATATTTCTGTATTGAAAGTGCTATACTATCAATCTACCATTGTATAAGTAAACGGTTTTGTTTATTATATTTTACGGTAAAAAATATTTATACAAACCTATATTCACACTGCTTGATTCTCTTGTAGGTGTCTTTGAGTGTAGAGGTCTCAAAAGGTGGTTTACCCACAAGTAGAGTGTACATAATGCAGCCCAAGCTCCAAATATCCACTTCAAAGGAGTGCCCTTTCTTTGTTAATATCTCTGGAGCAATATAGTTTGGTGTCCCGCAAAGAGTCTGCTTTCTCTCTCCTACAATGGGAGTTTTAATATCAAAATAATAGAAGCTAAAATATTATATCACATAATATCCTTTGGTAAAAGAGCATTGACATGATACGGTAAACTAATAAGAACAGTATGAGCAATGATGATATTGCCAGATTGATCAGTATCTTAATAAATTTGTCATTGTAAAAATATATATATAAGTTGAAATTATAGTTGCAATTTATACTTAATATAATATATCAATAATAGTAGTAAGTAAATATGTAAGTATCATTTACTAAATAGATATAATATTATTGAGTGTAGTAAAGGGTTGCAATATTTAAAAAAGTTGAGTTTATGTAATAACAAGAATTTTTCTTGCAGACTTCATGACGCATGGACAAGTAATAAAGATTAAGGTACCTTCATATTCAATTCTGGCTGCTAAGCCAAAGTCTCCAATCTTCACATGGAGATCATCGTCAAGAAACAGGTTGCCGAGTTTAAGGTCTCGATGTATGATGCGCTTACTATGCAAGTACTGCACTCCAAGTAGGATCTGATGCATGTAGAATCTAGTCTCTGGCTCTGTTATAGCCTTTCTTCTTTTATGTAACTCCATCATGGACTAAGTATCAATTAAAATATACAAGTTAATACCTTGTTACTATATGTAAATCATGTACATACACATGAGGGTGCCTGTGACTTTTTATGTGTGAAAAATTGGTTTCCTTGACAAAGTCCCTTAAAGGATGAATTGTAGGTTAAAAACTATTGTATTACCTTTACCAGGATTTCATCTAAATTGGTTCAGCGGTTCAATTGTAAAGAGGCAACAGACAGTTTTAAGAAATCTATCTATAGATTTATATTACTAGCCTCTGCACTTGACTTCATAATTTTGTCTTTGGGAAACCTTTTATAGGTAATTAAGTAAGTATTCAATGCTAATCCAGAGTATTCTCTTTCTGAATAAAAATACCATCAAAATTTTTTATAGGAATTTCAGTATGATTGATTTAACAAACATTAACATTCACATATATAGATAGGAATAAAATTATAAAATTTATGTCAAAACTTTTATCACCTGCACTTGGTAAGTTATAAGCTACTCATTTGTTTACAATTTAGGTAGGAAATTGTTATGGTTAATATTAGTTCATTAGTTCAATATACCACTTAAAGGCTGACAAAATATAATTCATGAATGAAATGTTTGATATGATACGATATATACATAATTTTAGAGATTACTATTATACTTACCCTTCTCTTACATAGTTCTAGTATAATGTAAATGTTAAGTGAATCTTCAAAGAAACTGTGGAAGCCAACCACATGTTTGTGCTGTAGTGACCTGTGTATAGATATCTCTTGTGCCATCTTTTCCTTTTGGCTCGTCTTCACCATTAACTTCTTAGACACAATTTTGCCAGCATACACTTCATGAGTGCCTAAGTCTTGGATTTCATAGCATTTAGCAAAACCGCCCTGTAATTTTCATAGAACAATAAGTTTTGGTTGACTGAAACCAAAACTATAAACAAGTTTACTCATTGAGAACATTACAAATGATGAATACACCGTTATATTTTTTATTACCAAGACAATGAAAACGGTTACAAGATATGGTTCTGGTTCGGAACAGATGTTTGAAATTAATGTTGTTTGGTGAAAATATTTTCAAGTCTTGCTAATGAATTAGGTACAAATACACATCTTGAATAGAAAACAGGACTAACCTTTCCAAAAAATCGCAACCTTTGATAGGTAGACTCAGTTTGGGGATCATGTATGATTTCGGGAATTTCTTTCTTTTCATCTTCTTTGATTGACGTCATCTTATGGAGCTAGTTCACAATATTATATAATTAAAAAGTTAAAAATTAATAACTACAATAAACTGACGATTGTTAGTAAATTCACAAATTGTAATTTCAAACGGCCACACGTTTGAATTCAACTTTTGATAGAAGTTGGACGATGAAGACAGTTGCTATGAATTTGAACGGTTGTAGTTCAATTAGCCAATCACAGTGTAGCATTTTCTAAAGAGTTGCCATACGAGATTAATTGTACGCATATTTCATATAGACAATACTTAATTTTGTTTCTCATTTATATGAAGGCGAAGAATATAGATAGCCAAAGTTTAATTTATAACATATTGGAACCGATTCTGGAGGCCTACTCTATTTCAACGAAAAACGAAATTTCGATCGAAATTTCGCACGTTCTCTACTCTGTTTCCTTTTCATTTCGAAAATTCGTTCGTCCGAAATATTTTGACAATTAAATTCTCCAAGCCTTTTCTAATTCACAAAACTTTCGAAGGAAAAGTTGAATTTGACAGATAATTGTTCGAAATTTTAACTTTGAAAGTGTTACCTTTTCATTTTCGTTTTGAGATTTTTGTTTTAATTAAGCCTAAAATACTTGCAAGAGTATTTTTAATAATAGCTGCTTAGCTCTAGTAACATTTTTAGCATGTAAAATTAACAAATAAACCATCATTTTATTATTTTTTGTAATTTCGATACTTCAAAATATTAAACGACAAATTGAGGTTGACATACAGTAGATTGTATCGACTCTACAAATAAGTCGGCTAACACTGTCAAAGAAGGTTCTTTTAATGTCATCAAAAAAAATTGCCGTAAACTACCTATATTGTTTCCAAGTAAAAAAAACGTTTTCTTAAAAGTAGAGATAAAAAGAACTCACAAACATGACTCATTCCATTCGTTCACGAAAACTGTTTATGGTTCCGAAGTTAACGTGCCTGTTCGAAAATGAAATAGAGTAGAGACACTGGCGAAATTTCGTTTGAAATTCGTTCGTTACCGAAATTTCGTTTCGGAGAAAGAGAGTAGAGCTCCTGGTCTCTCCAAACTTGACAAGTCTCAGCTTCTCATTCACTATAGAGCATGGCGCTGTTATCAAATTAAATTATAGGTTTACAGAAGTATGCCATTGGGGTCCGATAGTTTACCTATTTGATTTTTTAAAGAATGCAAATGTAACTTATCTGACTATAATAAACTCATAAGTTTCATTGATTACCTGACACGGATTATGAAAATATTTATAAAGGTTTGTCCACATACTTATGTTCACAGACATAGTATTTGCGTTAGTTTGATGACCTCCGTGACCGAGTGGGTTCCAAGGTGTCGTCTACTCGAGAGGTCACGGGTTCGAATCCCGATGGGAACAGATGTTTGTGTGATGAAGACGAGCATTTTAGTATTCATCACAGAAAAATCTGTCCCCACCGACATTGCATAACGTAATGAATACCTAGCATTTGTAGGGCGAAGGATGGTCAAACAAAAAAAAATTTACAACCTAAATCTCCTTCTTGCTTGATGATCACCTACTCCCAGTATCTGTCCGATACTGGGTTTGGCGAACGGGTTCGGGAGTAGCGGAAGTCGCAAAGATTCCCTAATCAAGGCTAGAGGACTATCTTTCTCGAGGTTGCCGCCCGTTTTTGCTCAATTATCTTCTGTAATTGAAATAACCGAAACCTCTGGCCATGACACAAATCCCGCACACCATAACCGTGGCGGCGCACATTCATATCCGGGAACACATAGTCTAGGGGAACTAAATACCCCCTAAAAGAATTGTGTGCGTTACTTGGCACATCCTCGCCAAAGTCCCAAAAACAACGTGAGTGCCTTGAAAAAAGAAACAGTGCCCCAGGAGGGTATCATTATTAACGAAAAATCCCTCACCGACCCTAGCTTGGTCTGTTCCACGTATTTACAGCTATGCAAACAACGACAACAACAACACAGTGGTCTGTGGTCGCCCATAAGCACCCCTGCAAAAGGGAGACTGCAGAACCCTTGGTACAAGGTTGTCTTGGTAGTGTTACGAGTTACGACATGCCCGTTGCTGACAAACCGCAGAGTAATCCTAAGGAGAAGGTGGTTCACCTAATCCTTGGAATCCCTGAGGACCAAAAACAGACGATAATGGACAGAGATCACCATGTTGCACACATGACTGGCAGCGGATACATCAGCTTTTTCGCGCCAGACGAAGCAACACCGGCTGACCTGACACTAGCAACACCGAGTGCGACTACAGAGCATGAAGGCACTGCGTTCACGGTACCACCCACCTCAGCTCCCCGACCGGGTCCCAGCGAGATGGAACTGGGAGCAAGCCTTAACTCTGAGTAGTCCCTATAGTCACACCAACACCAACATCAACGTCATATAAACCAATCTCCAGCACAAGCAAATAGCGAGGGCCACTCTGCGCAGGGTGCTGGAGACGTACAACAAGTTCGTCTCCGTGATCCAGGAACCCTGGATCAGAACAAGTTACACTTAAACACATCTATCGATAAACCAGGGATATGCATTATACCCAAGTCCATAATAACAACCATGCTTAACAAATTCTGTTCCTGAGATCTCACAGCTGTGACGATCCCCACATATAATCAAAACTGTTTGTAGACTGAAACTAGTACCAGGGCTGCCTGGTACTAGCTTCAGTCTACATGCCGAATGAGGGTGAAACACCTCCCGAGGGAGCTGATCGAGCTGGTAAGACACTGCGTGGACCACAAATGGGAGCTGGTTGTAGCGGCTGACTGTAACGCACATCACTCACTGTGGGGAAGTAAGGACACAAACAAAAAGGGGGGAGTAGTTAACTGAATACTTATTCCAAACTTTAGCCTTAACATAATGAATATTGACACCGAGCCGTAGACATGCACATTTCATGTCCTCCAAAGCAACCTCCTTGTTTTTATAGAGTTACTAAATAGCTTAGAGCACATACCAAGGGCGATGGCATGGGCGGGCGTAACCCTCCGCCAAAGTACGTGGCCATCGGGCCATATGCGCTATATAAAACTAGTTCACGTTCACGCGCGACCGCTATCATTTTGGATCGTTACGCAGCGCAGGTCGGAGTTTCAACAAAAATGGAAAATTGTGTTGTTTTCCCACGTAAAAACCGATCTGCCACTTCAATTCTGCTGAAACATGCTGTTTCCTATCATATAGAAGTATTTTTAAGTTCTAAAAAGTTAGTATTCTGGTATAAAATTCAATTTAAAGAAAAGGCGCGAAATGACAAAAATAATAGGTGGAAATTCATAGTGCTGTGACGAAATATGAATGAATGGTATTTTTAACACTGGAAAACATTCAACCAGATTTGAGTGAATCTGCCGATACAAATAGCATGTTGATAAAACAAATATACATCGACAGATTTTATAAAAAAACAAACATTCAATCATTCACGATCTATAACTTAAACAAACAAAGATTCTTGCATGATTCTCTAAACTTAAAAGTAAATTTAACATTAGTCTCTCCTTTTTTCAAACACAATTTCTTTTGTAGTAGCGTATTTTATTCTAATCCACAAAAGTGGTACCTAATTACTTATTCATCTAAGCCGCATATAATACGACTAGAGGACATTCAATTTCCAGAAACTTAGGGCTCCTTGGAAGCTATAAAACGTCACAAAATCGATTTTTTAAGTTGCCGTGCCTATAGTGCCATTAGGACTGCATAGTCCCAAAATCTGAAATATTAAATAACTCGAACTCGAAAAAAATTTGGTTTTCGTAATCAGCTCCACTAAAACTATAGATATATATATTCGATAAATACTCATATTAAACTTATTTCAAAAAAACTCAGTTTGATCAAAAAGTTTATTTAATTAAAAACAGAATTAAGGAACAAAGGTACTTTGACAATCGGGACCAATTATTGGGATCATTTGATTTATTCTAGAATATCAAATGTATCTTCACTGTTGAAATAGCTTTGTCCCTTACTAAACATAATTATAGACTACTGGATTTGATTTATTTTAGTTTAGTTTAATAGTGGTATCGATTCTGGCGTGACTCTCTAAACTTAAAACTAAATTTGACATCAGTTTCTCCTTTTCATTCTGTATAGAGAATGACAAGGATACACTGTTGTCAAATTTAAGTTTAGGTTTAGAGAATCATGCTAGAATCGACACCACTGTTGTCAAATTTAAGTGTAGGTTTAGAGAATCATGCCAGAATCGACACCAGTAATTAAGTTATTTAATCAAAATTATATTTTAGCAGATCTTCCTGATTTATTTAAATTTACTATTTTATTTTCGATTATAATGATTAGGTCAACATGTTTATAAATATATACATATACAGTGGTGGTCGTATAATTAGAAATACTACCAACGGTCCTTGACATTATGTAACATACTTCACTGCAATCGTTTTTATTTTGAAATTAAACAATAAATAGGACAACAACATTTTCATCGATTTATTATTTATTAGAAAAACAATATTAATACCATTACACAAGTGCAGTTTCAAAATTACATTACGTACAAACATTTAAATCAGTTTTAAGGTATGAACAATAATGGTCAACTAATTAGAAACAACAACAATAAAGCATAAAATCAATATTTTTATAAGTATTAGTAATCAGTATTGTTGTTGACCAAATAGCTACTGTCCACAGCCTACCAATAGTTATAATTATTACTTAGTGGCGTATCCCTTATTTCTAATAACAGCACTGCAACGACGTGGCATTGGTTCAATCAATTTCATACATTTTTTTAGGGGGATTGAATTCCATGCTTCAACAAATGATTCATATAGTTCGTTTTGACTGGTGTTTTTTTTGTTTGAGACTTTATTTCGTAATTTTTGAAGTGTGCCTTTAGAGGAATAACACGCTCGTGTTTGTGTGAGTATTTCAAATTTTCATTAGTGTGCTATACGTGTGTCGTTGACACACGGTCCCGCAAAAAAAAATGGTGAAAAATTTTGTTCGGCGAGTAAACGGTACGGCATCTCCATTGGTACATGCTTTAAGGATGACATAGAGATATTTTTAAATTTGTAACATTTTTCCTCTTGCTTTCCAGCAATGGACCAATAGTTACTTAACCCTCCGAGTAACGGTCTGTCTGTAAGGCTAGAAATTCTTATGGTGATGAGTTATAGCATGCTTAGTACGGTAAGCATCGCCTGGCACTCCTCAGCCCTGCACGTCATCAAGATATATATTTTTGAAATTGTCAAAAAAAAAATTAAAAAAAAACTTGTTGATATATGTATTTGTTTAAGCGATTTAAAGTAAGTAGGCACAATTCCAGGCGGTTCTGGCTAGCACAAGTCCTTGCCAGGCGAGGGGAAAGATGCTGTGGCAGTGCGAGTAAGAGTCGTAGTATGAAAACTTACATAACTTAAGACTGCTCATAATTTGAAATTAATTAACGTTAATTAATATATATTTAGTAGTGTGCATGTTCTGTGAAGTAACCAATTTGAAAAAATGCAACTCGATACTTAAATGGAACTTTTTTTTCGTCAGGAAAATGCATGATGCATACCCCGCCACCTGGGAGTGGCAACGGGGTTATGTAGGACTCCTTCCAACCCGTCCTGCCCGTCCGCTCAGCCAGTCCTGGGACTAGCTCAGCGACCGCCCAGGAGGGGGGAGGGGGGGGGGGGGGCTACCCACTAAAACCTGACAATGCCCCTCACCTCATTCGGTCCACGGTCCCAATCAGCGTAGTTGAGACAACGGCACTGGATGAGGCCACGGGAACCCTTACGGAATCTCCCACGACCTCACCAGTGAGCGTCCGAGTCAAACGGACACACCCCTCTCCCCCCAAAGAGGGGAGTGTTGGGGATACCCCGAAGCATATCCCCAGGGTATCCCCAGCCATCAGCAAAGACCAACTGTGCAAGGCAGGATCTGAACCTCCCAAGTTCAAACCCCGCAGGCCTCTGCCGGGGAGAGCCTGACGACGAAAAAGAATAAATTGCTGAGAATGAGTCAAGTGATACTGAAGAACACATTAAAGGTAATTTACACATTTCATAAAAATACAGGGTGAAATTGAATGTTCTAATGAAACTTCGTGGGAATGTTGGGTTACGTATATAGAGTATCTCTGAATTTTTTCGGATTTTTTAAAAAATGATTTAAAATAAAATTTAGTTTTTTTTTTGTTATATTTTAAGTCCTTTCCTCCTTTTGGGTACTTAATAATTATTCTTTTAAAACATGCATACAGAGTAAGTAAAAAACAAGTAATAAGCACTACTAAAAAAGACGTAAAAACAGGAGACGGGCGGCCGGGAGCAATGACCGCTCCCGCCGTTGAATACCTTCCTGCCTACCTATCTAGGTATGCGCGGTGCACAGCGCAGTGAACGAGCGGAGTCTCAAGCGCGCGTGCGTATCTTTTAAATTTGTGACAAGACAAGATTTGCAAATAATGCCTTGATTAGTTCTTGTTCTGTGCCCTCAATATAAGAATTTGGATATGGTGTGTTGTTATTGCGAGTGTCACGGAATACTCAGCAGAGCCACAAGGCTTTACGAAAGTAGGTTTGGTGATTTATTGGGAAGTTATAGAGAAAAAAATTAATAGGTACATCGGTCTCGTGAGTACTTTTGAATACCTGGTAATAAATTTCATTCTGACCCAAGTATTGAACTGCAATAAGTATTTCTTTTTGTTTAACTTTTACCTATTTCCAATCGTGACAAAATTATTATTAACTTTTTAAGTTTTTCTCTGCTTAAGAGAAGATGACATTTGTGCTTATTATTTCAATTTAATAAAGGCATCTAAGACGATTTTATTGTATTGTGTGGAATCAAACGAGTCAGCTGAGCTCTGTGTACGTACCTACTCACTCAACGGCTGGCGGGCGCGGTCGGTCGTTGACCCGCGGTGGAATTTTACTGTTTTTCCGTTCTTTAGAAGTGCTTATTTATTAGTTGTTTTTCACTGGATATGTAAGCATGTTTGTTTAATATGAATAACTACTCAAAAGGAGGAAAAGACAAAAAAATACACAAATTATAAATAAATACATGAAAAAAAATACTTCAAAAAAATCCGAAAAAAATCAGGCATTCTCTATACTCGTAACCCAACAATCTCACGAAGTTTCATTAAAACATTCAATTTCACCCTATATATGGAATTCTATATAATTGAGCGCAAGGTCAGAGATGTAATGTTTAATTAGAACTTTGTTCTTTTTAGATGATGAAATCAGCATCATGATGATGAAGAAAGTGATGAAAATGAATATTTATTAGTTAATTTAAACACCTATAATAATAAAAAATATTTTACCCATAACTTCTATTTTCACATCATTTAATTTGCATCAATAATATACCGTAAGTTTTCTTATTACGACCTTGCTCGCGTGCCGTAGCATCTTTCCCCTCGCCTGGCAAGGACTTGTGCTAGCCAGAACCGCCTGGCATTCTACCTACTTACTTTAAATCAAACACGTATATAAATTATCAACTTCTTCAACTTTACAGAATAAAGTTTATTTTTATGTATATATTACACACATTCCGGTTCACCTGGCGGGTACTTGTGCTCATCGTAAACGCCTGGTATTTTTTTTAAACTTAAAAATGAATAAACTAAATTGTATAGAAAGGAGATTGCTCAGCCTTACATGTTTGGCCTAAAGACCAATAATCATGAAAAATTGTTTCCTAGATTCGAAATTATATATAAATTACTGTAGAAACGAATATTATTGACGGACACCCCTGAGAACTTTTATAAACCATAAACACTGAATGATTTTCAGGTTATGTTTGCAAATAGGTACAAAGGTATAAAAATAATAAAAAACAAATAAGTTATATAGTAAACTAGGGAAATCAAGCCAACTACCGAAATTACGTATTAGATTTAGGTATATAGAGCAGGTAGTTGCCTTTTTATAAAGTTAATACACAAGAGTAACTTTTAAAATCAGGTATCATATATGAATTTCCGGTCATGATAAGGTACTCTGTGACAGAAACTGTGTGATGATTGTGAATGAGCTACAGATTACAGAACTTTTAAACTCGTTAATTTAGATAGTAAAGCTTCATTATTTTTTGTTAAGTTTATATTATAACCATATTTTAGATTTTCAGTGTATCACACCTTATAAGCTGTTATGGAGGTGTTTGGCGAAAAATGTATGGCAATAGACTTTATGTCGCCTACCATTTATAATAATTGTCTTAGCACATTTGCATGTAGTGGAAATGATAATATAGTTGTGGATATTAATACCACAGTGTAATAAAAAAAAATGGATGCGTGTAACTTATGTACGTAAAATATTTTTAATGATGCTAAAGAAGTTATACTTCTTTAGCATCATTAAAAATGTTTTTTAATTGCATGCAAATAATTGATAATTACAATAAAATAATAAAAGGACTGGAAAAGGATAGTTAACACAGTCAATTAAGTTCAGTTTTAATTTGAAAAATTAAATAAATATTCAAAATATTCAATTAAAATCACTACTGAATTTAAGTTATTAGTCCATATGTAATTAGCACTTGTAAGTAACTAAAACACGTTGTGTCTATATAGAAACTAGAAACATGTGGATAAATATTATAAATATGAAAACAGTGATCAGAGGCGACGAGCGTGCCAACATTGTTTTTGACAACGCGATCATCTTATGGAGCTCCGTGGATCGTTCAAAGTACCTTTCGAACAGACAGTGATGCGCGCGCATCTAAAAATTTCACTCACATCATTTTTTCATAACGCGCCTAAAGAAGTATAACTTCAAAAGTTTTATTTTATCGATCTTTACAAATTAGATTTGTTTTGATGTTATACATACGAGTATATACAACTTCGATCAGTCTTTGGCTGAATGTTACTACACCCATAGCCATTAAAAATGATTAGTATGTTTTCTAAACCGGTAAAATTAAACGACCCTTTTAAAATGAATATATTATACAAATATATGTCCGTGTCCGTTAAAATCTAATGACTAAAATAAAGTATAAATTACGCCAAGAATTACCGTATATGTCAATATTTTTTGTACATTTGGGCCAATTTGAGCAATCTCCTTTCAAGCTTACAGCAACAAGGTTTTTTTTAAATATTTTTTTGATACTTTCAAAAATATACGGCTTGATGACGAGCAGGGCTGAGGAGTGCCAGGCATAAGAATTACTAGTCTTACAGAAAGACCGTAACTTGGAGGGTTCAGTAGCTCTTCTACTACAATTTGTGGGAGTGATTTCGTGAAATGGGACGGAAGTGTGTAACAGGATGTCGCAAAAGCGCGCGCTATTTGATTTGATTTTAGAACATAATGTTCAAACGGCTTATTCCTTCTTTAGTAGGTTTTATTTCATTTTTTACTAATATAAGGTGAGGTTTCAAATGTTACACATCATACACGACTACTGTAAGGCTCGCTCGTTTTTTTTTAATATTCTTTCTAAATGGGTGATGAAGGTACTTCGTAGCAAGGCTCATTACAAGGTTAATTAAATGTCTTCGGACATTGATTTTCGTATAATTGTGGTTGAACTTCACTTTGAGGTAAGTTCCTTGAACCACTAATTATACTATGAAGAAGCGTGGGGTTACCCAGGTTGCGCGAGTGCTGAGGTTCGCTCAGATGCGTATAAGTAAACGATTTCCATTTCCATGGCAACGGGCCGCGCCACCCGCTAGAGTGGTAAAAGGTAAAGGGTCTAAGAGTAATCAAAACCCGGGTAGACCGTTTTTTACGGACTTTTCGATCATTATATTTGAATTTTTAAAAATACAAGAAAATGTGTTCTTTTATCGATTTTCTACAATGAGTAAAGTAAATACAAATTTTTCTACAATGAGTAGGAAGTATTAAAATTAATGAAACATTACAAAAACAGTTTTAAATACTACAAAAATATTTTTTTTCTTTAAAATCATATCAACCGTACGACGCCCAATGATCGGTCCTGCACCACTCGCAATCAGCGGCTTCCCGAGACCTTTGCCGACGATCTACCTCGGTCTACCTCGTGTGGGGCCTGCCCACTGAGCGTCGTCCGGTGCGTGATCGCCATTCAAGAACCTCTCCGCCCCACCTGCTATCGGTTCTCCTTGCTACGTGTCCCATTCATTGCCACTTCGGCAGAGCAATACTTCAAGCGATATTGGTTACTTTGGTACTGCTACGGATTTCCTCATTTCTGATTCTATCACGTAATAATACCGGTACCACTCTCTCCATTATGATATTTGGAAAAAATTGACTCGAGGTCAAGGATCAAAAAAGTTTGTTTTCACGATTACATTCAAAACTGCAAGTTTTATCGTAAAATTTGCTCGAGGTAAATGGTCAAAAAGGTGAGTTTTATCGTAAAATTATCTCAAGGTTAATAGTAAAAAAGTGAGTTTTTTTGCGATTATGTATATCAAAACGGAAAGTTTTATCGTACTTAAAATTACTTCAAAAAAACCGGAGATCAGTAATTATCTATGAAAAAGGTATCATTAACTTTTTTCCTCCTAAGAGCCACCGTTCCTGAGATATAACGATTTAAACTAACTGCTTAGATGCATGTTTTGTTAAAAAGACTCGAAATAAAAAACAAGTGCAATGAACTGGGTTTTATTACATGGTATAATTAGCGAGTTCTCTAGTTTCTGATACTTTTTAGAAATAGTTCAGGCGTTTTTGCCCGAAAAATTACAAATAACAAAATGGTCTGATAACTTCCCGTAACACTCTCCCTACACGCTATGGCAAAAGACATTTCCAGACCCAATCCACTATACTAACCTATGCCTGTGACATTAATTTACATGAAGTGATATTGCGTGATTAACACAAATAATTTACGTAATACGTTATCTGTATCTGCAATTTAACCGCCACAATGCATACCTATTTATCTTACTACGGATTTTTGATGAGATTCTTTCATGAACACTGGTTATCAATCACCATTCCTAAAAAAATAGTGAATTGGATTTTGGATTCCATGATAGGCTTGTCTTAAATGAGTGAAGTTATATCATTTGATTTCCGTTTCTATTAAAAAAAATCTATTAAGGTCTAAGGGAATTTGCAGGCCATTTTTTGTATTGTCACTTTTCTCATAAAAACGCCAGAACTATTTATTTCTAAAAAGTATCAGGAACTATAGAACTCAGCAGCATGCGAAAAGAACTCACATTTGTTTTCGATCTGCTGCAAAATGATATGCTACGGGAAGTTAGCAGACGTTTTTGTTAATTAACACATTTCGCGAAAACGCCAGATCTATTTTTAAAAAGTATCAGGAACTATAGAACTTTGCTGCATGCGAAAAGAACTCACATTTGTTTTCAATTGGCTGCAAAATGATATGCTACGGGAAGATAGCAGACCATTTTGTTCATTGATATTTTTCCCGTAAAACGCCAGAAATATTTCTAAAAAGTATCAGAAACTATAGAACTCTGCTGCATGCGAAAAGAAATCACATTTAATTTTGATCTGCTAGGGAATGATGTGCTAAGTTCACGCACATGGTATGGTGGGAGTAATTTTCAAGGTGCAAGGTTGCCCCCGTCCTGTTAGTCTGCCACATCGAGTAAATCCAAAAGTCCCCACTTGGACTCCCCTACTATTGAAACATTGTACCGAAATTTGGACTGAATCGAAATCTTAAGCAGTTCTTATTAAGAACCTAATCAGTTTTGCAATAAGAGATCGCAGTAAGCCTCCAGGTCTAAATCGAATCGAAGGCTTTCTCATAGTTCACGAACTCCTAGTGGCAGATATTATAATCTTCGGTCTTCTGTATGACCTGCCGCAGCGTATGGGAGTTGTCTATGGTACTAAAGCCTTTTCGCTCAAAGTTAAAAAATTAAACCCAGGTTTTTTATTTAAAATTAAACGTCACAGGCACTTACAAATTGATGACGTGACCACGTTTATTTCTAAGGTAGTCCACTAGTTCAATGTTAATAATTTGATGCAAAATGAAGGGAAAACTAAGTGTTTCAAATTTGTATTACCTAATACCAAACAGGTAAAAACCAATGTAAATATAAAGGATCGAAATATAAGTCTTGTAGGTACCACAGTGTTCTTATGAATCACACTAGATTCTAAGCTGCAATGGGGCCCATATATTGATAGATTGTCGAACAGTCTTAGTTCTGCAGCATATGCTGTAATGAAAATACGTCAGTTACCGGATATAGGAACTGCCAAATTAGTCTACTTTAGCTATTTTCATAGTGTAATCTTACATTCAAACTATATTTTGTGTTTCAGAATAGGGCGATCAATTTATAATCTTAAAGTTAAGAAATCCTTAAGAGATGATTTAAAGGAATAGGCATAATGACGGTTGCATCACAATACAATATATGAAAACTTAGTATTTGTTAAAAAAAAATACTAAAAATAGTGAAATACATCCACTTGACACTAGAAGTAAAAATAATTTAACTTTACCTGCTACTAGACTCCACAAAATTGACAATTCGTTTAGAGGTTTCTGTGTTCGCTTTAACAAATAAGCGTGACTAAATTTAAATCGACCATTAAAAATATTTTTTTAAGAAAGCTTATTTTATAGTGTCTTTATGATATATGTACTTACATATATTATGAATTATGTGTTGAAAATACTTTAATTGAATTTAAAACATGTATTTAAAGTTGATTGCTCAAGGAGGAATATCAGACTATTTAAGAATATTTGAATGACAAAAGGGCGCGTTCGTGATTTCTTCATTGCTTTTGTAATTGTTTGAAGTGTCTTACAGATAAATGACCTTAATTTTAAGTAAATATGTTGTAGTTATGATTTTATTTATTTTTAAGCATTTAACTGCTAGATGTTTAAATCTAAAGAAAAGTTTACTAGAAAAAAATCCACGCGGACCAGGCAGCGGACGGGACTCGAACCCGCATCCTTCGCAATCCGGGCGAATGCACTGACCATTATGCTACCACGGCCCTATTAGCCGCGTCGAAATTTTCCTAGCGTTAAGCTGCAAGGCAGCGCCATCTCTTCGCATTACATTATTGTGGGTTACCTACAATGCGAAGAGATGGAGCTGCCTTGCAGCTTAACGCTAGGAAAATTTCAACGCGGCTAATAGGGCCGTGGTAGCATAATGGTCAGTGCATTCGCCCGGATTGCTATTTCTTCTTTCAAATGTTTAATACTTGAAAAAGTATTCATTTGACATTGTGGGTTACCTACAATGCGAAGAGATGGCGCTGCCTTGCAGCTTAACGCTAGGAAAATTTCGACGCGGCTAATAGGGCCGTGGTAGCATGGTCAGTGCATTCGCCCGGATTGCGAAGGATGCCCGGGCCCTGGGTTCGAGTCCCGTCCGCTGCCTGGTCCGCGTGGATTTTTTTCTAGTAAACTTTTCTTTAGATTTAAATATGTTGTAGTTCGTATAGTTGGTTATGGGTAGTCATGCTCTCTTACAAGGCTCTTCGGTCGTGTCGTGTAAGGCGGGTCGTTACGTTCCCTAAAATATGGTTGAGCGAAGTGATGGCTGGTTCATGCATCATGCTCGTGAACGGGTGCTGCCAGCGGAGATGAGTCTGCCCTAACTAATTTAATATTAAAGATGTTATTGTCTAGTTACACCTAATACAAATAACACTATTTGTATTTATACTGTATGACATAGCATTCAAAATGGAGGTGAACAATTAATGAATATTTCACATTATGTGATGAAAGGTGACTTTATGAATCATATCTGAAGTCATGTTTCAACTTGACGACGTAAATACTAAAACAGGGAGTTTCTTGCTGGTTCTTCTCAGTACAAGGTCTCCCGGCGTAGATTTACAAATCGATTGCGTAGCTTCTAGACATTCATGAGTGCTTGTAACAGCCCAAATTGAATAAATGATTATAAATCATGCTCGGTTTTACTCGGTCCGGGTAAACCCTGGTTTTCCCGGACCGAGTAAAACCGAGCTTGATGCACTAATTACTACTACATAAGTACGTTAAGTGCTTTATATACTTTATATAACCTTGCTTGGCTTGTATCAGATAGGTCATGAGCAAGCATCCTGCGGAAATCTGCGCAACGGTTTTTTGTAGATATCACAACACCGTCATATCATTTAAATATACATAATATACTTATTGGTAGGTATTTGTATCAATAAAATACTGAAAATAGAATAAAATTTTACAAATACTACAACCCTGCAAATGCATGCAAGTCCACTTTGTTCTTGCTTGACCGTTTTAGGGTTACATGCCCAAAGAGTAAAAACGGACTGTCGTCTGTCTGTCTGTCCGTATGTCCCGGGTTTCTAGATCGTAAACGGAATGAGTTACAGAACTGAAATTATGAAGCATGCTTGCCTCAAGACGAATATTTAATTAGAAATAAAATAAAAATATTTTTCCTATACATAAAAAGGAGACGATTTTTTAACCCAGCATGTGACACATCATTGCCTAGAGATAAAATATAAATATATTTTTTATTATATTTTATTTTCAAGAAATGGGGGGCTGTTTTTAAACACTAAACAATGATTTTACGAAACCCTAATAGAGCGTGGTTTAGACTTGCGCTTGATTAGTTTTTTTATTTGGGCATTTATATAATAACGAATGTAGTGAACATCTATGTAAGAAAAGAAAAAGGGTGCTATTACAATAAAAAATTTAGGTACTTTCCCGGCATTTTGGAAATATGCTGAAGCAAAGTACTTAAGTTAATGTCGACGTAATAACCCAGGTTTTGAGCAGAAGGAAATTCCGGTTTCGGTGCAATGTTTGCAATTGAATTAAGTAGCTATTTCTTCAAATTGTCTTGTTACTCATTTATATCTTACATTAATTCAAAAGGATTTATTGTCTGAGGTTTATTTAATTAGTGAACAATAAGGCTATATAAGTAATTTGCAGTCTAGTCGCTGGTCGGTTGTCTCCGAGAGCGACTGTGATTCATTTGTTGTCTCCATAATATTGCTTTGTATTTATTTATAATTACAAATACGCCGCGAGTTAAACGCAATTAAAAGCTTTTGTGTAACAAAAGAAGTTAGCTCCAATTAGTAATATAGTTATTAAGAAAGTTTTGTCTGATAGTGTTTTGTCCTAATACTTAATAATATAAAGTTAATTACATGACAAGTATTATGTTACGAATAAGTGTGATATTTTTTTACATGGTGCCTGTAGTGTTCGTGGGTGCACATACTCGTAGATTTATACCTATTGTGACTACAGATGAACGTAAGCATATATTTTGAAACTTATTTATTGTTGAGTTTTTCGACTACCCACGGATTATTTAAAATATGGGGCGGTTTCTAGGCATTCATGTCATTTAGTTTGCTTGCTTGTTATGTAGGTTATAATTTTTTTATTTTATTTTCTTAACTGTAATTATATTTCATAAAATTTACAAAAAATAAACTGGAGTAGTTATTGCTGGACATTTTGTTAATTTAACTAACGTAACAAATAAGTTATACAGCAATTTGCCAGGGTGGCAACAAGAATATAAACATACCATTTTTGCCTGATACCCTGGAAGATGAAAAGTATTTGATCAAACCTTTAATTTAAGGATCAATCAGAAATTTTCAATAACTTGTTCTTTTATTTTCATTAATTGAAAACTAATAATTAATATCATGGTTTATCAGAATAAAATCTGAATGAATTAATGTTAGAAGCGTCCAAAGACTTATGATTTGATAAAGTTTGTTTGTATTATTATAATAAAAATCTAAAATAAAATCCGTACAATATAGCAATGCGTCCGATTATAGGATTCTTTTTGAGTTTATTACATTATTTGTAACAGTAATGATTAACCCTAATGTTTAGTTTAACATTTTGTACTTACATGTAGTGTAGTGACAAAGAACTAATTAATTTAGTTTAATTAAAATTTTGTCACTATACTACAGGTATTTAACTATACATTATAGGTATAGTTTAATGTGAGTCATTATATTTTTTAACATTCAACCCAATTAGTCTAGCCCCATAGTAAGCACTGTAAGCTGCAGGGATTGAATTATGGGATACTAATGTAACGGATAGATAAAGGTATACAAATGATACATAGATAAGAGTAAGTTTGTAGAAATATCAAAAAATAATTATATAAACAGCGGCTTAAGTAGAAATGCTTGCAATCATCGTACAGACATTGCCCCACCGGGATTCGTACCCAGGACCTCTGAGTGGGTGAGAATTCGTTGTCCAATATAAATCGTCAGATATAAAATTACAGTAGAATCTATTTCGGAGTCTTACTATCTAGGTATATATTGAGAAAATAATAATAATGAGAGCTAAGCTAGTTTCCATATAAAATTGATCGGACTTTTTGGCGGGATCGGAAAGCGTCACCTTAGCAGTTTTGTTTTTCTTGTTAAAAATTGTGTTGTGGCGGATGTTAGTGTCTAATAATGGTGTATTATTAACCACTAAGTGTTCGGGAACATGCACAAGTGTTGGCAAGTGAAACAAAAGCGGAAAGTGTCTTTCGACGTTCCCTCAAGAAGTCCACGGGGAGGTTCCCCACACATTTACTGAAATATAGGGACAGGGGGATTGACTTGACAGCCACTAACTTTGACATGATTTATTACTTTGACCATGAGTGCTAATATCATGGTTTATCAGAATAAAATCTGAATGAATTAATGTTAGAAGCGTCCAAAGACTTATGATTTGATAAAGTTTGTTTGTATTATTATAATAAAAATCTAAAATAAAATCCGTACAATATAGCAATGCGTCCGATTATAGGATTCTTTTTGAGTTTATTACATTATTTGTAACAGTAATGATTAACCCTAATGTTTAGTTTAACATTTTGTACTTACATGTAGTGTAGTGACAAAGAACTAATTAATTTAGTTTAATTAAAATTTTGTCACTATACTACAGGTAGAAAAAAATATTTAACCGGGTAAGTTATAGGTATAGTTTAATGTGAGTCATTATATTTTTTAACATTCAACCCAATTAGTCTAGCCCCATAGTAAGCACTGTAAGCTGCAGGGATTGAATTATGGGATACTAATGTAACGGATAGATAAAGGTATACAAATGATACATAGATAAGAGTAAGTTTGTAGAAATATCAAAAAATAATTATATAAACAGCGGCTTAAGTACAAATGCTTGCAATCATCGTACAGACATTGCCCCACCGGGATTCGTACCCAGGACCTCTGAGTGGGTGAGAATTCGTTGTCCAATATAAATCGTCAGATATAAAATTACAGTAGAATCTATTTCGGAGTCTTACTATCTAGGTATATATTGAGAAAATAATAATAATGAGAGCTAAGCTAGTTTCCATATAAAATTGATCGGACTTTTTGGCGGGATCGGAAAGCGTCACCTTAGCAGTTTTGTTTTTCTTGTTAAAAATTGTGTTGTGGCGGATGTTAGTGTCTAATAATGGTGTATTATTAACCACTAAGTGTTCGGGAACATGCACAAGTGTTGGCAAGTGAAACAAAAGCGGAAAGTGTCTTTCGACGTTCCCTCAAGAAGTCCACGGGGAGGTTCCCCACACATTTACTGAAATATAGGGACAGGGGGATTGACTTGACAGCCACTAACTTTGACATGATTTATTACTTTGACCATGAGTGCTAAAGAATTTGTAAACATATTAACAAATAAGCCATTTAGAAGAAAAAAGATCGAATGTACCCAATGATTTCTTCTATACCTACATATAAAGTGCAAAGTCGCTCACTATTAAAGAAATTGCCTAAGTAAATTTGCTTTTATTGACCTACATGGAGAAGGAAACTGATCTCAACTATTGCAAAAGAAAGAAGGAAAAGGAAATTGTGGAAAACTTTTTCTCCCTATTAAACTTATACTTACTTTCGCTTTTATTACCATAATGATGGCATTTACGCACTATAAGTAACATTAATGCCTGAATTATAGCGGATTTTACTGTCTTTCGAATTGTCATAATAGAATTAGATACTCCACACTGATATAATATTAGGTCATAGTTTACAGTATCAAGGGCCCGATACCATGTTAAAGCCCGTTTTATTATATTTCTAGTGGCCTCCCTCTCGCTTCGCTTCGGTGTAGAGCTGTAGTGTGGACTAAAATAACTCACCATATCTACTATATAAAAATAAGTCGGGTTTTCCTTCCTGACGCTATAACTCCAGAACGCACGAACCGATTTCCACGGTTTTGCATTCGTTGGAAAGGTCTCGGGCTCCGTGAGGTTTATAGCAAAGAAAACTCAGGAAAAATTAAAAAAAAAATCGTTTTCTTTTAATCACAAAACGAAATGTTACATAAAACGAAGCTATCTGGTGGCGAAACGGAGTTCGCTGGGTTTGCTAGTAAATTATAAAAAAAACTGAAAATGGTATATTTGCCTTTTCCAAACATCTATTGACATCACGTCACTCAATTGTTTTGCCTTCCCGGAACCTCTCCAGTAACATTTGAAAGGAGATTGCTCAAATTGGCCTAAATGCACAAAAAATATTGACATACACGGTAATTCTTGGCGTAATTTATAATTAAATTTACAGTCATTAGATTTCAACGGACACCTTTGTATAATATATTTACTTTAAAAAGGACTTAATTTTACCGGTTTGGAAAACATACGAATCATTTTTAATGGCTATGGGTGTAGTAACATTCAGCCAAAGACTGGTCGAATTTGTTTATATAACATAAAAATAAATCTATTTTGTAAAGATCGATAAAAAAACATAATTTTTATTACACTGCGGTATTAATATCCACAACTATATTATCATTTTCACTAGATGCAAATGTGCTCAGACAATTATTATGGTAGGCGACATCATAAAGTCTATTACCATACATTTTTCGCCAAACACCTCCATAAGCACATTATAATCTGTATATATAAAAAAGATATATATGTTAGAGTTTAAGGTATCTATCTATGGGCCTACGTTCCCTGACTATAAATTAATAATTAAATAAAATTATAAGGTGTGATACACTAAAAGTCTCAAATATGGTTATCTTAAAAACATAACAAAAATAATGAAGCTACTGAATATATGGCTATAGAACCTAAATCTCTTAGCTTTCTTTGGTTAACGAGAGTTTAAAAATTCTTTCTAATCTGTGGCTCATTCACAATCATCACACAGTTTCTGTCACAGAGTACCTTATTATAACCGGAAATGACACCTGATTTTAAAAGTTACTCTTATGCATTAACTTTAAAAACAGGCAACTATCTGTTAATCTAAATGCTCTATATACCTGAATTTAATCCATAATTTTGGTACTTGGCTTGATTTCCCTAGTTTACTATATAACTTATTTGTTTTTTATTATTTTAATATGTTCAGTGTATATGGTTTATAGAAGTTCTCAGGGGTGTCCGTCAATAATATTCGTTTCTACAGTAATTTATATATAATTTCGAATGTAGGAAACAATTTTTCATGATTATTGGTCTTTAGGCCAAACATGTATGGAAGCTGAGCAATCTCCTTTATGGTATGGTATTAAAGTTCAAATTGACTTTCAAGTATTATTACGAATCGTTTGTATGGGAGTATAGAAAAGTAAAGTTTTTGATTTTTCAGGCATTTTTTTTAAAATTTCTCTGCGTAAGAACCATTCTCGTACTTCAAGGAATATACTAAAAAAATAATTATCGAAATCCGTTCAGCTGTTCTCGAGATTTGCGCTTAGCAACATATTCAGCGATTTTTTTTAATATAGATGTTATTTTCTCATACAGGTACTATACTATTATCTTTATAGCCGAATAAGTTATAAGAATCCCTTTGTCTACGATAGTTAATTTTCTTTTATAATAATAAAGGTATATAAAAACATACCTCGTTGATATAATACCTGATTCTACTCCGTTACACACATAAATCAAAATAAAACCGTTTGAAAAAACACTGACACGTACTTTAAAGAAATCTTGTGTAACTAACCCGAATGGGTTTGTTACCTACTAGAAAAATACTATCAATTGTCAATTAAGTAAACAAATTTTCTGTTAGGTCATTAGGTTAATCGTTCGCACTCAATAATAAACGGTTGCTAAAACAGCTAAGAAACATGGTACTTCTAACTTATGAGAGAATAGTTTTAAGATTCGTTAGGCCTTCAAAAAATAGGGAACGCGTGTACCTCCGCTAAGCTAGCGTGCGTGGGGCCACTTACTGAAGGTTGTTCAATGAACAATGTCACGGGTGGTGAATTTCTTTTACGCGAGGTCATGGAATGTTGATTCTGTTGGCCTGGAAACTCGGGTACGGAACTTCATTGATGTTGTACCTATGTTACTACGAGGTATTTTTGAATGCGTATCGATTTAGTGTAGGTAACGTAACTAATATGTTATTTAGTTTTAGTACCGTATTCAAAGGATGACAAACTGAACCCTATTAATTATGCCTTCGCTGTCTGTATGTTTGTTACATCTCACGGTCTCAGGGCTGTGTCTATTCATTTCAACGGAAATAGGGAGACATCTGACATTTTAGCGGAATGCGTGTTACTGTTGCCGCTATCACACCGAATAATAGAAATAAATAATACATAGATATGAACATGTTTTGCTCGATATAGTTTTTACTATTGTACTCATACCATGAGTACGGGACCGTTTCGTTTTTGAAACCAGTTCCACATGGCCGGTTTGCTGATCCGCTGTCAAAGTCATGCTGTTTTGTCTGATACGAGAATGCTTTTAAGCCATTTTAATAAAATTACTAAGCATAATAGATAACATGTCAATATCAAATTCTTTAATATTTTTTCCTTTGTTGCATATAAAGTGGATAACTATATTAGTCCAGAAGATCTCAAGGAGTTCATGAAGATGTTTAACGAGACACAGACTCAGAGGCCACCAAAGACTGAAGTTGTCAGTTATCTTGAGGAGGTATCCATTTTTTTTGATAATAGGGTGTCAAACAAGCGTGGTGTTGTATTTGTGTCAGTAATAAGGTTCCAAGGGTCCACGGGGTAGGGGATATTTTTGATATAGAAAGCGTTTAATAGGCGACGGTGGACGCGGTGTTACCGTCAGGCGGGCGATACGCTTGTTTGATGTGTTTCTATATAGCGGGGCCACTTGAGCTAAACTTAAAAATAGTAGTGGTAATGCTTTGCTTGAATCCAGAGGTACATTGGGATCAGTGTTATTTTTAAGTACTCCGAGCGTAATACAGCCGAGGATCCCGCTGGATGGATAAGGCAATTTATCGTAATTTAAATCAAAACGATTGAGGTACATTGAACCTTGTAAATGAATTTATGTGGTATATTCAACAAGCAAAGCATTACTACTACTATTTAAGTCTAGCTACAGTGGCCCCGCTATATATCAACACACCAAACAAGCGTATCGCGACCTGTAGCCTATAAACGCCTGGAACCTTACTTAGTGACACAAATACAACACCACTAAAAGATAGTGATTTTTCACTGTGGTCTTCTGTATTGGTGAAGGTTACTTTCCTAGCCGGGCACTCTAATTTGAGCGGAAAATCCGATGTCTTATATTAATCTCTCTATATTAATTTAAAAAAGTATTACCAGCTCTGAAATCTTGTCCATCTCTCTATATCTTTTCCAGATCAACAGCTTTCAAGTAAATCAAGTAATATTTGATGCTATGTATTTTTCTTTGCTAACTAGCATCGCCAATCATTTTAAACATCAACTTATCGATTTTATAGGCTTTGCAGAGTTTGTTACAAATTATTAAAATATTAGGTACTATTTTTTATCTGACAGCTTTGGAATTAAAATATCTTTAGATTTTATATGCACACAGGCCAAAGTTTAAGTTATTATATCTAAAAAACCTCTTTCCGATGGAAGTGATGTGTGGAGCAGTATTTTTTTTAATGATGGCATAGCAAATTTCTCCTCGTAATCCGTGCATAAAGCGGAGTATAAATATGAATAAATAAAGAGTATAAAAATTTGGGAGATAATTTCTTACTTATTTTCGCAGTAAGTTTAAATAGAAGATAGCGGGCAAATAATAATTATTACATAATTATTATGTTATTTTGCTGCAGCAGGGTTGTGTTCATGGATATAATGTATTTTTTCTCCCCGTCATCGAAAAAAGGGTTTGCCTAGACAGGTGCACCTCAATTTTCACTATTTTGTGTACTTTTTTATAAACAGATTAAAACATCGATTCCCGACTTAGTGGGATGTTTCGGATTTGGATCTCTTACAACGCAGATACAAGCAATGTTTAATATGAGACCAGATTCATCGGACCTTATAAACACTCATTTCTACTTCTCCTCAAGAAGACAACCATTGCGAGCTCAGGTTTGTATTTTTGTCTTATCTGTACGATTTCAGAAACTTCCATTATTTTATTTCCTTTCTTTTAATATCAAATACTATTCTTAAGTCCGTAAGGAAGAGGGGTTTTTGGTGTTAAAATATATAAAAATTCTATAATTTGCAATAAAATTTACTTCTGTAAAAATTAAATTTATAAAACTATTATAATATTAAGAAATCAAGTTCATTGTTAATGAATTGACATTTATTGCAATTGCAATTAACTTCAATACAAAAAAATATTGACAAATGAATTTCTTAATAATATTCGCAGGTTTTTCCGGGTGAACAGTTCGGATTAGAGTGGACTGATTTTGACGCAGCCAGGAAGACGGTGTTGATTGTTCATGGATTCTTGAGTCACAGCAACTCTTCATGGGTCCTCGACATGACAAAGGCATTCCTGAAATGGGTGGGAAAATACTTGCTTATATTTTTTATTTATGACTGATCTCGTAAACTTTATATAATACATAGTCTTTACATTGCACCGTTTTAAAGTTATAGGTGTATATGTAACTGTTTCATGAAATTAATTTCGTTACTGAATTACGTGGAGATTTTTTAACCAACTAAAGGAAAAATAGAAAAGTGTCGAGCACTATTTTAGTCGCGCTTTACATCGTTGAAGCGCAAACTTTCAATTAAAACGCTGAGCTGAGACGTATTTTCTAGTTTACTTATATTTTGCAAGATATTAATGATATAATTGTGTTAAATAATGTAGATACAAGATATCCAAGAATGATCATAATTGTTTTCTTCAATTTGCAAATAACTATTCACATATTTTCTTTTGCTGGATTCATTTCCTTTTTTTGGCGTTTACGATCAACGATATTGTTTACAATTGAAGAAATATTTACATAAAATTATATTGTTGTATTGTTTTTGTCTTGCTTGTATCTTGATAATTTATCTGTTGATTAATGTTTGATGCCTCTTTCAGGCAGATGTGAATGTGATAGCGGTTGACTGGAGTGCGGGTGGAAACACATGGAAGTACTGGAGAGCGGTGGCCAACACGCGACAAGTTGGCTCTGATATCAAGAAGTACGCACATTGCGATAACATATTTCCCACCCAAGATAAATAATTGTTTAAATCCTCCCCATTGAATATTCAATAAATTTTATTATTAGTGAAAGCACCTAGGGCTTAGCTTTTAGCTACAAAGGAATTTCGTAATTTTGCCTATACTTCCCAATTTATCGTTCGTACTAATGCTTTTCAGCTGTAGATATTTTTAATTCCAAGATTATACTATCCTTATCATGTATTGGAATATAAGAGAGATTCCTCTATTTCGGTTTTCTTACGACAAGGTGCTCTTCGTATAATTTCTGTGATGATTTTTAATTTTCATTAAATTCCTTGTATCGACACGAAAACTTGAAAAATACGTTATACTTTATAAATTTGTGCATTTGACACTTTAATTAACTGAGTAGGTATTTAGTTTTTGATTAATGAAATTATATGATTTGGGCGTGGCGAAAATTAGATTCGCAGTGACGGAATTTCAAGAATTGATCCATTAATTATGAATTTTTGTTTTAATCAGGCAAATATGGCAAATTATCAACATGTAGTGTTCAAAAACAAAAAAAAACATTCTCGGTACTTTGACCATATCATTTTCAATCAAAAATTTGTGGTACATAGGTTTTAAAATAAACAAAAAACTTTAATAAAAAATCTCATCAGCGTTAATCTTTAACGGAAACTTCCTTTATTATTTTGAATTCTGTACCAGTGAGAAAAATGTGCTCCAGAAAAAAAAAACCTTTTTTTTTCATTTTTTTAACGTTTATTCACTTTTCTTAGAAAAAAATACTATTTTTTTGCATCTCTAGCTCTGCTGCAGTACCTACTAAGATTAGGTAGTATAAACATAGGGATATCATTTGTCCGCAGGTTTCTACTCCAGCTGAAGGAAGCGACAGGCACTCGGTTCAAAGATTTCCATTTTGTAGGGCACAGTCTCGGCGCCCATATTTGTTCGTATGCATCGCAACACTTGGGAGGTGTTGCCAGAATCACTGGTTAGTTCTCCGTATGATTTGTCCGCTACAGTACAGAAAAGGTTTAATTTATTGTAGATGTTTCACACTTTTATCGTGCTTTTTTGGCAAAGTACTTTGGAATTTAACAGTTTGATGTGATAAACTAGTGATATCTATACATATAATAAAATGATAGGAAAGTCAAAACTGTACATTGAATATTTTTTTAAAAGAATACTTGGGGTGTGATCTACAATCGATAACGAAGCCAGAAATATAGTTTTTAGAATTTTTGTCTTATTGTCTTAATATGTCCGGGATAAACTCAAAAAGTACTGCATGGATTTTCTTCAAATTTGGCACGAATATTATAAAGAAGACGGGTAAACATAGGCTACGTGACAATATGTCATGCTATCACCTACGGGGAACGAGTAGTGAACCTTTATTTCTAACTAACTCCACGCGTACGAAGTCACGGGGGGCCGCTAGTAGTTAATATACCGCAATGCTCACACTAAGGGGGTTGGTTTTTCTTTTTAGAATAAGTACTTTTATAATTGTAATTCTTGATTAAACAATGAAATTACTAGTTTCCACATTTTTATTTATTTTTTACTCTTAAATGTAATACAACAAAGGGCCGACTTAATGTCATTCATAAGGCATTATTTATCAGTCAACCGGGTTAAGCAGAAAAATCCGTGTATATTTTATTCAATCTTGAACTTTGTTTTGCCGTGTACCTACTCTTGTAATTAGAGTAGGATTGACAACGATGACTACCACGGTTGTTTTGTTGTCCTAGGGTAGATTGACAAAGTTCTGAATGAATGAAATCCAGAATTCCCGATCTCGATTGAATATTCATGGTATAATTCAATCTTTGCAAGTTTGGAACTAAATAGGTAATTGGTGCCTGTTGCCCGAAATATATTCGTCCCTTAATTTGTTGTTATGTGTATACGGCACGGCAAATTTCTTGAGCAACGACCATAGACAAGGAAGCCTGCGCCGCTAGCAATTTTACATACAAAAATGTCTAGTACGCAAGTTTTTTTGTCTGTGTTTTTGCTCAAGTAGTTTACCGCTACCTATAAGTATTGTATTATTAGGGAGCTCGATAGCGCAAAAGGTTAGTGCATTAGATCTGCAATCTTGGAAGTCAAACAACCAATGACCAAAAACTTATTATCTCGAGCTTATTATCTTAACTTATTCTCTGTGCTTCGGAAGGCATGTTAAGCCGGTGGTCCCGGCTGCATATGTAGTCGTTAGCACCCATCAATCCGCATTGGGCCCACGTGGTGGGTCACGGCCCAGTTTCCCTATTCCATCCATAGGGAAGGCCTGTGCCCCTGTAGTGGGGCCATTATTAGGCTAATAATGATTGTATTATTGTGAACGTTTAATCAGGCTTAGATCCGGCACAGCCGTGCTTCAATGCGGCAGACAAAGATGAAAGGTTGGACCAAACTCACGCAGATTTCGTCGACGTCATCCATACTAACGGCAGGTTGCTTCAGAAGGTTGGATTTGGTCTACCTGAACCCACAGGTAATATATGAAAAAAAAAAACAAGCGAGCCTTACGGTAGTCGCGTATGATGTGTAACATTTGAAACCTCACCTTATATTAGTAAAAAAAGGAATAAAACCTACTACAAAAGGAATAAGCCATTTCAACATTATGTTCGCTTTCGCGACTTCCTGTTACACACTTCCGTCCCATTTCACGAAATCACTCCCACAAATTGCAGGAAAGAGGAAAGATGTTACACATCAATAGTTTGTTTTCCATCTAACATTAAAGTTTGCTCTACAATCAATATTAAGTCTAAATAAAATTTTAACTTTACAAGTAGATTTTTAGAGGAGAAAAAAATATTCAATTTTGTCAAGTTAACATCATAGTTTACCAAAGTCTAAAATAAGTTATCTGCAAACTATAAACCTATTTGGTTATTTATTTGCTTTTTAAATATATTGTTTTTCTAGGCTTTCTATTTTTGAAACATCTGGATGTGGTTATTTTTTCACTTATCTTAACGCATGAATTCCCCAAAGTTAAGCCGAATTACTCATTACTTTTAACGAACATCACTGCGCCGTGTGGTCGTTCCTAGTAATTTGCGAACTCATTTTGCTTGACATTGGTAGACAGAGTCACTGATTGGAATCGGTAGGTACCTACAGCGTTAATTGCTTCGAGGTAAAACACCATTCATTGATTGTTCGGAATCTGTAAAGGAGCCGAAACTTCGATTATCTGGTAGAATTAAAATAGTACGCTTTAAAATATGTTAATTTGTTGTTAAAATAACGAGTTTCAAAAGTGATTTAATAGGGAATTAGTATTAATTTGTATTTTTTTGATTGGAATCTAATATATAGGGCATCCCACGAGTTTCTGACACGGAGGGAAAGTATATTAAATATGGAAGATAGGATATTTTACAGAAAGAAGACATAATTTTAATTTTTAATAATAATTAGAACTGCATTCAACTATATTAAATCCGCCAGCCACAACCAATGTGAATCAAACCCGTGAAACGTGAAACAAAAAAAAAACACATGTATTTTACGATATCCGTCGAAAGGGTTAATCATGACGATTATTTTTTCCTAAATAACATAGCATTTTAAATGAAGGATAAAGCACTAAAGGACATTGTTCAGCGTCCATACATAGTAAGCCTAAGAATTAACAATCATGAAATATTATTTTCTAGGTTCAAAATCGTAAGTAAATGACTGTAAAAACAAAGGTTATTGTCGGACACTTCTGAGAACTTAAATTATTAGGAAAACTATTTTTTTTTGAGGTTATGTTTAATATGCAATGAAACATAGATCAACCTATGAATTCAGTATGAACTCAGTATGAAGTGAATTAATATTACAACTAATTCATTTTATTCGGTGCGATTTTAAAGAATAACTATTAGGAAAAACTTGGTTAGGTAGGAATCATGAATAAAATAAAAACTGTAGTTTCACTTCTTATTTATTGACTATTTTTCACATAATTGTATCATATTGTTTATTGTATTTATTTGTATATCACATGCATATTGTGTAAATATGCAGCGTGAATGTGTATCAGGTGTTCCTGAATAACTTGGCAGTATGCTCCTCTCAGGATGTTGTGGCACAGGTTCACTAGCACTTGGTAATAAGGGCTCTGCTCTTTGGTAACATTGATGGCATATTAGATAGCCGAAATAGTTAAATTAAAGGCAAACAATCGCAAATAAACACACACTACAGGTAATCCGAAACGAGAATGCACTTTCCGGTATAATAAACTACTCTTATGCACGAATGCCACAGATTACTACGAATGCAAACTGCATGCACCACAACCTTAGAGTAACAAGTTTTATGCCGGCCCTTCACTTGACAACAGTTTGTCCTTGTCATGCTTAATAAGGAATGAAAAGGACAGACTGATGTCATGTTTTAAAATAGCAAATACGAATAGCCAAGTGAAGTGACGGCATTAGGAAGAAAGAGTGTTTTGTTTGAAGCGCTGCCATAGATTATACACATAAAATGGTATTTATTGTCTCCGATTATTTTTTAACTTTTTAATTAAGCTTATTTAACTGGAAGTGTCCGTCACAATCTAAATACTGATAATTATCGCAAAAAATATACTAAGAATTATCATAAATGCCAAATTGGTGTTGGTTCTTAGGCCAATTTTAACATTGTCCTTTGTCTTTGCTAATTTTAATACTAGGCGCTGCAAATTACTGTCTATCGCGACTCTCTGTCATTATCATCATCATAATTATATTTCTCACCCATTTATTGACAGTTTTTTTTTTTCAATTGTACGTAGTATTATAGAATTTTCTTTTTACAATTTTTGACCAATAGAAAGCCCCGTTACGTACCACCGAGTGACATAAGCTATACTATATTTAATGCATTATAAAAAACACCCATTGAGCTGCAGCCGGTCGCTAGTTTAATATGAAACTAAAATTAAAGTGAATGGTTATTGAAATTACCTACATTTTCATGGAAATCCGTCTCCTTTTCTGATTATGAAATTCAATTAATGTGCCAATGCCTGTTATGGCCTGCACAGACGAAGGAATGTTGTCCGCGAAGGACAACCAAGGACTTGTCACGGACTCAACGCACACGATGTGCGAACTTTTGCCACCCAAAAATTTAGCAAAAGCGCACGCTATGAAAGTAAATATACTTAGATTACAGGTCGCGGCACGTAGCTCTAGCGCTGAACAAAACGCGGAGGGGATAGCTGCGCATGGACCCCCCTCAGATTTGAGTGGTCTAGAGGCTCCAGACGGAGAGGACACTCCCCCCGTGGGGAGATGCCATCCGCCCGGAATACCTGTAGAGCAGTGTTTCCTAACCTTTCCAGTACTGCTACCCCTGTAACCTATTAGGAAAACCGATTTTACCCCGACTTTAAAATGTTATCATCAGTCCAAGAAATTCCAATTTGGCCGCTACATCTTCGCCTCTAATAATATCATCATCAGGAGAAAATCTCGCCCCGCTTCCCAACACTCAGCACCCCGCGGGCTCGCTAGCAAAGAGGGAGCACATGCTCTATTTAGTAGTATTATTATATAGTATTTTCTTATTATTTAGATTTGACCAAATAATTAGGTTCTTTGTTACCCCACAAGTATGGCTGATTTATCCCCGGAGGGGTAATTACCCCCACGTTCGGAACCCAGGCTCTAGAGGCACTCGCCATTTCTCGGCTTGAGGTCCCCAAAGGATCTCACGGTCCCCAACCCCGGTGACGCTGTAAAGGTCATCTGCGGCCAAAAGTAGACACACTCAAAATAGAAAAAAAATGCGCGTGGGTACGACTGGAGAGGTAATCGACGCAAAGCACGCCCGGCCGCGCGCCTGTTTCCCTCCAAGACTTCTTAATTTTTACTCCTGCGCAATTACGGTCAGCGCTAGTTTCAGAAATCTGCGCTAGCGCAGATTAAGAAAATGAGAAGACGTTTTTAAAAGAAAATACTGGGTTCTTTAAATCGGAACGAGTGCACAACGCGGACTAAAGTTCGCTGTGTGCGTTGTTGTGCTAACTCATAAGAGTTCTATATTTTTCGGGGACTCCCGCGTACTTTTGTCCTGTCCGGTCTCTGGATGTCCTCGGTTGTTTTGTAAGCGGTTTTTTTAATCCGTCGTGTACGTCACACGATGCAGTTGTAAGCGATCTATTTCAAAAAAAGTCCGCGGTCAAAACGCCCTTGTATGCGCAGGCTATTACAATTACAATGTAGTTTGGCTTTCCAGGTCACGCGGACTTTTATCCCAACGGTGGCATGAAACAGCCCGGCTGTCACAACAAGACGAAATCATCGTGGTCCAGCTACATACCTTTTGCCGATAGTGAGTATTTTATATAATTAAAAATAACAGTTAAGTAATTAGAAAGCATACTCTTGACAATGCATCCTGAAAAGGATGCAAAACGTAGAGTTAAGTAAAAAAATGGTTGAAAACGCATTTAAAACGGTCTAGTGCCCGTTGGTCCCTCAAGATTCGATCCAAAAGCAAAAAGTGCCCATTGGACCTCTTTTTTGGTGTCCATTGGACCTTCTTAAAAAGTTTTATATTCAATGTACCCATTAGACCTCTTTTTTGGTGCCCATTGGACCGTCTTACAAAAAAAAAATATATTCAATGTGCCCATTGGACCTCTTTTTTGGTGCCCATTGGACCTTCAAGATATATACCCTACTGCCAGTTGGACCTTATTGACAGTTTTGTTAAGCACAGTTAAAAAGTAGTTATTATTTATGAGTGGTCTGCGTGAAAGCATAAAAAATAAATACTATAGATTCTGTTTAGGGTTTTCGTCATTCCTTTGAATGTTTGCAAGTCAGCAAGCGATTGAACAAATACTTTCTGTAATGATCAATCAAGCTTTTTCTAAAAACATTTTTACGCTCACATTTATTATTTGTAATAAGTTAACGTGTATCAAATTTACATAATCCTAATGCTGTAGTATAATCATCTGCAATGCAAAGTTAATGTGAAGTTAGACAATATTATTTGAAATAGTAAAATGAAAGTATTACAACAACGTAGGCATTATGTAGGTAAGTAGACACATTAAAGTTTATTCTAAATCCTAACAAAGAAAGTATTTTTATTAATATTGAAAAAAATGCATGACTTCGCACATAAAGAGTGCCGTACCAAATGTAAAGTTTTCTAAGAAAATCTTTTATAATTTACTTTAATAATCAAAGGAAAAAAATCTTATTTATCTATACCCACCCCATTACCTACATACCCACTCTATACCGGTGTTATTACAATAATTTGCCACAAAATTACGGACACCGCAAAATAAGTGATATTTTATTAAGTATGTTTAATCATTACACCGGTAACAAAATCTTAAATAATGTCAATAGGGTTGATGACTAACTTTTATTTCTTCGTCTATCAGTACCCTTAGCACGAACCAATATCGAATTCGAATAGTTTTCGAGTCCGAAATGTACTGATTTTTAGTTATTGTTACGTCGTATGCGGCGTTGTTGTTCAGTTTTCCATACAAAATTTGACAAAGACATTTCGGACTCGCAAACTATTCGAATTCAATATTGGTTCGTGCTAAGGGTACAGGTAGATTATTAAAAAGTCTGGGCACGTATTTTTTTCTTCTTTCACGTAATCAAAATATTAGAGCGATTATATTGATTTGAAACGTCGCATTACGTAGGTACAATTTTTACTTACAAGTGACGTCACGAGCCCGCACTCCCGAACTTTTGTAATGTTTTGACTGTAAAAAGAAAAAATATGTTTTTTTTAATAATGTTATTGACGGACTTAATAAATTTCGTTTATTTAACCCATATTCGCGCAGACTTAACAAACAGGCAGAGTGGCAGATAGTATGAACAGAATTAGCGATAGATAGTATGGAACTTACAAGTGTTTAATTTTTGTTCCAGAACTACAACGAGCTATATGCGACCACGGACGTGCGTACGTTTTATTTACGGAATCTTTGATATCTAACAATAACTGTTCATTCAGAGCTCATCGATGGAACTTAACATATGAAGGGTAAGTATAGTCTTAACCCTTTCCGTTATCTTATAACTTAGTGCTTTTTTGTATAGGTACCTACCTACTTAGGCTTCCCATACGAACATACCAAAAAAACCGCATTAGCTTTGATTTGATATGCTATAGATAGCATATCAAATCAAAGCTAATGCGGTTTACCGAATTTGAATATTCGGTATTAATGTATTTTTATACAAAAACCGAGAGCAGTTCGATGAAATGGGTGGTTAGCATGTTCGGCCTGCGGACGTCGAAGTTAAGCAACATTCGAAATGGTCGGTCATTGAATGGGTGACCAAAAACTTATTATCTCGAGCTCCTCCTTGCTTCGAAAGGCACGTTAAGCCGTTGGTCCCGGCTGCATCTGCAGTCGTTAGCATCTACCAATCCGCACTGTGCCCGCGTGGGTGAAACACTGCTCTATCTCCCTATACCGTCCATAGGGAAGAACTGTGCCTCAACAGTAAGGACACTTATAGGCATGATGATGATACAAAAAAACATTTTAAGTAAGGCTCGTTCGTGCAGAATCTAGCATGTCCCGAAATTATCTTTTCGTCACAAAAGTTTATTTTACTTTGTACTTCACTCCTACTTTTCCCCTACCTCAAACCCAACAGTTGGGATTACCTCAACTAGCTTAAATGACAAAAGACAATAAAGCGGTCCTCGTTTTGATTAGTTGCACTCACAATATCGACTACACCTTCAAGCGTAGCTCACACAGTTCTTTAGAGCATTCATTGGGATTGTAGAGGTGAATATATTTCGAAATTTTCTTTAAAAATGAAATGTAAGTATTTACTTATTGACATTATCATTATAGGGTGAACTCAAGTCTGGTAGCCGCGTGCGACAGGCGAGGTTCTTGCGCCGAGATGGGAATCAACGCAGTGGGACGAGACGGTATAATGCGAGCTTCCGGCCAGTACTTCGTGCTTACCACTGAACAGCCACCCTATTGTCGTGAGTATACTTCACCTACTCTGATTTACTACATTATAGCGATCCGTAGTAACAATACGAGTTTCAAGCTAGTACTTCGTGCTTACCACTGAACAGCCGCCCTATTGCTGTGAGTATTTTTACCTATACTGATTTACTATATTCTAGCGATCCGTAGTAACAATACTAGCTTCCGGTCAGTACTCTGTGCCCACCACTGAACAGCACGCCCTATTGACGTGAGTATGCTATACCTGCTCTGATTTACTACATACTAGCGATCAGTAGTAACAATACTACCTTTCGGCCAGTAGGTACTTCATGCGCACCACTAAACAGCCCGCCCTATTGCCGTCACTATGCTATCCCTATTCTGATTTACTACATACTAGCGATCAGTACTGACAGTACGAGCTTCTAACTTCGTGTTTACCACTAAACAGTGAATAGCCGAGAGTATTTTTACCTACACTGATTCTAGCAATACGTACTACATTCTAGCAATACGTAGAGACAATACGAGTTTCCGGCCAGTACTTCGTACTCACCACTGAACAGCCCGCCCTTTTGACGTGAGTATGCTATACCTGCTCTGATTTACTACATACTAGCGATCAGTAGTAACAATACTACCTTTCGGCCAGTAGGTACTTCATGCGCACCACTAAACAGCCCGCCCTATTGCCGTCACTATGCTATCCCTATTCTGATTTACTACATACTAGCGATCAGTACTGACAGTACGAGCTTCTAACTTCGTGGTTACCACTGAACAGTGAATAGCCGAGAGTATTTTTACCTATACTGATTTACTACATTCTAGCGATACGTAGTAACAATACTAGCTTCCGTCGTACTTCATGCGCACCACTGAATAGCCAGCCCTATTGCCGTCACTATGCTATCCCTATTCTGATTGATTAACTAGATACTAGCGATCCGTAGAGACAATACGAGTTTCCGGTCAGTACTTCGTACTCCACTATTGAACAGCCCGCCCTATTGACGTGAGTATGCTATACCCACTACATACTAGGTGCTCCATGAGCGATAAATACTGACCGTACGAGCTTCCAACTTCGTGTTTACCACTGAAAAATGAGTAGCGACATTATTGTCGTGGCCCATGGGTATTCTGTACCTGCTCTCAAATTAAAAATCGTTTATTTAGTGTAGGTTGTTACAAGAACTTGTAAAAGTCGGTCTTTGTACTGACTGAGAAAAACCGGCAAGAAACTCAGATACTCTGATTTACTACATACTCGCGACCTTTAGTAGGTGTAAACTTTAACCGTTGCGATTTCAGTACAAAGCTACTATCCCAATTTTCTGAATTTCAGGTACTTCTGGCGGATTTTACAAAAAAAAATTCATGGCATATCCACAATATTGAGTCAAAGCTTCTAAATAAACAAGATAAAAAGGTAAATTTAAAAAATCAAAAAACCCGACTGCTTAATTATACTTCAAATAAAAACTGAAAAGAAAAAAACAAGTCCAGTAGTCTATAATTCTGTTAATAAGGAACAAAGCTACTTTAACAGTCGGGACCCATTAGATATTCAAGAATACATAATATTTTTCAACAGTGGGTCCCGACTGTTAAAGTAGCTTTGTTCCTTATTAACAGAATTATAGACTACTGGACTTGTTTTTTTCTTTTCAGTTTTTATTTGAAGTATAATTAAGCAGTCGGGTTTTTTGATTTTTTAAATTTACCTTTTTTATTTCACACTTTTTAGTTAGTTAGTATATACCGTAGTCTTGTTACTTCAGTAAGGGAATTAATATCGCGGGAATTATTAAGTACCTTGCGTCGGTCTAAAAGATTGATTTATTAAGACATATAGATACTTTACCAGCGGGGTCAAGGCTACAGATGGGCCTCAATTTTCGCAAAAATGTGTGAAGTTAAATCAAGTCGTTACATAAATATCTCTAATGTATGTAAATTTTATAGTAAACTAGAACTTACTCAAAAAGTCATCTTTCGTTTATGTTTTTTTTAATAGTTTAGCAGTAAATATAAAATTCATTTACTTTTATTCGTCGACTATTTAAAATTGGCAGTGGCTGCATTTTCATGTCAATGCCGGACGTCTAAGATTGTGATATACACAAATGCAGTGTCAGTCCCTAGTCTCATAATTTGATATACCTACATAATTCACAGAAACCCAATATGTAGATGCCAGAAGTTAACTTTTTAATCACCCTATATACAATACCAATCAATGAAGTTTATGTCGCAGGTTGAAGAAAGCAGTAATTCCCGTTTGTTGTTTTGGACAATGGTGGCAACTGCCTTAGATCACAAAATTAAATAATTATGCAATCACCAAAGCAAAGTTTATAATATTTGATTAAACTAAAGGCGCATAATAAAATTTTCATAACGTTAGGTAGAGCACCATAGCAATCTCATTTATTATCAAATTATAGTTCTCTTTGTAGTTTTCTTTTAAAGCGTTCACATATAACAGGTCAAAGACTTTGTGATCGACCCTTTTTTATTGGTAGTGTAAAGCTCGAATGAAGAGTACTCCAAGTAGGGCAATCATGGCAATTATTTTCCAAATTTTTTTTGTTTAAAAAAATACCGAATAACATATTACTGTTAAGCACAAATGCTAAGTAACTTTTAAAAATATAATGAAATAAACCTATTACTTACTTTATTTTTAAATCTTTTTCATCAATTAAATACTTATCTTATCCTAACTATCTATACTAATATTATAAAGAGGCAAGATTTGTATGTTTGTAACAAATAATCTGTCAAACTACGGAACCGGTTTCAATTATTAATTCATCATATATGTCACATATATATGTCACTCGGACAAAATGTATTTAAATAAAGAAAAATGTAATAATAAATAATGTAGCTACCTTATGATGAATTAATATTTGAAACCGGTTCAGTAGTTTGACAGATTATTTGTTACAAACATACAAATCTTGCCTCTTTATAATATAGGCTATATTTAATCCCGATAAATAACCCGGGTGGATCACTAGTAAGTATAATATAATATTATAGATGTGAAAGTGAGTTTGTTTGTTGCGCTTCCGTGCCCTAATAGCTAAATCGAATATAATGAATTCCCATATAGAAGTAGATGGGAACTTGGTTCTTAGCTACAACATCGCAATACTTATAGGCGTAGGGTGATGAAAGGGGTGATTTACCTATAAAAATCTACATTATTTACTTTGAATTTTGAAGAATTATTACAAAACCAATATTATCGCGAGCTGATTAATAAATACAGGGATTTTAATAAGTATGTACTTACTAGCGACAAATGGGTTCTTTGTCATTATATTAAGTAAACCTTTTATGTAACATTAACTTTTTTGTAACCTTTTTTGTTTCAATAAAATGAAAAACAGTAAAATTCTGAGTTTTTCATTAAAATTCAATAATCATAAATACCTATTATGATAATATATTTTTCATCATTTAATAAGAAGGAACTGTATCACAGTTTTATTGTTAGTGCTTCGTATAGGATCAGATACTGCGAATAGCCCATTTTTTTTACACCGCGCTATCACTTTGTCATCGTTGTAACTTTTTAAATATTTATCGAAATGACATAGTGTAAAAAGCAAAGTTTATCGTCTTTAAATATCAAAAGCGATAAAAGTTTTTTTTTTGATAAAAAATGATTTGTTAATACAAAATGTGCATTTTGGAAATAGATATCAAATAATATTTTAGTTTTGATTCACTATTTTAGCGGTAATGACTTACACATTAAAAATAGATATATGGTGTCACGGACTTTTTTTTAGAACTATTTAAGAGATATATTTTCACTCTACATTACATTCATGTAACTTTTATTGTTTTTTCAGTGCAGGCCAAAATGGCTCGCAGATGGGAGTTTTTTTTCGGTCTTATGTGACACTTATTGTTATATATTGGCCAATTCACTCAATAACTACATAAATTATTATATATATGTAATTATCATATATGAGCTATATTACTGTTAAGTTTCATTAAAATCCATTCAGTATTTTTTAGGTGAAAGAGTAACAAAGATCCATACAAACATAAGATTGAAATTAAAAGCGTAAGTGGTTAATATACAACTTTAAAGCGTTGTAGATCCTAAACAATCATATTAAATGAAAAATGGTGTTAGGAACCTAAATATGATTTTTGATTATCTAGACAGTGATACCCCACTCAACATATTTTGTTAACTTATTTTTTTTACTTCGTCACAATATGGCGCCTAATTTTGCCCATATTGAATTTTGATTACTATCATATCTTTAGTAGCACTCCCATGATTGAGACGAATCGATTGATGTATGAATCATCAAAATCGGTCCAGGCATTTGGTCTCTAGTGTGCCACAAAGGAACAAACATACATATATAGACTGTTAAACACATAACCCTGTCTGCGCGTCGCGCTTCGCGCTCTTGCATTGCGCAGCCGGGTAAAAAAAGAAATCAGCCAATCGATCGTGCCGTTTTCAAGTGATGATTCCCAATAAACGTAGCATTTGATTTTTTATATTGATCAAAGATAGTTTAACTGTGTGGAAAGAAAATTTAAGGAAATTTGATGAAAATATGAGTGAATTTCAAAATCAACTTGTAATTAAACTCGCCTAGCTGTTTGTCTACTCTCAACGCCACTTTTAGTATTTAGATTTTTGCCATTTTTTTCTAAGAAGAGTTGTTATAAATTAACAGAGGACGTGGGAGAACCACGTTATAGCTACAGCCTAATTGTGCTTTTGTGTTATACATTTTCAAAAGGGGTGTGTTTTGTGCTCAAATTAGAGCATCGAACTGCTTATCCTTTATCTTATTGCAGAATGCTGCCAAATTACGTTAAGCCGTTGTGTTGTGTTGCTACCAATTGCTACACTGATAAGGTTGCCACAGATACTTTGGAATGGAGATTAAGTGTAGAGTGATACCTTCTTACAATAAAACGTGGATTAAAGTTGGACTTGATTTAAACTCAGGGGTGTATTTTAAAATTGGACTCCCAGACAGTGCTTGAGTATTAGGATTGGATTTATTTATAAACGAAAAAAAAACAAGGAATACTTATGCGCTGTGTTGTTCACACCCCTCGAATGACATTTGGAATGAAATGATTAATACATTAAATACAACTTAACATGGTGCTCTATTTATTAACAAAGACCAAAGTATTGAAAGCGTCTAGGTACTATACGGCATGGTGGAAACGGGGAAGTAGTCATTAATTCTGTCTACTACACAATGGAAATAAATAAGCACTACAAGGAATAGTAAGACCATTCTAGTAGTAACAGGTGCTATGGTTAAGTAATAATTATTGAATGAGCAATAAAGTCCATCAGCGTCCTTGTTCCAATAAATTCTCTGATGTACAATCATTGTTTACTCAGTAAAATATTTTTTGATCATGATACATAATTATTTTAGTCACGAAGTACTAAAGACAGTAGTGTAATTTTAGTATTTGTAACGAATGAAATGATGTCAATAAAGAATGATTTAGAAAAACGATGTTTTTAAAAGAGAATCAAAAAAACCTTAATTATTGTAAACTGCTAATTTTCAAATCGACATCACATTGAATCCTGGTGTAAGTACAACTTTTGTATTCGATTCAGAAGCCAGTCTCTTCCTATGTACGTTAAACATTAAATTGAAGCTAATTTTGCTAAATCCATTCACCTCGGTGTTAGTTGGGAATTCTATTCTATCTTAAATACTCGTAAGTTCCCTATGCCTGTCTGGTTAGTACATTTATTCTTATCAGACCACCTGCTGTCCATTTTGGTGATGCATGACTGAAAGGTCATATATCTACCTATTAACCGTGGTCCCACCGCTATGCCCCACTGGTGGGTCCACGGCTTAAAGGTTGATAGATAAAGATTAGGTACAATTTAGTGTTTTTTTTTTGTTACAGCTACGGAAGTCGAAAGGAGGCATCCTCGCGCGGAATTGCTACGAGACCTACTGCATGGATTTCGTCTGACCCGCAATGCAACTGTTGAGAATACTACGCCTAGGTCTGATTACGCTGACCCGATGGCCGTGGACAATGACGTCACAACTACCACGAAAAGCAGTTGGTTCGGAAGGTGGTTCGGCTGACGGTCAAACCCTGGTCATAGTCATAACTAGTTTGAAATAAATTATCTCTTTTTATTATTGCTATATCAACAATGTTTTATTTCGTTCGTTGCCCGTGGTCTATGTGATATACATATTATCATGGAGGAGTAATACGCCTATGTTATGGTTAGTTTAAACCTTAATGTTTTGAAAATGAAACAGTGACAAAATCTTATTTTGGACTAGTTATCAAACCATATTTTATTTATTTCCATTTTTATAACCATATCCTGGTACTTTCTAGAAATAATGCGCGGCCGTCAAGCGTAAGCCTATTTCATGTAAAAACAATGTTTTTAATGTCCTCCTCCTTGTGTCGTGCTCCTCATTGCTGAGGGTCGTGATCTCCACGAATTATTTTGTGGACGATCGCTTTCCACTTGTTGCGGTCTTCGGCAGTGTGGAGTGCATCGCGGTCTCCAGTTTTGGTATTGTCGCGGATCTGGTCTGTCCAGCGCATGGGGCTTTTTCCTCTCGGTCGCCTTTCCTGTACTTTTCCTGTCACCAGGAGCACTTCCAGCGTATCGTTTTTCTTCCTTGCTATGTGACCGAAGAATTCGAGGATTCTACGCAAACAGAATTTGGACAGCCTAACGGTGACTCCCACTTCTTTAAGATATGACGCATTTGTGCAGTGGGCTGTCCACGGAACTCGTAACATTCTCCTACAACATCACATCTCAAATGCGTCGATACGAGATCTGTCTGCCTTCTTGAGGGTCCATGTTTCCGCACCGTCGGTGAATATGGAGAACACCAGAGTTTTCACCAGGTCAACCTTGGTCTTTTGTGAGATCGATCTATCTGTCCAGATCTTGCCTAGCCGGGTCATCGCGCTCTTTGCCATACCAATCTGCTTCCGAACATCCGGTTCCCGTTATCCGCATACATACATGGTAGAGCCAAGGTACACAAAACAGTCCACATACTGGAGATCGAGTCTCCCATTGAGCTCCAGTTGTTTTGCTCGGTCTATGATCATGACTTTGGTTTTTGATTTGTTGATCGAAAGGCCAAGTTCTCCACTCGCTCGTTCCAATCGTTCCAGCAGTTTTCGATCTCAGCTTCATCAGTTGCAACGTTTTTGATGTAGGAAACTAAAATAAGAACATTAATGTTAAAATAAAGTATAGGCGATTATTCCTCAATGATAAGATATATTATTTGTGGTCCACTCATCAAACCAAAAGTCCTAACAAGTCCTTTAGTCTAACCAGGTGAATCAAGGGTCAGGAGAAGTCTCCGTAGACCACCCAGGTAAACTTGATAGGTGGACCACGGATAACAAACGTTTTATAGAGTATTATTAGTGCTTTTGGTAAGTATTTTTTTGTGTTATTATTAGGCTACAACCAAAAGGGACAGTATAAACGCAGAAGTACAGTACCTAGGTCTGATTACGCTGACCCAATGGTCGTAAACGATGACGTCAAAACTACCACAAAAAAAATTGTGTGTGTCAGCTCCGACGCACGACTGGAATTTACTCCTTAAGTTCGATAGTCTTATCAGACGCAAAAAGAGTTTATTTAACTTAAAAAAGATTGATACTGTATGAAAGGGTAAATTAAGAAATTAATGAAAATAATGTACATATATAAATATATATTTATTCATTTCATATACATTTATCATAACTAATCGACGAAATATTTTACATTAAACTTTTTACAATAGTCAATTTCAGATGTGCATAAATATATCATTAGGGATGTTGATAAATTATATAATTATTATTATCAGACTATTATCATTTTTTTAAATATTAATGAAATCAACATTGTCTGCATTATTAATTACAGTGACAAGTGGTTTATGGTAACTAAAATAAGACACATGGACGTTCGTAGATTCGTGAACCACATATCACGTATCGTTGAAAATACCGCATCAATGGTTGTACCATACCTCGTTGTCCCCATTGCTCTATCAGAAACAATATCTAAATTCAGTTCAGATTTTAAAAAAATTATTAATGTCAATCCGTCATCTTTGTTTGTCAAAGTTGCGCGACATAGGATGCGCACCAAAAACGTAACGAGGTCATTCATCGATAGATTTTACTCCTCACATTTTTCTCATACCGGGCCCTTTATATATGCAAATCGATTCTTAAGGAGTAAACTCCAAAAACAGTTGGTACGGAAGGTGGTTCGGCTGACTAGGTCTTTATCTATGTCCTTATAGAGCTCTGAAACCTCATTAATCAAAAGAAAAACAGCAGGTACTGCTATTTCAAAATCACCACAGATGAGGTGGAGGTAACTTCAGCAGACAGGATCTTCAATTAGAGCCATCCTATTTTCATATCTTTAAAAACTTTCAAAGACAATCAAGTGATTGTTTTTGAACAAAAAATAATAAAGCACACTTTCAATAAATTGTTAATATTAAAATGAGTCCATTAATAATGATAAACCTAACTATAATACCTATCCAGCACACGTTTAACTCGAAAACATTATGCAAATTGCTACGGCTTTCAAAGTAATTGGAAAGCTTTTAATCGTAACAGTTTAAGTAGATAAGATGCCTTATTTAATTAAATACTATACTGGTAAGTGTACTCAACCGGCAATATATCGTTTTCATTTGTGTCTATATGCAGTGTTTGTGAAAATTCATCTAAATGTATAAGAAATACGAAGATAGATCGAAAAATATACGGGTAAATTTAGCTGACAGATTCGTATCATTTGGGAGAGGGAGCGGTATTCATGGATTACAGCATATATTTCGAGAACATTCCCATGTTATTTCGAGGTAAGATAACAGATTTTTGTAGGTGTCTTAGATTTTTTTGTTTTTCTCAAAATAGAACAAAAAATATTACAATTGCTCTTATTTGGAACAGGTTTCTTACTGAAGCGCATCTATTACATTCTAATTTTAATATCATCATTAGCTAATTGTCAATATTTTCTACGGCACAGACTTTCCCTATGCATAGAATAGGGAGATTGGGCCATGACCCACCTCGCAGACTAAGGGTCGGTCCTATCATCCTGCGGTGCTATAGGCTGCAGCCGGGACCAACGACTTAACGTGACCGTTAAGATGTCGGGTCACTAATCGTATTTAGTGATGAAGTGCCTTCCGAAGCACGGAAGAGTTTGATATATTAATATTTGGCCACCCATTTCATGAACGATTACTCATAAAGTTGCTTAACTTGGACAATCGCAAACCGAATAAACTACTACTACTATGCCTTTGAGTTTTTGTTCTTGCTCTTGTTGCTCAACAAGAGCAAGAACAAAAACGAACAAAGCTCGAACAAAGTTTCAGCGATACTGGCTCAGGGATACTCGCTTGTCTCAAAATGCGCGTGGGTGCATTTTTGCTCAGGATAGTCTCCGCGAGCGAGTGGCGCGAGTAATCAATCGCCCGTCATACTCGCACATTCGCTTATAGTCCAGTAGTAAAACTATCGGAAATACACACTTGCTTTCTGCTGCTCGCTAACTCGTTTCTAGTTTCTACTATACTCGTTCATTGTCGTCAGTAGGATAAGTGCTACACGAATCCTGAAAACATTACATTCCTTCCTTTCCTTTTTTTGGACAGTGGTGTAGTTGTAGTGAATACCTTTTTTTACTAAACCTGTTCGGAAAGTGCTTTATTGTTTTAAAAATGAAGCAGAAAGAACCTTATTAATGTTGTACTACTATGCGGGCTGGAAAAGTGTATGGACATCCATTTTTAATGCGCTGAGCAGGCAGAAAAGTCTATGCTGTTTTTATTAATTTCTTTTTTTTTTCGAAAAGTGGTCAGTATGATTTTACAGACTACAGACAATATTTTTGTGTTTGCTTTCTGAATTAATTTTTAAAAAGAATAAAAAGCAAAAAGCGCGCTAATTATTTTATATGTATTAACTGTGTTTTTAATTTGTTTTCCTATCTAATCGAGACGGCGTATATTACTGATAATGCAGAATTATTGAAAACCGCCAGAATTAAAAGAAACTTCCTAAGCAGTCATTGATAACCATTACCCGTGAAATCAAGAAATCAATATTCATAAAGGTCCCATGCAAAAGTTAAGTAACTGTAACAACTTTACTATAAATTTCAATTAAAGAATTTGTCTTTTACTTTCTCGCAGGTAAAAATCACTATATATTCCTCGAAAGAAAGTGATATTCCCGACTTGGGTGTATTAAGGCCCTTGGCTGCGCTCCGGGTGTTAAACTACATAGTCCAGGAAATGAAGCTAAAAAAATTGTTAAAACCTCGCAATTTTTTCGTCCAGCACCGATTTGTACAAAAATTTGGGATTAAGCTTATTTCGCCCTTTTGTTCATTTTCTATATTGTGCCGTTGTACACTTTTTGTTTTTTAGGGGTAAAAATAAAATAAGGGGTAGCCTTATTATCAAAAAATATAAAATTAAATGAAAAACCTAAATATGGGTAAAACATTCTTAAAAAATATTGTTTTTATGCTTTAGGATACAATTTCATAATCTTTCAACCTACCCTTGTTAAAAAGTACCTTTAAATACATTTTTTTCGAAAAAAAAAAATTGTTCGGTTTTTTAAACATAGCTCTTTTATTTTAGGTGATAGAATTTTTTTTTCAGAACGAATTTGTAGAGCTTTTCAGGAGCTACTATGTGTATTAAATTACTTAAGATCCCTTAATTGAAGTGAAACTTCTTTATCGGCGTTGGAAAAAAATTTACCGTCACATTTTTCGGTTACGCGTCACATTTTTTATATTAATAGTTGATAGCTGAATGATCACACTGTCGCCGGCGAGAACTCTCTCTACTCGTTTGTAGCTGAGTGACAATAGTTATTAAAGATAAGACTCGCTCAGCCAAACTCGCATAGCGATACTCGCTCAGCGATAATCGCTCAGCGAAACTCGCTCAGCGATACTCGCTCAGCGATACTCGCTCAGCGATACTCGCTCAGCGATACTCGCTCAGCGATACTCGCTCAGCGGTACTCGCTCGGTTAAGCTGGCTTGCCTGTCAAAAGCCGTGCGCGTGCATTTTAACTCAGGACTGCCAATTCGTTTCTAGTTTCTACTCGCTTATCGTTCATCGTCGGAGGTGGAACATGTGCCTTAGATTACTGAGCCGTGTAATCATAACAGTTTCATAGGCAGTAATTTGTATTCATGTCTATGATAATAAAATCCTTTTGTTTAAACTTTATCTAATTTAACTTTATTTAACCAATTTCTGGAAAGTTGCATGTAGATCATTTTTCGAAAAATAAGGCCATAAAGAAGTTTCACTTCTTACGTGTGTACACTATTACACGCACACATTTTTTTTAAATGGGGAGAGTATAAAGCGTCTGAATAAGGTAATGTTCGATCGTAAACGTAGGTGTGAAACGGCTACATCTCGCCGAATATTCACTGTACAAAAAATATGCACTTAGGGATTTTTTTGCCATAAAAAAAACTACAATTTAGTACTATATCGTTTTTTTAAACTCCAATTTTTCTAAAATTTGTCGCTTTAAATTGGTCAAACTTCGTGGGTGTATTAATAGTACATATATAAAGAGAATTACAGAAGGGTGGCGATCAATTTTAATTAGGGGGTACTTTAGGGGTTGTTTTCACAGATTTTTATTTCGTAGAAAAAAGATCTTATTTTGATAATAAGTCGGTCAATTTTCATGCTAGAGACATTGTTTTTTATTTGTTTGAAAGCTCTAATTAAATACTTTAAAAAAGATTCTAATAGCTTTCTTCGAATAATGCAATTTTTTCTCGTCATTTCGCTGTAAATCTTCCAATTTATGCATTTGACGAAAAAAGCTAAGTTTTAATTTGCTGTATCTTAGTTCATATTTGTCATAGAAAAATTCGCCAAAAATCATTTAAAAATGTCGATTTTTTTCAAAAATCGGTTACTTTCAACTTTGAATAACTCAAAAAAATATTAGTTTTACGAAAAAAACGTATATAACATTTTTTTCTTAGAATTACTTTTTCCGTCGATTCCTACAGTTAAAATGTAATAAAAAATTTCCAACCACCCCCAAGGCTCTAGCGTACAGCGGCATGATATACAAAACGATCCTTGAGCTGTTCCCTACCTTTAGTAAAAAAATTTCAAGTAAATCCATGGT